AATCTCAAAATCATACCGGCTTGCCGCACTAAGGCAGAAATCTTAGCCGCACAGATGCAGAAGGCCAGACCAGCGTACACTACGGTGAAAAAAAAAAGTCTTTATTGTATTAAATGACATATGATATACAAATGAAATGAAAGTGTTGGCGAAGTCTAGCTCAGAGCTATTCTATTCAACCAACAGGGGTTTGAACCCCGATTTAAAAAAGAAAGTTCACAAGTTAGGTAAACGATAATTTTAGTAAATGGCTGTACTTAGTGGATTACAAAAATAATTGAGTGGCAATCAGCAAAAGCCTGCACTTTACAATTATGAATATTCTTTAGAATATCAGCTGTGTATATAATGAAAAGAAGAGGTCCCAATATAGACCCTTGGGGGACTCCCAAAAGTATGTCAAGCATAGATGAATATGATCCATTATTCGATATTTTTTGAGAACGCCTTAAAAAGTAATTCCATATAAGAAATACTGAAGATTCATCAAAGCCATAAAATCTTAATTTAGCACAAAGCAGCTCATGATCAATAGTATTGAAAATCAGAATTCTTTCAGAGTATTTCATTTCTCTTCCTAAGTTGGAGCGAACAACAAAATGTCACTCCATCTAGTGGACGAGGTACTAACCAACTGCATATCCGAAATTTGCCCGATTCCTCTGAATAAGGAAGAAAAACTTTCCAATTAGTCAGTGGGATATGCTTGAAGACTGGCAGTAAACAAATCTAAAGAAATGAACTTTAAATGTCAGTCCATTCAACCTTCTGTGTAGGTATATTCGAGACTGGCTTGAACATTTAAAGTTCATTTCTTTAGATGTAATTGAAGAACTGTTGGATCGTTCTGTCTATCTCCTCTGCAGATACAGAATCAGATTCATTGATTACTTCATGGCCAATAAAGGTTTTAACGAGTAGCTAGGGAAAGGAGGTCCATCAGTGGACGACGAGAAGTTATAGGTTTGCTTACAGGTGTTTAAAATATACAACAAAAAATATCTTCATCGAAGGGTGTTTGAGTGTATTGCTTTTTTACAAAACTCTGAACGTTTGAAAACTGTATGGGACATAGGTTTTTGTATAAAAAGACTGTACTCACTTTAGTATATCTTTTCCAATGACATGTACTTCAGGTGGCCAGTATTTTTGAAAAGTTGTCTCATCTCTGCCATAACCAGAAACTGTGAGGTAATTTACTAATGCATCGAGCCAAACATATACAGTTTGAGAGGGATCTCCTGGAACGGGAATTCCCCACTGCACTCTGGAAGTTGGACGAGATACAGACAGATCCTGGAGACCGTCTTCCTGGTTCAATAAATCAAGTAGGATTCTCTGGAATTTCTTTGGGCGAATTACCTTTTCTAAAAAAAATGGAAAAACATTTTTAATGACAGATAGGGCTAGAACCTCTGGCGTGGAATAAATACAAAACAATTGCAATCATCTATATACAATATGTCACACAACAGACACACAACATATGCCCACATTAGGTATGATTTTAACCAACGAGAAAATCAACTAATGCCAAGTAAAGCAAATAAATAAGAAAGAATCGAATATTAATAAGATGACCTGTGAAATTTCCAGTGAAATATCTTAGTAAATTCGTCTCCGTTTCCAAGAAAGATGCTGATTACCAGTATCATTTTACCAAAATAAATGGTGGGATGTTGACATTTTTATCAATTCCGTTACTCATGTTGATTAAATCCTTATCATATTTTACCCAAAAAATTGTTACGACATAAATCAATTCTGTTACAAACCTGACAAAACATAAACGTCGCAGCTCATTCCGAAGAAGACACAGCTATTGTTATTGTGTAGTTGGAACCTTAAGCAAATGAAAAGTCAAAAATCATTTTACTTCTACTGAAATTCTCCAAATGCTTCTAAATATTCCAGTAACCAGATAAGTGGTTATAGTTTCGTTTTAGGGTTGAAGATATAGATTCTTGGGAGTATTGAAGTTGGAGTATTGAGAATGATGACTTCGTATTTGCCCCTGCTTTAAAAGATGCCAAGAATGTGTATCCCAGAAATAGAAGTCCTTCTAGATACGAGTTAACCAAAAGGGTGGGAATGAAAATGAACTGAACTTGGATGTCATGGTATCCTCTTATAGGGATTCAGACTCTTCGGACCTAGGGGCGGTTCAAGTATTACGTAAGCACTATAGAGGGGAGGCGGGTCTTTCTTGCTTTGCTTATTTTTGATGACATGGGGGCAGGGGTCTAGATAGTCAGCAGTGGTTATTTACTTTTTTACACATATGGCAACCCACACATTGTCTGCGTTTGAAAAATGAAAAATTCATATAACAATGTTTAGGTAAGCATGGGAGGGACGGTAAGAGCTTTGCTCAATTTTGCTGGTGAATAATTATAATAATTGTGCTTAGGTAATACTTGAACGGCCCCCTACCTCGTATACAGGTAATTTGTTCTGAAAAATTCTAGAAGACACATCTATAAAAAGATCCAACATCATGTACGAGGTTGAATGTAAGTACCCCGCGAAACTTCTATATTCACCTTATTTTTTTAATAGTGGTGAATTAAAAAGGCGAAATAATATGTGAAAATATGTGAGATATTTTTTAAACTTGAAAAACTTAAAAAAACTGTTTCAGTGAATTGTGACGAGTGTTCTTCACGAAGTCACGGTAAACGTGAAGTTTTTAAAAACGTTTATGCATTTCCCGAAAATGAAGCAAGATGTCTTTCATAAAATATAAGATATCACCCGTTTGATACCTATTAAATTATCAATAATCATTTCATTGATGAATATTCACCATTTCTATTTATCCAATATTCCAGATCATTTCTGAAGTTGCTCAGTTTGAACATGTAATTCTGCTCTGTAGTCCACTCTACAGGATGTCCACTTTCTGCAGAAATGTAAGATTCAGTGCCATCGTTTTCTTGTTTTTGTTTGAGCTGAGAGTTGCTCAAAAAAGTTTCATCTTGAACGGAATACCATCCCTCATAGCCGGAGAGGTAAAAATGTCCTCTGTTTTCTATGGCTTTCTGGAAATAATAATAAAATAACATATATTTGTACAGTTCTCAATTTGTTAAAATAGAAGAGAGGTATTATTATTTAGTTCCTAGCGGGAAGTCACACAAGAATAGTTAGATAGCTTAGTCAAAATCGGAGAGAAAAAAACTACACTGTAGGACTGGACTCTGAAGAATCCAAGTTCTTGTGGGCGACGTGAAATCAACTGCTTCGGATTCTCCTGTACACTCTCACAAACAGCGGCAGGTCTTGCATTTAGTCGACGTACGTGTGTTGGTCGATCGTTTACTGAACCAGTGGACCCAAATCCATCCACCACATTGCGAATAGTTCTCTCGGAAGGACGATTATGGCGGCCGTAAAATGGGCGAAGCGCGCGGTACGCTGCCCGAACAGGACATCCAGTTTGATAAAACAACTTTATTATTTGTACGGTTTGTTTATATGTCCATGGTGATTTGGCAAAATAGACTGAATAAATGACAACTAATTTGACAAATGTAGCTTCAACAAAATGGCCGTTATCAATTTTCAAAGTTCGGATGTTTCTGTTGGAAGATCCCATCCCCTCTCATAACTAAGAGTGGTGGAATGGATATTTTGGAAGAGTGAGGATTACAATTTATGTGGATCCCATAGATAGCGTCTTCGTATGGAAATATACCTCCTTTTTTATTTATTTCCATAGAGAAAGATAATGATAACATGAAATTCAATGAACGTCAATATTCCGCCCCATTCAACCTCACTGATAATCCACAGAATTTTTGAGAACACGAAAGAAGAGTTTTCACCAGATCTTATGAAAATTTATGAATATACTTTTTTTTATTTCTCACCCAAAACAGCTCCACAGTCTTCTTGTGTTCATTACAAGTTGTCCTAATAAAGTCCGTATAATCGACATCGAATTCATTTGCCAGTCTTTGAAATTGCGAAGAAATTCTGTTGCAATATTCCAACGGAGACGTGTCGTTTTTATTAGCGGCCCGCTGAATTTTTGATCCATGTTCATCCGTACCAGTTGAAAACTTTACGTCTGCCCCTTTTTGGTACAGCCTCTGCCATCTCTGAGCAGCGTCCGCGATTATAGAGCTGTAAAGATGGCCGATGTGAGGATCTGAAAATAACAGGCAACTGCATAACAAAATATTGCTTAAAGATCAATGTTGTTCCTAACAGTAGGTGGTTTGTGTTCCTAACACTGAAATTTTCATCATGTGAAAATGTTTCGTGTTCACTAAACAGGAGTCTGTCTGAGAAGTACAAAATTTGGACTATCTTGGGGATTTCTGTAGGTATAATGCAGAAACGAAATGCAACCCTTCTACATTCTGAATGGAAAATTATCTTTCTCAAACGTATAATGATATTTAGGTACACCAATAATAATAAATAGTCTATAAATATTTCAAAAAAGAATGTTATACATTTATATAGTCTTTGATTAAGCGATTCCTATCTTTAAATTCAAATGAAACAAAGTGTGTGTGAAGTATCATCGAAATTTTTCATTCGTTTGAAAGGCCTATTGATGCAATTATGTGTGAAATACATCTTTCAAATGTCCGACACGGCTTCTCTTGGTGGAGCGCATGCGAAACGTCAAATTTTTCATGGCTTAGGCGTATAAATCAGGCTGAATTTGGCCGATTACATGAGTTATGTTGGTTTTGAAGATCGCTGTGGTTTGTGGCTCATTCGCATACACCTGAGACTCAAAAAACCCTAAAAGAAAGAGTCTAACGGGGTCAAATCGCACGATCTCGGTGGCCAGTTCACATCACCTCCACGTGAGATGACCATTCCTCAAGTCGCTTATGAAGAATATACAATGTGGCATGAGCTGTGTGGCACGTAACGCCGTCCTGTTGAAACCATATGTCGTTGGTGTCCAGATCATCTAATTCAAGCCAAAAGAAGTTGGTTATCAATATTACTGGAGTTTTTTCCCAACACCAAACCGTTATTTTAATACCTCGACACGTGTTTTGATCACCAAGTGATCATCTTCAAGAGGAAGATCAAGAGTTTGATCAAGAGTTTGATCTTCCTCTTGAAGATGATGACTTGGTGATCGTAACACGTGTCGAGGTATTAAAATAACGGTTTGTTGTTGGGAAAAAACTCCAGTAATATCCATTACTACATCAAAGGTTCCAAACACTGCATCACAAGTTGGTTATCATCCACCTTAATTTCATTAGTTCGGACTTCCATTGTCTAATATTATATAAAATGAATTGAAATCCTTAAAAGAAAGAAGGTCTCGATAAGGAACTAGACATCATCAAAAATGATCTTCAACGGGATGGCTACTCCAAAGCGATGGTGGAACATACTTTGGCTAAAAGGCAGCAAGAGCCTCGAAAGGAAGAGAAATCGCCACAACCAGTGCTTACACTTCACTACATCAGAGGATTATCGGAAAGGATAAAAAGAATTGGGTCCAACTACAACATCAGAACCTACTTCAGATACAGAAACACTATCCGTAGCAGCCTCACGAAAACCAGGTCACCAAACCACGTGATTCGTGCAGACACAAATTCGTTGAGCAAAAGATTTCAACAGTGATTGCTTTGTTCATTTTGGAATCGGTTTGCCTCATTTACAAAAATATATTCCTATTTGAGGCTTCATGCCATTTTATAGCACCCGTTCCACAGCGTTGAAATTGTCAATTCCTTCAACAAATTGGGCCAGGAATTCTAATTATTACTATGGGGTCGAGATGTTTAATCACTTGCCCTCAGTCAGATATAAGACAGGGAAATTTGACCAACAAAATGTTTAGAATAAGAGTAAACACATTTTTGGCTAGACCCTATTATAATTTGCAAGAGTTCTATAATGATAAATTTACGTGAGAAAATGTGCATATTTGAATTTAGGTTACATAAGATTTTTGTTTATATTCTTGTTTGGATATAAATGTGTGATTGTCTGGTGCAATGGGTGTGTTTATTTATGTGATATTATATATATGTTTATATGTCTATTATATAAGTTTTGATAAACAAGTCTGTACACAACCATGTTGATAAATTTTGGCGTTGAACTATAGTGTATGTTGAACTTTACTTTTTTGTAGGTGTTTTATGTTCACATTTTATATTTCTATATTTACATTTGTATTAATTTTTCACAAGCTTTGTGCACAATATTTATTCTTAATGACAACAAAGTATGTTATTATTAAAAAAACTTGACCTGCGATTCCAAGAAATGCATTTCCCGGATACCCTGTGAGTGCGGAAAATCATATATCGGTGAAACTATGAGGCCTTTGAATATTCGCATTGCCGAGCACAAGAAACAGAAAATCAGGAATAGCAGAGCATGTTTGGACCCATCAACATAACATCGAGTGGTCCCAAGCTGAGGTCATAGACAGGAAGTAACACTGATTTAGGGGTAAATTTGAAGAAGCCGCTTACATGTTGTCCAAAAATGTATTCAGCCAAGCTGATGTAGAGATACGCAACATATAGAACCACATAATCAAGCGAAAAACGAACAACTCCCGCCAAACTGTCATTTCCCCCTAAACCGGAGCGGAAAGAGGAGATAAGTGAAATTACTCGATAAACCATAAATAGTCATCTCTCCGAAGAATTAGTCCAGTCATCACCCGAAGACCTTTGTGAATACTAACAATCGAAACGTCGTGAAGTAACTTGGCTCAAAATGTCTTAATTTTTTTCATTTTTTCTTCAATTGTTGTATTGCCAACTGCTCCAAAGCCCATTCAGCGAACACACATCGTTGTCTATGGTCGTTTACCTTCAGTTCCTGGGTCAGTTGAATTTTTTACGACACAAAATTCGCCAAGTTGTGGTCTGCAAAAGGCGAGTTATTGTGAGTGACGTGAAATCGACTACTTTGCATTCCCCTGCACACCCTCACAGGCAGCGGCGATGTTTTCGGTAAATTTTGCATTTCGTCGTCGACACACGGGCGTTGGTCGGTGGTTTACTGAACCATTTTACTCAAATTCATACACTATATTGCGAATATCCGATCATGGTGATTTGGCAAAACAGACTGAATAAATGACAACTAATTTGACAGATGTAGCTTCAACAAGATGGTCGTTATTAATTGTCAAAGTCCGGAAGTCCCCGTTGAAAGACATAACTGATATTTGTTTTCATCTTTGATAAAATTCTTGTGTTCAAATCATCTAGATGAATGGGTTGAAAAAATATTTAATATTTGGGATAACCACAGAGTGGCGACATTCAGATTTTATAATTCGAACATTTCTTACACTCAAACAGATAATTAGGGATCTACATTCATTCTTGATTTGAGAAACTCAGCCTCCAGTATACGGTGAGGTATTTTTGTTTATACATCAAAAATAAATACTTTGTCGTTGGGTGTCATTGTGTGTAATTAATTTTCTTGCAATAAAAAGTAGAATAAATTCACAACAAGTATTTTTCCTAAATCCCAGAACTGCAATACTCTTCTCGACGCGTGTTTCACCAAACAAATTTGCCTCAACTTGGTTCAGTGGTTTTGGAAATTTCTATAATCAGACATTTCCACGATTCTTCAATGAAACCTAACGACGAACTTTTTCATCGAGTCCTCAGTGCGGACCTGCGCGACACAGTTGGAAGCACTGATAAGCGCTCGAATCAGGCCTTGATATTGGTAATAGTTTACTTTATTGATAATTTACGTCTCTGATGAAATACTCATATCAGAAACTCACTACCTTCTAGATGGTAATAAAGTAGTCCATACTGGTGGTAAATGGTAAATCACTTCAATTTCCCAGCTATCACTCCAATACGATAAAATAAAACGATTCGAGTATAAATTATCGACCAATCAGTTTGCTCTAAATTATTGGAAGTTATCATAGTAGTTCGAATTATAGACTTTTTCAAATTCACATAATCTGTTTGATGATTTTCAACATGATTTTCTCAGAGAAAAATAAGGAAACAGCATTGATTGAATCTATTAAAAACATTTTTCTGTTGCAAGGATGTTCAACACTAGTGTTGAAAGTATTTCTAACATGATTTTTTTCGACCAAATAGCAATAAATAACACATAATTATTCAATTTTCAAGGAAGTTTTATTATGGACAATAGATATAGATACAATTAAATTTTGTTACAAATATATTATATACATTAATTACATTATTATTATTATTTATGAACATTAATATGAAAAGTACAATTAGAACAACTGCTGATAATAATACCTTGCGATGTTGAAGAGCCTTGTAATATATTTGAACTATCTGAGTTGACAATTTCATGGGCATTACCATTTAATGTAACGCTAGATTATTCATTATTCATTCAGCAATAGCCTTTTTATAATAAATAGATTGATCGATGTAACCCTCAGCTACTGTTGTATACTTCCATCCTCCGTGCTTCTTAATATCCGTTATATTTGCTCTTGATTCTGCTAACAAAGAAGCAGAGGACCTTCTGAAACAATGACCTGTATATTCCTTTGGTTCCGGGAGGTTCAGAAACTCAGTAATGGTAGAGGGCATTTTCCAAAACGTGTTTATACCAACTGGGTTGGCACTGCATTCATAATTTGAATATTTCAGAAAAAAACGTTGATGATTGATAACAGAAGGGCGTAATGCAACGTATTTATCAAAATAGTCAATGTTTTTTCCAACAATGCAAAAAGAACGACCTATTGTATTTGGAATTTGAACAGTCAAATATTTATCCATTCATTTAATGTCTTCAGAGAGCTCTTCAGAGCTCTTCACGCCGGCAGGCTTCATATATTCCGAAAATAGTAGCAACTTTTATCTTCAAATATTTTTCATCCGGCGCCTCATTTATAAACCTCTGAACTTGTTCAAACGTAAGAGTTTTTGACTTTTTGGGCCTATAACTTTCATTTTTCCGCTTTAAGAATGCTACTACCTTGAAATATTTGCTTGTATCAACACCATTTTTAACGAGCGCACTCGACTTTATCATTGAAAACTTGCTCCACAAGTCATGTGATTCAATTTTTATGTAAAAGTAGCTGTTTCGGGAAGGCTTTTTCGTCCCGTACGTATCTGAAAATAACTTCAATGCATAATCTACATATCTCTGTAAAGTAATTATTGGTAACTTGATTGTTTTGTTCCTTCCTGCGGAAGTTTCCCACATTATTTGTATAGAAAAGAAGAAGTAGAAAATCAAGAACATTTCGTTTATAAATGCTTCAAGTTGTATTTTATTTTAGTAAATTACGTTATTATATTTGATCAAGCGTGCTATTCATTGCCAAAATTCCAATCAGACGTAATTGATTTTCCGAGAGCACTCGTATGTGAGAGCTACAATTTTCCATTATAGTTTCTCTAAATAATCACGTACTATTTTCTTAGTTTCAGAGAGAGAAGTTGACTCAGTACAGTCCTGCCTAAAAGTTATGTTGCCAATGTTTCCGATTTGTTCATTTGCTCGGAATATATAATATTGGACATCAATACAGATATAAGTTGTCATGAATAGCACGTGGTTAACATAACGGGATCGGATATTTATCATAAGATGTCAGTCCGCATAGTGGCGTCAAGTCTTTCTACTCTCACCCTCAACAGTTCTACCAGTAAGCTCGTGAGAGTTGTTTCACAAATTGAAAGATCTGACCTAAAATATTTCTCAAAAATGGCTAAACAATCTGTATACATTACTAGGACTGTTAACAAAGAAGCGATGGACCTTCTCAATGAAAAGTAAGTAAAAATCAATCATTTAAACGAAATAAGCCAAATAAGTTTATTGACCAGTGTTGTCAAGTCACGACGAATCGTGGACCGATTAATCGATAAAAATGTGATATCTCGTCTGTTTTATCTTCTGGGAGAGCCGCTGTTTTCGATTGATTAGGGAAAGAGATAAAAAAATTGTATTTCGGTATCTAACCTAATATTTTTGTAATTTGCGATCTCATTCTTTTTTCAACACTTTTTCAGTATTAATGCAAATAATTCGTATTATCTATACATCAAACGTTAATGTTCAGGTTATTCCCAAGCAAAGGGATATCATTACTTTATAAATGCAACACAGCGATATCAACTTCAGTGTTACAGCGGACGGAGAAATTACAGTTGTCATGAAATGCATATTTTCATTTTCAGATGAAGAATCACTGTTTTCGTATGTGAAACAAGTTTATGAACTTTAATTGATCACTTAGCTTTTTAAAATTATGAAGTTTTCGATATTCACTAGTAGTGGATTGGAATGAGTAGTTAGTATAAAAGAAACGAAATAATTTTGACCAAAAGTAGGTATTTGAAAATTCAAATCATCACTCGTGCGCCGTTTTCATCATAGAAATAAAATCATATATTAGTATATAATTTTATTTCTGTAGCTTTCCATCGTTCCGATATAAACTTAGCATATGTGACCCTAAACTACTTTCCAGGTATGAGGTGACGTCGTGGACAGGACCGGGCCCGGTAGCAAGAGATGAGCTATTGAAAAACATCGAAAATAAAAACGCACTCTTCTGCATGTTATCAGATCGAATAGACTCAGCAGTATTAGACAAAGCTGGGAAAAATTTGAAAGTTATCGCAACGATGTCTGTAGGCTACGATCACTTGGACGTTAAGGAAATAAAGAAACGAAACATAAGAATTGGATACACTCCTGATGTTTTAACTGAAGCGACAGCTGAATTAGCTGTGGCTCTACTTCTGGCAACCAGCCGAAGGCTACTAGAAGCAAACGAGAAAGCCAGAATTGGAGAATGGAGCGCTTGGGCGCCATTTTGGATGTGCGGCCCCGGTATTAAAGGTTCTACTGTGGGAATAGTAGGATTCGGAAGAATAGGTCAGGAGATCGCAAGAAAACTAAAAGCGTTCAATCCCAGGAGAATAGTTTATTGTAACAGATCCGAGAAGCTGAGCGAATCAAAGCAAATTGGCGCTGAAAGAGTATCTTTCGATGAATTACTAGCGGAAAGCGACTTTATAAGCCTCAGTGCAGCCTCAACACCAGAAACTAAACATATGTTCAATGAAGCGGCTTTCTCAAAAATGAAACCTACCGCAGTTTTTGTTAATACCAGCAGAGGCGACTTAGTAGATCAAGAAGCACTGATTAGAGCACTTGAGAATAAAACTATAAGGGCTGCTGGATTGGATGTAATGACGCCTGAGCCGTTACCGTTGGACCACCCTCTCTTCAAGCTGAAGAATTGCGTCATATTGCCACATATTGGAAGCGCAACAATTGAAACTAGGAATGAAATGGGAATTCTCACTGCTCGCAATATTGTAGCAGCTTTAGAGGGAGAAAAAATGCCCTCTGAATTAGTTATCACATAATAAAAAAAACAAAAGTTTTGTGAAATATATTTTGGCAAAAGTTCAAAGTTGAATGCTTATTTAAAAAATGAGCGTATGAGGCGGACAATAAGATGGGTTTAGGGCAGTGGCACTATCCCGAAATTTTATGTAATATACTCTATAGACAAATGAATTATACAATTTGAAATACATTTTTCTGGATCGTTAGTACAAAAATATTTCATTCAAGTGGATGAAAATTAATGGTAGTATTAGATTATAATACACATCGAAATTCTATTCGGGCTACGAATCGAGTTCACATATATGTTACAGGGTTTGGGGAAAAGTTTTTACTGCATTATCGAAATATGAAAGTTCATAATATATTAGGAATATTAAGAAAAAAAACGAACATTGAAAAATGTTTACCCCAATCTCAAAATTAATAATTATTTCTAGTTTATAAATAAATTAAAAGGAGTATATTTTCAGGAGACATTAATTTTTGGTGAAGAAAGGTTTTGGCTTTCTACTTGTTCATGTTTATACAAAAAATGTGGGAATCTTCCAAAGAAAAGAAAAAAAGCAATTAATGGGATGGAGAAGACAGAGAAGTACAAAGCCAAACCCTTTCTTTCCCAATAATTTATAATTGTTATTACGTTCATTCAAAAGTCATCATAACAAATTCAAAATTAGATTTCACTGAAGTAGAGCCTTTTTTTCGGATTTGGAACTGGAAATATAAAGACTACAGCGAGTATTCTCAAATCACTCGACGTTTGCATTGTATGCACAGATAACATCGCAAGGAACGAATCAGGAGAATATGGTATTCTTGAAACATTCACATATCTGCGATTTGATTGTTACTCTCAGAATGTTTGTAACATGAACTCAAAAACTCAGCATTTAGAAAATCGTTCGCACCAACGATTCGCAGAACTATGTACCCATACGTAGAAAAGTTTATAAGTGAGAGCTATGAATATTACTGGAGTTTAATCCCAACACCAAACCGTTATTTTTGACACCTCGACACGTGTTTCACTCACCAAGTGATCATCTTCGAAAGAAAGATTGAAACAGATTAATCTTCCTCTTTAATTGAAAGTAATACAAATTATGAAACAAAAATTAACTGGCGCTCAGGGGCGACTTGATTAATTCCTGTGACGTATTTGCTTTTTCAGCTGTAGGAAAAACTTGCAGCACCACATCATCTGAAGATCTTGATCTGCCAATGTCCTCTCTTTCATAGAATAAAATGTAGGGTGTCTCCAGAGGCTTCAATAAATTCAAGATATTGCAGGCATATTTAGTGACACGACTATCGACAAACTTGAACCAGTCCGTTTCATCTTTGACCAATACGTAATAATGACCAGATTCAACGCTGGAACCACAGTGAACAATGACTGCATGAAGATTATAATATTGGTCTGCTATATTGAAGTGTTCATCTATTTCGAACCTTTGTAAGAGTTTGGTGTTTCCGTCAGAGGTTGAGTCATGTTTGAAGATCATCAGTGTCATTGTTAGATTGACTGGTGCCTCAGCTATACTTGTCTTATAATAATCAGTTAGTTTAGCGCATATTTGGCAATAATCACTTGGAGATTGAAACACGGTTTGGTGTTGAGATCAAAATCCAGTAATATTCATTACTACACCAAAGGTTCCAAACAGTGCATCACAAGTGAGAGCTTTGTTTAACAAAGTAATGTACTATTATTGTGCATTTAATAAACCCAATATCGATAAACATTGGTACATGAAAAAACCTGTCTTGACAAAATGCAATCAATTAAGTTTTGAATTGTGAATACAGTGACCCGTTTGCTTGTTAAAAATTAATATATTTTTTGAGCCACAGTTATGAATTATAGAATATAAGTAAGTTCGGTCCTGGCTTCCAACAACTTCGCACTTCGCAAAGGTTCAATAGAGATGACTAGATGGCGCTAGATGTACTATTCTAAAGATTCTACTGTTTTAATAACTTGTAAGCATATTTTCTGTGCTAGTCATTTAGTGTATCTTTTCCATATATATTATTAATATGAAGCTATTCAGAAGAATTAGTAGTGTAATACGCTTTGATTCAAAATCTGTTGAAAAGACAGTTCATCAAGAAACCGGCAGATTTTCAATTAGTGTAAACAAACAACTTACTTGCGTTCACGTAATAAATCGGAGTAGTAAAAAATTTGCTAGTTTTTGTTTCGGAACTGTATTTCCGCAGGCACATAAATGTTCGGATACTCATTTTATGGTAAACACTGATTAATTTATTTGGATTTTCCAATTTTATTCGAGTTCAAAATGAGGTTGGTTTGCCAGTGTTGCCGATATTCAAACTGAAAGTTATTGAATAGAACCGCCTGATGATTTGTTTTATATTCATCGACAAGAGTATACATATCAATGATCAAAGGCGGGGTAGAATTCTTTTGACATCAGCAAAATACTCATTTTTACAAGAAGATTCATGTTTCACTTCTAGAAAGTTGATAATATACAAATCAATAGAAGCATAAATTCACCACAAAAAATCCCTCCTTTGGGTTTATACATCATATTTTTAGTTTAGAGTGTGGTGTATGAACAGTTGTACAGTCCTATTCATATACATTATGATCAGGATTCTTATATAAGGGTATTACGAAATGTCAAACATTTTGGCCGCCACGGAGTGATGTCATCGGAGGAAAATAGCGCTAAATTTGAACTGACACGATATATAATCTCCAGCGATTCAAATCCAATGTGAATCGCTACTTTCGCACAGGCACTGCTCTTAGAGCACCTCAAAGATTTTTCTGTAGTGCTTGTGTCTTGTTGTTGAAAAAACACTCTGAAAACGCAAAAAAAAACAAAAAAATTACAATGAAGAAATTAATCAAATTAAAGCAAGTTCCTAAATTCAACGGTATGAGTCCACAGATGGGTCCGAAGTGAGTGTCAGTTACTTTTGTATATTTTTAAATTGTATAGAGTATATATGTTCAAATTAAAAGGGTATATTTTTAGGAGAAATTAATTTTTGGGAAAAAAACTTTGTAGCCTTCTACTTCTCTATCTTGATACAAAAAATGTGAGAATCTTCCAAAGAATGGAAGAAAACATCCAATTTCAAAAAATAACTCCATACAAAGATGTGTAGATCATGCAAAGAAGTAACTTTCTGACACAAACTGGAATAAAAAGCCCTTTCGAAACAGCTATTTTCATATAAACATTAAATTACACGAAAGAAAAATACTTTCAAAACGAATGCTTTTATATGAACGCTGAATTATATGATGAACAACATTGAATAATTCCTATTGATTGATTGTTTTTTTATTCATAGTAAAGATTTTCGAATTGTGATTCTGGTTTTTTGTTCAGTTACTTTATGTCATCTGCTATTCGATAAAATATAAAGTATACATTTATCAACCCTTTCGTAACTTCGTCGGATCAGAACGGAATATTCTGGATTTTGTGACGATATTCTTCAATTTACCAGTAAAATTCGAGTGTTTTGTTCCAAGTTTGGGAGTATTTTGAGCAATTTCTATTGGCAACACTGTATTTAATCTGTAATGTGGAGAATGGCGGAATATAAAGAGTTATAAACTTAAACATTAATCAAGGTTAAAAGAAGCCATTTCCATGTAAATACAGGAACCAGAATTTTTGGTTGTTTCAAATCTCTGGGGCATATAACTAATATTTATTTCAAGTAAGTAAATTAGGGGACGTGGCCCAAGAACTCGTTCATGTTCAAATTTTCAGTAGATATGGCCCACTCAGGGGTTGTGCCTGCTGGAAAACGAAAAGAAATTTATAAATATAATGCCCCATGGCCCTTGTACAGCATGAATTGGTCTGTAAGACCTGATAAAAGATTTCGCTTAGCGTTGGGCAGTTTTGTTGAAGAATATAACAATAAAGTGCAAATAGTTTCTCTGGATGAAGACAGTAGTGAGTTCAGTCCTAAAAGTACTTTTGATCACCCGTACCCAACAACTAAAATAATGTGGATACCAGACAATAAAGGAATGTTTCCCGACTTACTGGCCACAAGGTAAGATTCAAATTAGAATTTACTTGTATTAATTTTAGAAAGTAAGGGTGGATTTATGTACCAGTCTTGAAAATTACAACTTATGCACATAGATATTGTGTCGAAGAGAAGTTTGACCTAATCAATGTATCAGGTGTACATATTGTACCACAGGGCTCAGTAGATTATTATATCCTTTACAGTGGCGATTACTTGAGGATCTGGAGAGCAGGTGAACCTGATACAAGGCTGGAATGTGTACTCAATAACAACAAAAATTCTGACTTTTGTGCACCTTTAACAAGTTTTGACTGGAATGAAATTGATCCCAATTTGGTTGGTACCTCGTCCATAGACACAACATGTACCATTTGGGGATTGGAAACAGGACAGGTTAGTGAAATATTTAATTTTATGTCATCCAGAAATACTTAACAATATTTACCAGGTAATGGGTAGAGTAAATCTGGTCACTGGTCATGTTAAAACGCAGCTTATAGCTCACGATAAAGAAGTTTATGATATAGCATTCTCACGAGCTGGAGGAGGAAGGGACATGTTTGCCTCAGTTGGTGCAGACGGATCAGTCAGAATGTTTGACTTGAGACATTTGGAACATTCCACAATTATTTATGAAGATCCATCACATACTCCTTTGCTTAGGTTGGCGTGGAATAAACAAGATCCAAACTATTTGGCAACTATAGCCATGGATGCGTGTGAGGTAGGTTTATCAGTTTCAAAGTAGGCGGTTTGTCTTAAATTAATAATGTATCAACTTCAAAACAGATTATTGAAGGCACTCACACATGAGAATATGTTATATATTCTTGACTTTCTAACATACTGCACAAGTCGAATCTAGGTTGCCGACAACTCATCTATGGCAAAATAAGTTTTTATAGCTCAAAAATGTATGTTTGTCGTATTTTCACTATAGGGAAGAGTTTCTAATGATGATGACGCTACTCAAACAGCTGATAGGAATAACTGAATGTTGAACATAGGTTGTTTTTTTCGTTTTGGGGTTTTTTGTGTTTTGATTTGTGAGAGTAATTTGGTGCATTATAAAAAACTGGGTAAATTTTCCTTATGTGGACACCCGGCGATTTTGAAAAAATTTTTGACTGTACTTACGTATTTTGATGCGTAGTTTACGAATCCGAAAAAAAAAAGCAGCGCTCTCCCTTATTTAAAAAGTTACGGCCCTTCAAAGTTCAGAAAAGGGCAACTTTTCAGCCTTCTTTTTCACTAAATAAACTATTTAAAAACACAAGCATTTATTCACTAGGTCACCTTTACACCTTATTGCTCCTTCTTTAACACTTTTCACTTCAATAATCAACATTTTTCTTATAAAAATGTTAAAAAATGTACGGAGTTGCTTTTTGGTTACATATCACTGTATTTTACGTTTTTAAGGTTAATGATATGGTTGGTACGACTGATGCAGTCCATATTCCTGAAGTAATTCAAATGTTTTTTACCTTCATTCTTTAGATCGTAAATTGGTTTTTGGTGGTGTATTACGAATTTGAAATAGTAGGCGACGGCAAATACCAACCGCTTTTTTCTGAAATGTCACTAGTAACTAACCTAAAAATGGAATAATGTCACCAAGAGAAGCATTCGTTTTTAAATTAAGTTATTTATAAGAAAAATGTTGATTATTGAAGTGAAAAGTGTTAAAGAAGGAGGAATAAGGTGTAAAGGTGACCTAGTGAATAAATGCTTGTGTTTTTAAATAGTTTATTTAGTGAAAAAGAAGGCTGAAAAGTTGCCCTTTTCTGAACTTTGAAAGGCCGTAACTTTTTAAATAAGGGAGAGCGCCGCTTTTTTCTTTCGGATTCGTAATCTACGCATCAAAATACGTAAGTACAGTCAAAAATTTTTTCAAAATCGCCGGGTGTCCACATAACGAAAATTTACCAAAAACTGATGAATAGGTGAAGTAAATTACTTTCACTCACGGAGAACACAAGAAACTACAATATTATGTGAAAACAGCTGTTTTACCATCTGGCGTAATTTTGAAATGTCCGGTAGATGTAGTATCTGAACTTTCCAGTTCCTAAAAGAGCATGCTATAAAAATGTATTGACTATTTTTAGTATTCTCACTCTAGTTTGTTTTTTTATTTACGAGTTATCATAGTTAACAATGGCAATTTCAAATCTAACAAAGATATACATATAAAGACTAATTGAAAAAATTAAATATAAAACCTCTTTCCTAAGTAATTGGTAAGTTGGCAAAACAGACTGAATAAATGACAACTAATTTGACTGATGTAGCTTCAACAAGATTGCCAATATCAATTGTCAAAGTTCGGAATTCCCTATTGGAAGACCCTATACTTGTAAATTTTTCCTTCTTTTCTTTAAAGTTTTCCATTTTCTATGTTGGGTTAGGTTAGGTCCAAAATGAGTGGGTCTGTTCAACCCTCCACCGCAACCCGCAAGGGTTTATTGTAGCTCACACCTATTCACACTCGACCAAATAAACCCAGCTTCTTAACGAAGCCGATTAGTTTGTATGGTGAGTGGTTTTTCAGGTCAGATGGTAGGAGCACGGCTCTGCCGAACTCTAAAAACCTTATTCGGTCCCCAGCGGGGCAGACACAAAATATATGCTCTGCTGTTTCATCATTAATGAGATCCCCACCTTGATACCCTCGACAACCTTCCCATATGAGGGTTTTTGCACGTCAGCTACACCTGACGATGCCTTAGATTCAACCGTGCAGGGCTTTTTCGCCTCTGGTTTTGGAGAATCATCACTTGAGCACAAACTTTTGCTAACCTGCTCATGGGGGGTTTGTTCCTCCACTTGAGGAGCCGTTCAAGAATTTGGTCCAAGGCGGTTTCATAAGGTACCCTGCTCTTGAGGAGACGACTCAGTCATTTCCTGGCTGCACCACCAAACCTTTTTTTAAGGTTCAGTTAATGCATCAGGAGATGGAGAATTGAGAAGCTCTTGCTCCTGATCTAATTTTACAGGAAGATCAGTTGGAGTCGTAAGCTCGACATCCATCTCTTCTGTAGGGGGGTAGTATAACCAGCAGGGTCCATTGCACAACACGTTTTCAAACTTTGTATTGTTTTCTTCTCAATTCATTTCAGTTTGACATTTCAGTTCATTTGTAAGTTAAGTTGATGAACAAATCTCATCTCTGCAGACTATCTCATATATTATTTTTTGTAGGTAATCATTCTAGATGTGAGGGTTCCTTGCACTCCAGTAGCCAGGTTAAATAACCACAGAGCATGTGTAAATGGTATTGCTTGGGCTCCTCATTCAAGCTGTCACATTTGTACAGCTGGTGACGATCACCAAGCTCTAATATGGGACATCCAACAAATGCCAAGAGCAATAGAAGACCCAATATTGGCATACACGGCTGCGGAAGGAGAAGTCAACCAGATTCAATGGGGTGCCACACAGCCAGATTGGATTGCGATCTGTTATAATAAATCTTTGGAAATATTGAGGGTATAAGGAAACATTTATGTAATTAACTTCAATGTTCCCATGTTTCTATCGTACTAGTATTTTGACAAGTTTTCATCATTTAGAAATGTTAGTTCCTTTTCTTTGAAACTAGTTTTTTTTTGTTGTGTTGGGAAAAGAGTTTTAGGTAGAAACACATTGCATTCAGTTGTAATATATATGTAAGAATAAGGTTAATGGTTGGAAATTGTCAAAATATGTTATTTTATCAAAAACTTGTATTGAATGCCATAATTTAAGACTAGGATAATAGTTAACATTTTATTTTCTTTTAACTGACTGAAATGAGCCAACATTCAAGTTTGTCGGTTCTTTCACATATTTTATGTTTGATGTTAACAAAATATCAGCACGTCTTCAGGAATGAAGGTTTCAAGTTGATTTAAATACACTTTTTGCTTTAATGTAAATATTCGCTCGAATTGATAGAAATTGACGATCACCTTACTATCACCATGTTTGTGATGGATCTTTCTGTCAATAATTTGAGATCTTCATCACCCGCTCCTTCATAAGTTAGGCTTTGATTTATTTAAAAAAATGATTAAAAAATCTAAGTTAGATGACTCGCCCTTGATTAAAAGAAAAATTTACGTTAGGGTTAGGTTAGCTCTAAAATGGATGGGTCTATTAGATCGTCCACTGTAACCTATAATTGTGGCTCGGACTTGAAGATTCTTTACTAACCTGGTTATGCACACTGTCTTTCGACAGTCCGGGTCTGCATATGATGATTCAGACAACAGTGACCTGAAAGTAGACCTGAGATACAAAGTAGCCTAATGATTGTTGAGCGTACTTTGAAGAATCTATGAATGCCTTGAAATGAACCAATCCTGTTATATTTTGTCAGTAGACAGTCAAGGCCAGTGTTGCCAGGAATTTAGACCAGATACAATTCAAGGCTGCTTGACTGGCCAAGAATATTCTTATTATTTAGGTATGAAGTTGGTTTCTGGCAATCTCACCACACATAGAACTACAGCATAGATTTCTGCTTAAAAAACGGTCGCAAACGTCCTTAGATGGGTTAATATCTCTTATATTTCCTCCTCACTAACATTTTTGAATTCTAGATGCGTTTCATCAACATCGTTGCTTCACCAGTAGTGATAAAGCTACCGATTAAGCTTTGGTGTTAGCGAAACACGTCTAGAATTGAAAAATGTTTGTTAAAATTGTTCAATTATCATCATGGATAGTGTTTTTTACTTTCATTGAGTAACGAGTTATTCTTTTTCACAGATTAGTTGTAAAATGACGTTGATTGTTTCCAAAATCTGTTATCTGTATCATAAGTGATGATTTTAGTTTCGGGGGAAATCGTTTTTCATGAAGAACAATTTATATAAACGTATGCTTTACTTGGTTCATTTTAAAAAAATTAGATGTCAAAGTTACAAATAGCTTTCTGGCCCTTTGAGTTTTTCATATTTTTCTTGGTTTTAAAAAATGAAGTGGTTTCTTGTATATCCACGCATCATAACCCTTTAAAGCCCTTCGTGTCTCTTTCATGTTTATTTACTTCTATAAAAAATAAAAGCGTGGACATTTCAGTTTTTTTTAAATGGAGTAAGTTATAAGTTCATACAAACTGTTTTTGAATGTTGCAGGTTCAGACTTCTATTATCAAATTTGAAGGTTGTAGAAGAAAACATGAATGAAATTATCAAAAATACTAAAAATAACCAGAATGAGTATCATTATCATTCTCAATGATTTTAATATTTCATTAATTTTCATTTTATTTGTTTTCTATATTGAACACCTTTTTAGACAATATAATTCTGGACCTGTAACATTATGCAAGACAGGCTGGCCAAGTTTCTTTCCCAACAACTGCCCAGTTCAAGAAATCGGTTATAAACAATGGAATAGAAGTTATCAATTTTGGATTTAATTCACGATATTTGCTGACAATTTGTCCTATACTTTGGCATAATAATGTTGATACACTAAAAAAAAAATATTTGACTCTATCTTGTCATCAGAAAAGTAGCCATTGACATAAATTTTCGCAGAAAAGAAACACTCTTTTTCAAAAAGTACTGAGAAGGAATTTCTTACTAATGACTTGTGTGGTAAATGAAAATGTCTTAGATCTCTATTGTTTTCTTTTGTAACATATTTCAAATTTACATATTTTGTGAGAGAAAAATCTTTCTTTCTATTTATATATGCGATAATTTCAAAAGCTTTTCTATAAACACAATCAACTGATAGAGAAATTTTTACAATCTTCAGTCTTCAAAATTTATATTAATTCTGGCGAGTAGGTCTTAAATTATTGATTTTCAACTTTATATGATGAACTGGATATCCCAAGGATGGAAGTACTCAAATTAACTCTCATCCAATAAAATAATAGGGTGTTCTAATTTTTTGTAACGATATATCAAATGTTTCTTTTATGTACTAACTTGTCCTCTTCTATACCTTCAAAAATATTTTGCAGCTTAACTTTAGTAACATACTGTGTTGAAAATGGTGTGAGAAAGTTTTTGGTATACTAGGCATGCTATCACAGCCGATATGGAAGATTTTGACATTGAAATTTACGAAGGTGTTGTAGAACCAGTTATTTTTTATATTCTATAATTCAAACTGTTGTTCAACTATAATTAACAATTTGAATTATTGATTATAGCTGATTGACATTTTAAATGATCTATTATAAAAACTACAGTATTGATCGTCAGCCCCTTCATAATTTAAATCAGCACTTCACCATTCGTAGTTGAGACAAATCCTAAAACAACGTATAGGGTGGCAACTTGAAATAACCTATTTTATCTTGCAAACAGTAGTAAATAATCTCTTAACATTTCGAATATATCCAAATGTTGAATAAAAACTTTTTTTTTATATTTACAAATTACTTTTTTATGTATCCTACTCTTCAATCCTTACGATACAGTTGTCTGTAGTAGTTTGTGATATATTTATAATGTTTTCTTTTATACCATATATTTTCTATACTTAACACTCATCTGAATCTAATTTCGTTCGAAAAAAAAATTGATTTATCTCAAGAAGACCAAGTTCTTTTCGATAGAGGGCTCAGGGGCCTTCAATAAGTGATAATTATCATAATATTATGTTGTTATGACATTTGAAAAGAAAAACTCCAGCTGAAATATCTGACATGCATAGTTCTCCCTTTTTTGGGAGAGCTAATAATTTCTTGATTTTATATATTTGTTCGAGATTGTAACCCAGTAAGAATGTCTGGAAACGATTTTTTTCTGTCTTGTTTGGATTATATAGGATATGTTATTTATTTCTTTCAAGAAGATATTGGATTATCAACTTGAAAAAGGTTTTGTCAGTGGAAAATGGAAGATGTCCCTGCTAATTTACAGTATCTAAAATTAGTTAATTATAGTTTAACATTGAAATTTTATTACAACATATCTTGAAAGTTCGATTTTCCAAAACCTACTTTCACTGGACCATTTTGTGGATTGCCTGACTTTTACATGTTTCCAGGTTGGTGGAAACCTTTTTTAAGGTATGGATGTACGAGATGCCTGAAGACGAGTGAAACAACAACCAGAAATTTTTCTCGGTTATTTACTGTTGGTTACTGCGACTGTCACCAATCAACCATCCAAGAACCTAGGAACAAGCCACCCCCAACCTGGAAACATCAATATTGTTACTTCAACCCTTGACATACACAAGACTGATGCGCGCATTTCCAGAAGAAAGGTATTGGCCAGAGAAATAAACTCTGACAATTCTTTCATTCTGAATTTGTATACTGCTATGCAGTAATGAACTGCCGAAAGACGTGTTGGAAGATCAAAATGAAGGACCACAATCCAAGTTGAACAAGATTTAATAGAATGATTTTTTTGTCTTGAATAAATAAGATCTATTTATTTTTTTTAACGTGGATACTGCCGGGATACAGTCCATTTTTTACAATGGTGAAATTCCTATTTTTATATTGTTTATGTATACTTATATGTACCGAAAGTGGATTGTCACTGTGTAGTATTATTTTATTTATTTGAGGAGTTCTAATAGTTTTTATAAAACTGGACATGTACATAATAAAAATTTTATAAAGTGATAAAGAGTTTTAACTAATTGATATATTCAAATACTACTGTCTACAAAAGGAAAACTGATGCTTTCTACTTCTCCATTACCATACAGGAATATTCAAACTTGAGATCCTGTAAGGGGATCTCTTGAACGGTAAGAGAAGCTTGATTGAATTGTGGTCTGTCATGTCGCTGGAATTGCAAAGGCTGCTTCTCAAAAGCTTGGAACATTGTTTCGAACCAGAAAACTGTACACAACTCAGCAACTTCTGATGCTGTATAAAGCTCCAATCAGACCTTTGGAGTATTTTTCTCATGTATGGAGCTCCGCCCCTAACCATACCTTGAAGCTGCTGGATTCCATCCAGAAAAGAGCCATCCGTCCGATTTTGGAGACACGAACATCACTTGCAACCTTTATACTCTGGAACATCGAAGAAATGTTGGAGATTTCTCTCTTTCATAGATACTTTCACGGGAGGTGTTCAAGTGACTTGACACATTTGATTCCACCAAGAGCGGTACATATCAGAAATACGCGACGGACTGAGGTTCAACTCAGTACACCTCGAACTTCCTTGTTTAAGAACTCTCCATTTGGAGAACTGCGTTTATGTAGAATAAACTTTCTGGGAACGTTTTCACAAATGAATTAAATCTCCAGTGATTCAAATCCAACATGAATTGCTACTTTCGAACAGGCTCCGCTCTTAGAGCGCCTTAAGCATTTTTCTGTAGTGCCTGTGTTTAATCCTTAAAAAAATCCGAGAGTAGTATTCAATATCTTCCTATCTACAGCTCAAGTTAGTTTGTTGATTTTCTTACCGGCTATGACCACAAATCTGTGGCTATGACTCATACAGGCACAGTTAACGAATTTACGCTTCAACGCACCTCAATTAGGCGTTTTGATAATATCGCATTTGATTTGTAGTAGTGTTCAGCGTTCGGTTGCAGATCGACTTAGCGCACGTCTATAAGAATCCAAGTTGAGTGAGGACTTGTTCTCCAGCTTTTTGAGGTTAGGTTGTAGAAGACATGTAGGTTGATTAAACCACAAATGTTCTCACTGTAACATCGGAGCAAAACCATGATAGTGCAACCAGAGCAGGATAGCTCATGGATCTTTGCACCAAATTCATTAGCAGCAGAAGCAAAATCTGCATCAGGAGAGAAAATAAACCTTGACAGTTCTGCATCTGCAAACGGCTGCTATGAAAAGATGATTCAGACAATATAGACGCTGCAAGGAACGAATGTAAAGTATTGGGAGACAGCACACAGCTGACTTACAGATGCACTAATATAGGAAGGTTGCTACGGTCATTGCACTTTCAATATCTGACAATCTAAAAATCAACCAATTAACTAGAATATTTCCAATATGTCATTATGGCGGCCGTGAAGAATATTCCACAAGATGGTCCACAGGTACGCTTCGAGAGCTGAACATTCCAACCTGGGCCGAGAGGATCTAAAAGGCACCTTCTGGTTGGTGAGTGCAGTTAGTACCCTGCACCAATTGAGCTTATTGGCTTCTTCACGAAGCTGGATTGTTTAGTCAAGTTTGAACGGGTGTAAGCCACAAAAAACCTCGCGGATTGCAGTGAAGGGTCAGATAGACCCACTTATTTTGGAACCAACTACTCTTTTCAATAAATAAATAAGGAAATCGAAGCAGTTGCTCAGTAGAACCAAGCACTTCAGATGGTTTTGCGGTTATGTTGATTATGTGCTCCACAAATCACATCTGCCAAGTTTTTATAGTTGGTGAGTATTTCAAGGATCATCATTTTTATTATATGAGGTGTAGTATGGTTTATTTACTTTGAAAAATATGAAAAGATAACATTGTGAATTCAGATACAATCCGATATGAGCAATATAGATTATATAGGTCTTTTTGTTCGAGCCCCTCGAAGGAGGTTTTTTCGATAGAGAGATAATCCCCAAGTTTTACAAATGACGTTGAAAACAATGAGGAGTTATTCTTATGCCTTAGTGATTTCAAATAACTAGTGTCTAGATTTTGACAGAAAGAATATTAGTACTTTTAAATTTATTTCTGATAGCTTACATCATTGTTCACAACATAAAATGGAGCGACTAAATTACCTTGTCCATAAGCTTGTTACGTTCTCTTCCAGTAAAAAAAAAGATATATTGAGAGGAATTTCATCAGGGGCGTAACTGTAAGCAACAGGCATTCTTCAAATAGATAAATTCTTTTTGGAACGTTAACTTGGGGAGAACCCTCGACTTTTCATTGATTGAAAGTTAATTGTTTCTCCTCATGAAGTAAGATACACTAACGTATTAGCTAGAATTCTTAAGAAGTTGAACGTGAATGTAGCTTTCAAAAATGGTTGCTCACTTCAACAAATCTTAGATAACCCCAAAGACAAGATGTGGGAAAGTTGGAATATATGAAATAAGCTGTGGGGTCTGTGACAAAAAGTATGTCGGTCAGACTAAACGAGTTATTCAAACTCGTTTCAAAATACACGTAACTATCCGATTTCGGAGATGAGAAAATTCTCAGCACGCCTTGAAAAATGGTCGCCATAGAAATAATGAACATTGTATAAAATCGTTGAGATCAGTATATGACAATACACTTTTGAAAGATAGATAAGTGTGGCCTGGGAACTATGAACAGTAACAAAGGTCCTATTCCAAACATCCCATTGTTCACCACCATACGAATCACCCTGTTGAAAATTAGCGTGAAGTTCACGAGAAAATTTCTCTTCGAGTAGTACTCAACAAGTAATTGATTTGTGTCTAAAATTTACCGTCTTAGATATATAATTAGTGAATATTACTGGAGTTTAGTCCCAACACCAAACAGTTATTTTTCACACCTCAACACATGTTTCAATCACCAAGTGATCATCTTCAAGAGGAAGAATATAAATTAGGCGAGGTTTTAGAGTTACTTCTTAATCGACTTCATCTGAAGACGCTAACTTGGTTGGTAAATCGGGCGTCGAAAATAGTGTTGCAGTTCTAGTGTTTGGAAACAGTGGTTGTTTTGGATTGAATCTAATGACAAACGATTATATGAAACACTGATGAAAAATATAAACATAATCAGTGGATCCTTGAAGCATGGAATCTTTGAATACATTCTAACCCATTATTTTAAGGAGAAATACAAATATTGAGTGATAACGATATTGTTAGCTGTTCCATGCCAAAATATAATATATGAAAATTGATAATTTGTCGGACATGCAAAAAAGTAAATCTATATCTGTTTTGCTTAAGCTATATCTCTGGAATCAGTTCAAGATGAATAGACCAGTCTCTGAATGTGCATTCTAATTTGGTATACAAATGTGTATACCACCCATTTTTTGTTTTCATGTATATATCTTGGTATCAAGCAGCCGAAATTTGTTAAAAATTCTAGAGAATGGAAGATCGAATCTCTGATTCCCATGTAATCCTTCTATCTATAACTGACCTCAAGAATAAACATTTCATTTGAAAAACATTCAAATGAAAAATATTTCAATGCCAGTCAGATAAATTAGTATCAAATCATGGAAACCAATGACCGACTCTGGGACTCGATGGGTGACTTGTATGACATCATTGAAAAATCACTCACCATATAAACTAATCGACTTCGTTTAGAAGCTGGGTATATTTCATAGTTTGAATAGGTATGAGCCACAATAAACCCTTGCTGGTTGCGGTGGAGGATCGAATAGACCCACTCATTTTTGACCTGACCTAACCTGTAAAAGACTAAGTGATTGGGTCACTTGGGTGTTTGCTGTCTCTTCTGACCCTTGCTAGTAATGTCCTTTGAAAGGTACCTTGTTAATTTCTTGCTCGCACAATTCTCCAAAAACCCTTCCATTTTCAAAAATTCTAATAGACTTTTGTTGGAAAACCAAATGTTTCTTTTATGTTTCACTTGAATAAAACAAGATATTTTCAATAATTTCTTTTTAATCAAATTACATTTTCAGTAGTACTAAAATATATTAAATATATTGCGACACACTGTGCCAAAAAAATCATCTCAGAGATGAAAAAGGAGAAAGCAATTAGAGACCATCAGATTCAATTTAAAAATCTAGTGATAAAATGTAACAGAAAAAATGAAGTCTTCTTCATTCCTTTTCTATTTGTCTGGCACTTGTCCTAAAATTAGATTGTACTATAACTTTGTATAAAATATTTACAAATTAAGGTAGATACATTGGTTTGATCCTTGAAAAACGAACAAAAAAAAATATACACTGATCTTACAAATAACATTTTGATACTAATACAGCTATTTAACAAGTGTTTCGACAGATAAGAAGTTTTAGGTGTCGAAACATGAACCGGAAATGGTTCGTAAGAAAAAAGTGGTACCAACCTGAAAATAGCAAATTGTTTGGGTGAAAAATATCCTTCAAATATAAATTTCATCAAATACAATTTAAAAATCAAAGAATTTTAACTTTAATGGTCAGAGTATACCAAAACTATTTTTCATGCATATTGGTTGTGATATCTTAATTTAATGCCAATCATTTTGTCCAACACTAATGAATAGAAACTGAACAACATCAATTAAAAGCTGAGTGTCATCGACAACAACCTATTTAGCAGTTTGTACAAGGCTCAAGATGATAGCCTGAGGAGTAAAAACTGGGCAAAAATTGTTCCATTCAAATGTTCCTTAGTGTCAATATCATCAAGGTTTTATATCTTGTTTCAGTTGCTTTAAGAAATGTCGTCTATACAGGTAATCTAATATTTAACTCTGGGTATATTTCTGTAAACTTGCCATCACCGATACAGACCAGAAGAGACCAGACACTATTCTGAAATAGTTTCTTGTTCAACTTTTCACTAAAAAATTGAAACATTACATGGAATTTATCAACCTCACCATCAAAAATGAAACTTTATTGTTCTCAAACTTTTTAAACTATACAACTATGAATCCATAAATATGTAAATATAAAATCTTGATATATATAAGTATATAAATCAAAGAGAAAATTGTACAAAAAAGTAAAAGTAAGAACTCGAAACTGGCAAGTATTTTTGAAAAAAAAACTCACTTGTACGATTCATAAAGAGTTTTCTTAAACAAAGCACTTGATGCATTTTATTCAAAACGGACGACCCTATTTCGTTTACCAACTGCCTTCCCAGGGCTTTCAACTTCAAATTGTGCTCCGTATTTATTAAAATTTCCCTTCGTCGCTCTCGTTTTCGGTGAACTAGTTTCCTGCTCTGCTGCAAGTTTTGAGACTGATTTATTCTTGGCCAGACGCCCTGACCTCTTTGTAGCATCCACTGATGCATCCTCTTCTTCTGTGTTATTTTTTCTTGTAGTTTTTTTAGCTGGCTCTTCTTCTGTGTATTCCTCGATCTCTTTTCGCCTCCTACTTCTCGTTGGTTTGACTGGTTCGATAACTTCATCCTCACCTTGTTTCTTTCCCCTGGTTTGTTTTTTGGTAGTGGTACTTGGAAGTTCCTCATTATTTTTGTTTTTGGTGCCTCGTGTAGGTTTGGAGTTGTTGATCTCTTCGCCAGTTTCTTTGAGTACTTCAACAGAGTTTTTTTTCTGTACCGCTTTTCTCGTTTTAGATTTAACCACTTTTTCATCCTAAAAATAATAAAGGCATTCATTTAAACTAAAGTTTATCAGAAATAGTTTACAAAATATACCTCGGCTTCTTTTGTATCTTCTCTTGCCTCCAATGTATTGAGTCTGTCATCTGAACATACCTTCCTCCCCCTCTTTGCTCTTTTCAATACTGGTTTGTCATCCAGCTTTTCATTTTCCGAATTTTTCTTTGTTTTTCTCCCCCTGAGTGGTTTAGAAACATTTTCTTTCTCCAACTCTTCACTAGATACAGGAGATATGTCTCCTGTAGTGCTGTCAACTAGATTAGAAGAAATTTCTTCTTCTTCTATTGCAGAAACTTTTGTTGCTTTTGGATATGGTTTTTTGAAACGCGTGCTCGAAACTTCAGATTGTTCCGACGAAATCTCGTCCACTTTTTCATCTTTGCTCTTCAAGATTTTTTTCGAATTTTGCGATGTTTCAGATTCAATGGCTTCCACTTTTCTTTTACCTCTTGTTGGTTTTTTTATACTTTCCTTGTCTATAATTTTCGCATTCCTTCTTCCTCTTGTTGGTACCTTTGGTGATTCTAAAGTTACAGTACTTTCCTCCGATTTCTCCAATATATCATCAGACATCTCAACCAACTTTTTTTTTCCCCTAGTAACCTTTTCTATAACTGCAACCTCCGGAATATTTCTCCTGCTTCTGCTTGTTATAAGAGATTCATCTGAAAGTACTGTGACATTATCGGATTTCTGCTCATCCATATTCACTTTCTCTTTTCCACTAGCAGATTTTGACTTATTTGTTTCCACGTCAAGTTCTTCAGATTTTTTATCGTTCACCTTCCTTTTACCTCTTGTCGTCCTTTCCACAACAGGAGATTTTACGACCTTCCTTCTACCTCTGGTGGTTGTTTTAGGAGATTCCACTGAAGCTATTACAGGCTCTTCAGATGTTTCATCATTTTCATTAACTCTACCAGGTTTGTCTACTTCTTCAATTTCTCTACTTTCAAGCTTCAAGTTCACTGTTTTTTTCTTTCCTTTGGTGGATTTTTCTTTATGGACAACAGTCTTCTTTCTACCCCTGGTCGTTCTAGGAGAATCAGTACCAATTACTTCCATATCAGAATCTGTGGACTTTTCTACTTCCTTCACTTCTTCCGTTTCATCATGCTGGTCTTGTTCCATAACTTTTTTTGATCTACCCCGAGTGGTTTTTTTCGGAGGAGAAACTGTTGGTGCTGAAGTTTCTGCTTTATTTTGAGTCCTTGATGCAGCTTTTCTTCTTCCACCTCTTCTAGGAGGTGAATCTACGTCTGTGGCTTCTCTTATTTCTTCAACCCTCGTCTTTTTCTTGCTTCTTGTTGGTGGCTCCTCAACAACGTCCTTCAATTCTGCTTCAGGTATTTTGTCATCAGACTCCGTATTATCCCACCTGTAACAACTTTCATGAATAAGAGCATACAAAAAATAATTGTACAGCCATGCTGTTATCAAAGAAAAAAAGATACTCAATTGGACAATTTTTCAACAGATCATCCGAGTACACAGCCATTTTAAGTAATGAAGAGAGATATTCAGATGAATATTCAATTTATTTCTTCTTTGTGTCGTTTTCACATAGATTAGGCAATAGTCAGTAACATGTCTTTTGTTTTTACAAATCTGTTCCAACACGTGTAGATAAAAATTGTGTCAAAATGTAATAATAATAATCTTTATTAATCCCAAGAAACAAGAATTTTTATAACAGGGATAAAATTCAAAATAATGATTAAATAAATGATTTCAATATTAAATATCAGTTACATATACAGCACATAAATACAAACAATATACATATATACATACACATACATATATACATTTTTGAATTATAGCCATTACTACGTGGTAGTAACGGCTACATCCATCAATTTATTTAAAAAAATGTAATATGGAGATCAGAATTTCAATTAGAGAAAGAAAGCAGAAACTTTTTCAATTCCGATTTGAATTTTGTTTTTTGATTCATTTTTAATTTATCTGGAAGATTATTATATATTTTAACTCCTAAATGAAATATTGATTTCTCCCCAAATTTTGAGCGATATGATTCAACTGGTAGTTTTTTGCTTGTCTTGTATTATAGTCATGAATGGTATTTATTTGATTGAATTACAATATAGAATACTAATACAAAATATAATTCAATTATTAATAATAATCAGCAGTTTTTTCATGGTAGGTCAATACTTTAATCTGATATTTGTAAGAATGTAAATCAAATAAATCAATATAGGTGCTATTCTTATTTGCTAGCCTAAGCATTCTAGTAATTCAAGTCATATCTGGTGGAATGATGAGGAATTTTAAACAACTTTGACGCTCTGGTTCATCTTGAATTTACGTTGAAGTCAATCAGTTGTGTTACATATGGACAGTTCATTATAACTTTATAAAGAAGTCTTAAATCAATTTCAAATCGGCGGTGCTCTAAAGTAGATAAATTCAAAAGTAGTAGAATATCGAAGTACTCATAATCACATCTCTGATATCCGAGCTCAAATGCACATGATCTCAGAAATTTGTTTTGTATTTTCTCAATCCAAGATATATCTGCCTGATATAGAGGACTCCATATCACGCAGTTACTTTCCAAGACCGAGCGTACCAAAGAACAATACAATATTTTAAAGGTATTTATAGAAAACTTGTCTGTGGATCATTGAAAAAATCCCAATAATTTGAGTGATTTAGATACGATGTGATCAATATGACCTTTGAAGATTACTTTATCAAACAATACTTATGATTTCGTATGGATATACAATAGGCTTTACAGTTTTTGAAAATGTTACTGAATAACATTTATTTATATTTAAATGAAGCATGTTTATATCACACCAACGAGGGAAGTAATTCAAGTCTAGTTGTAACAGTTCTGCGTCACAAAAGTTATCTACTACTCTATTAAGTTTGAGATCGTCTGCTGTGGTGTATGACATCCAATACATCATTTATTATATACCAAATAAAGGGTATCACACATAGTTACACCCAAAAACTTCCCATTATCTTATCTTCTCAGAGTTGTTTTTCCTAACTGAATGTCTATATTTTATGATTTCATTTATAATGTGTTAATTTGTAGTTTGACGAGTATTTTACAATATCAGCTATGTACAGCCAAAACAATACTGGATCAAGCACACTTCCTTGAGGAACTCCTAACTTATACAGGTGAATGTTGTGAATTGTGTTTTGTATTTGGACTACCCTTCTCACTGAGATACTCGAAAGGAAGAATTTGTAACCTCTGATATAAAATAAGTCCATGAAAACTTTTTCAACACCAGTACAAAAATACTGCCTCTCATCTTTTCACTAACCAAGTTAAATAATCAGTAAAAGACTGAGTTAAAAAAATATAGAGATATGAAGTCACAAGTATTAACTATCCTCAATTAATCGATGAAAGCATTTGAAATAGATAACTAGAGCTACATTGTCTATGTGATTCACGCATATGTAGATCAAACAGTTGATACACTACTAAGTCCAATATTTTCGATAGCGAATATCCAATGAGTAATAGTGAAAGAAACAATTCTTGTACACATCACAATTCATAAAATATGTTAGAACATTTTACTGCCTGCTGATGAGAACCTAAATCGTAAATCATCACTTTCATCAGCACTCTAAGAACTTGAAGAAATCAGTAAATTTGCCAACACAGAATGATTTACAGCATTGCCAAATGTTTTCCATAATATTTTACTGCCAAGTGAACAAGTTGAAAAAATGAGCACTCAATTAGTCATATAATTATTGTACAAGAAGAAAACACAAAAATTGCTATGCTAATTTCAATAAATAGGTTGATAAAATTTCTATTTCAGAGAATGGATATTGACATTTCTTTTAAATTTCCAACAAGTCCAGTATATTACAATCATGTCATGAAACTTTAGGATTTTTAGAAGGCGTTTAGTCAAATATCACAATCTAAAAAAACTGCACAAAAATATCATTTCAATACTATGCACTGATCGCAAGCAAATTTGAAAAAAGTGATGTGATTGTGTTCTCATTCAATAAAACCAAAGGGCCATGAGGGATTGAAAATAAATATGACAGTACTAACCTTTCAAGTCTTATTACAGCTTGATCTTTAACCCAGTCTTCCACTCTCGGACTTGTAACACTCTTGTCGCCCATTGTCTTCCTTCTAGCTCCATAGGAATCGATCGTTTTGTTTGGTGACAAGCTCTTTCCGCGGTAGGTTCTCGGAGGTCGTTTGTCCATCAGTTTATCGAACAGATCTTCGTTGTTCTCAATATCACTAGTGTTGCTCAATCTGTGAACTCCTGAAATATTAAATATATCTGCTACTCCTTCCAAACAGCTCAACTCATTTTGAGGATCTTTAGACTCTTTAGGTGTACTCAATAGCACCTTCACACCCCTCAAATCGCTGAGATCATTTTTAGGGCTGTTTTGTAACTTAGGTGACATTATTTTTCGTAAATTAGGTACATTGGTGAGATCATTTTCTGGAGATTTCATTTCTTTTGGGGTGGCTAAAAGTTTCTTGACCCCTACAATATTCGTCAAGTCATTTTTGGGTGGTCTCACTTCTCGAGGAGTAGCTAAGAGCTTTTTCACCCCAACAATGTTGGTTAAATCATTTTTAGGAGATTTTATTTCCTTGGGAGTAGCTAAAATCTTTTTCACTCCAACAATATTTGTTAAATCATTTTTTGGAGATTTTATTTCCTTGGGAGTAGCTAAAAGCTTTTTTACTCCAACAATGTTAGTTAAATCATTTTTGGGAGATTTCATGTCTTTTGGAGTTGTTAGAAGTTTTTTGACACCTCTCAAGTCAACCAGTTCATTGCGAGGTGATTTCGTCACTTTCGGTGTGCTAAATAATGTTTTCGTTTCTCTTACATCCGTTAAATCATCTTTAGGACTATTCTGAACCTTTGGTATTTTCGTAAGTCTTCTAATCCCAGAAACATTCTCGATATCATTCTTTGGACTCTCTAGTATTATTTCAACTTCTTCACTTGAAGCATCCAAACTTTCTTCGAATACTTCCTCATCGACAGAACCTGAAGTAATAGTATGGGCTGTCGAAACAGATATAGGAAGAGACCTCCTAACAGACTGGCGTTTCGTTATCCATTCTCCTGTTGAGGACCTGGTACGAGGATGAGTTATAACAGGCTTATCGGTAAGATTACTCAAGTGACTAGGTGTGTCTTGAGATACAAATGAAGCAGAAATGTCAGTAAGTGCCTCATCAGACTGGAAAGATTCAAAAGAATCATCATATGCCTGAAAATATTGAGGTGAATTAATAATAACGAATTTAATTTCTCAAGGAAAATACATGTTTATTGTGGGAAAAAAATATTTCAGAACTATAACTACAAAAAGAACAGAACTGAAACTTGAAAAAATGAAATGCTTAAAAAGCAATCTAATATGAAAAAAACTGAACTAATTATCTCTGATATATCTAAAAATACATACATGTAAAATGAAATTTTGACAAATGTTAGTTTTCATTTCAGATTAATGAAACCAGAGCCCTTAAAAAAAGTATTTGTGATCTAACACCAGGCAGCACTGTTTCGACCCGCCAAGATCTCATCAATGGTGCCAAATTGAACCACAAATGCATTGCAGGACTCAACTGTCATTGAATGACAAACCTTAGTAGATAAAAGGAATAACATCATCCCATCCATATAGATTCGACAAGACGCAATCGGTGAATAAGGATTTCTTGGACAATAAAGCATGATTGATTGATTGATTGACTTGTGTCCGACTCTCAATACAGTTCATGTAATCAATATTTCAAAATACATTATTACTGGCTTTTTTTCTAAAGTGTTGTATTGTGCTAAGTAAATACAAACTGCTTCCGTTATTTTTTTCTGTCCTATTTTGTTACATATACATATATTCAGTATCTACTTGAAATTACATATTATTTTATAGTTTTATGTGTAGTGATAGCTAATATGTGTAATTTTGTTTGGTTGTTTTTTATTTAATTTTTTTAACCAAGCTTTGTCAATAAGATATGAATCTTCAGAAAATAAAGCATATTTTGACTTCACTTAACTTTTAATATCAAGGATAAATGAAACTCTCCAAGGCGGTGCATTGCAAAGCCTTGTTTCGACTTCAACCAACGAACAAGATTTGTTCTCTGTCTTTCACTACAATACAACCTAGATAGTGAAAGACAAGAGGGTGAATCTCATTCGGCGTTGGATATCAAAGCTTGGCTTTGCATTGAACCATTACCTTAGGATCCTGATTTATCTTTAATTCTTCTAGATTGAGTTTATAGAGGCATGAAACGGACGCTAGGCATATTCTAAACTCCAAGCTTTCATGTTGCATCTGCCTATCATCAACTATTAATGACTCAAGACGGCAGGATAGATTCGATTATATATGAGCATTTCGAATAACTTTGAAAATTAATCACCAGGAACAATTTAGCTTGTTTCCACAAATCTGGCCATGACACATATGTCAATAAAAACCACACCACAAAAAAATTTATATTAACCAACAAATTAATGAATTTTTTTTCTTATAATCGCCCTAATCTGTGAATTGTTGTAAATGTTGGGTAAAACAGTATTACTTATTACTTACAATGATTTATACATGAAGAAAACTCACCTCAAAACTGTCATCTTCATTTATAATTAGTTTTCTTTTTTTATGTTGCCTAACAGAATTGTCATTGGATTCCCTTGGTCTCTTGGTAGCCTTTTTGTTAGATTTGGCTTTGTTCAATTCCTCTATTAAACTTTTTGATGACTTTTGCATTCGACTTCTTGATTTGATTGCAGATTTACGAATGTTCTCAAATAATCCAGGAGTAGTCAAGGGAGTTTTAAAACCGGATTCACTTTCGGTTGGGTCCAAAGGAGATACGGGAGTAATATCTTCTGTTACTGGTTGGTATGGTGTAGATTTGCCCCTGTCGAGAACAAATTTGGTAAAAAATATTGTGGAAAACCAAAAAAGAAAATTATGGAATACAAAATTTTCAACTCACCTTCGACTTTTAATAGCCGATTTTGGCGTTGACAGATCACTTTCTTCAATTTTAGAATGGATAGTTTTTGATAATTTCATATGACTCCGCTTGCGCGACTCGTCCAATGATGAGTCAATATAAACAATGGAAGTATTATTTTCAGGAGTACTTTCCAAAGAATCACTCACTGATATCACCTCTGTTTTAGTATTGATGCTTCCCATTAAAGAAGTCCGATTCATTTCAGGAGTTTCTAATGTCATAGACAATTGTGATTTTCCAATGCCTTCAGCAGAAGATTTGTTAATTCTTCTAGATGATCGTCTACTCATTTCAGGAGTCTTAGATTCATGAGTCATATCCGAATCATCACAATCTGTCAATCCTTCAGGTTCATATTTCCTAAACGAAGCTTTTCTCTTGGATTCTAGAGTTTCTGCTCCACTATCTTCGATGGTGAATTCATCATACTGCATAAACGAAGGGAAATTTTCATTCAAAGTAGAATGAGCAAGAGAAACTGTGTAAGAATTCTCAATATTGCTGCTTCTTCTTACAGATCTTCGAGGATGATGACCGACAGGAGATAATCTGACTGAAATCCTTTTTGACTTTTCAGCTGTAAATAAAGTACTTTTTTCAACTGTTTCTTCTTGTAATGATTCATCATTATCACTAACTGAAACTACACTTTGCACTGAAGGTTTGTTTGTTTCTAGACCAGCAATAGATTTGCTACTTTGATTTGCTGGAGACTGGGAAGAATTTCTCATAGAGTATTTGAAACTCGGTTTAGGTGTTCTTGATGATCTCCGAATAGGCAGAGACACTCCATGTTTCAATGGAGTGGTACCTTGAGACAAACGACGGATTGAAGAATTTTTTATTTCAACTGAAGATCTAGTTAGCTCAGGTGTTTTATTGTCCAATGTTATGATCAGGTTCTGCTGAAGTCCCAACGGCAAAGTTAAGTTTTTGGAAAGATTGTTCATTGACAACTTTGTAGATTTTCTCAAAGACTGGTTTTTGGGAGCAAATGTTTGTTCCTCTAAAGGTAAAGTTTTATCATGATGGATACCAGCAAGTGAAGATTTCCCACTTCTTCTAGAAAAATTGTTCTTTGCTTCAGCTGTTTCATCTTCCATTACAAAAGTTGAATCTGTATGAAGATTACTTATCGAAGATTTTCTGGCAGTCACCGAGGATCTGTTTCGTGATGTTGTCATTAGTTCATTCATTATCAAAGTTGAGTCCTGATGAGTACTCTCAATTAATGAATTTCTACTTGTTTCATTTGAACCAGATGTTCTGTCTTCAATTGGCAAAGTTGAGCTTTGTTTGAATGTTTGTCCTTCCGACTGTAAATTAATTTTTTGAAGGGTGCCAAGTGATGATTTCCTGCTTGATCTGGCATATTGGTTCGTGAACTCAGGTGTTCGCATGGTCAAGGTAGAGTCTTCATTAAGTTCAGATTCAGATTTCACACAGGACTGGTCCTTTGAATCAAGCTCTTCTTTTTGAAGATCATCGACCAATGATTTTTCACCTTTTACTGAAGACCTATTTCGTAGTGTTAGATTGCTTATGGATGATTTCCTGCTTTTTCTCAAAGAATTTACCTCTGGTTCTACTGGTGAATTAAGATCACCAACCAATGACCTTTTACCTCTTCCTGAAGATCTGTTTCTTGTTATAGATGTAGTTTTTTCTGACGAAGAGCTGGGGTTTACTTGAATACTATTATTAGATCCTTTCTCTTGCTGGCGTGTTTCATTTTTCAAAATTTCGTCAAGATCTTCACCTGAAGATTCTCTGTCTTTTAATGAAGATCTTATCTTTAAGTCAGATGCATTTTTTGAGTCGGGGATCAGTTCTTCAAGATTTCCTAAAGATTTTTTTCCTCTTACTAAGGGGGTTCTTGATTCATTTTCAATGTGTTGAACCACAAAATTATTACTGTTTCTTAACGAACATCTACGGCTTTCTTCTGGCGTTTTGTCATCTGCAGACAATAACGACTTTTTCAAAAGTTGACTTACAGATTTGTTATTACCAGTAGCTTGATAAATCTTCTCTGTTGATGTATTAGAGACTGATGTACCCTTGTGACATGGTGAAGTTGATTCGTTATTACTATTTGCTATTTTCAATGGAGATTTCGTCATTTTCAAATCTTTATTTCTTAAAGATGAGAACATTTCTTTTGGTAAAGACTTCCGATTTTTACCGGATCTACGAGATAATATACATGGTTCCAAAGTGCGCCTTCTTCTATCCGATAATCTTCGTTTCGATAAAGGGGGTGGTTCTTCATCGGCAAGTGAAGATTCAAGTTCTGACTGGTCAGTTGCATTACCTTTAGAAATATCAAGTAATCTATCCTCTTCATCTTCTTCATTATATTTAAGACTTTTTCCCACTGAAGATTGGTCACCATGACCTTTTGTCTCTTTGAGAATATTTGCATTGCTACTCCTTCTCCTAGAAGATGATTGTCTTGATCCTTGAAAAATGGGAGACAAATGGATTTCATCAACTTTAGAACCATCTTCCTCGGTAAAATCAATCATCGGGTCATTTTCCTTCATAGAAAATCCTCCTACTGATAATTCATTAGTTTCATCAATGTTGACGATTAGAGAAACATCATTTTCTTCATAGACTTTACTATTCGTTGCAGCTGTACCAGATGTGGAACACCTCTGCCTTGGAGTTGAAATTTTCACTGACGAACTTAGGGTACTTTTCGTTTCGTCTGTCATGGAATGCTGATCAGAAGAACTTGATAACTGTAGTTCAAATGAATCTTCACTTGAATTGCCTTTGTTGATGTCATCCAAGGTAGGTTCATCATTAGAGGATACATCTTTTGATTTTTCTTTCAGAGAATGTAGAGATCTCCTTGAAAATATTCTTGTTTTCAATTCATGATTGCTCTTCCTTTGTTTGTCTACTGAATTCAGACTTGTCCTTTGCAAAGACAATCGAGATCTGCTGGAAGATGGTTTTTCCATACTCTTTCTCAAAGACAACATTGATACAGATTTTTTTGAAGATTCGGTATCTGATGAAAAAACCAATGAATCATCATTGGTGAGTGATGATGAAGATAATCTCAAATACTCTGTTTCATCAGAGTACAAAATGCCCTTATCATTTTTCAAATTCCTCACTTTAACATTGGAAAATGATACCGTTTTTCCCAAAAGGTCGCTGGTGTCATCCTCTGTAGCCAATTCACTCTTTCTAGGGGTGTTTTTCAATATAGACTTTCTAGGAGAATTTAAATCTATGAGATCGCCAGCTGTGGACAGTTTCTTCGAACTTCTTGTTCTCAAACTCAATTTGACAGATTCTACTTTTTTATTTATTGGTGTTGTCAATTGGTTCATAGAGAGTGAGGGTATTTCTTCCTCTTCTGTAATCATCGAGGTTATGGTATTCTTGTCGAACTGAATATTTCTAGCCGAAACTCTTGAATTTACATTGTTTCTGGAGACTTTTCGTGGATTACTTCCCAGAGATAATCGATGTTTTGTATTACTTGCATTGGCACCCAGCGCCTTCGAGACAACCAATTTTGAACTGAAAATTAAACATTAGTTAATGTAAATTGATGGATGTAGCCGTTACTACGTGGTAGGAAATCGTAATGAAAAGAGAAATGAAAATTTCTGTTTTTTACCAGTAACTAACGTTACTGCAGTTTCGTCCTATACGGACATTTTAGGACGAAACTGCAGTAACGTTAGTTACAAATAAAAGTGGTAAAAAAATAGAAATTTTCATTTCTCTTCTCATTAGTTATTGTAATTGTTTAGTAAATCGTGTAATTATTATAGTTTTGAGTGATTGGAATCTACTCTTTGAGAATGAATTTGGGACCACAATTCACATAGAAATACTATTAAAACATATATTCATTACTAATCATTCGATCATCCTAGAGAGTGATTTAGAAATCAGACTACAAATTGTTTACGAGAAATTTTGTTTTTGATTTTTGTGGTTTATTTTCTGAGGTTTTGATCTTTCACAATCTTGAAAAAATCAAGAGTTACAAGTAAATGAATACAAGTGTATCAGGGATTTCAACTATGTAAACTATACCTAGTTCCACAACCGATTGCCTTTTTTTAAGCAATTGTTAATATAAGATTATTCATTAAGGTTTAGACTGAAGATACTGAAATACTGAATTTCCTGATTGACTCGGCCTAGAGTATAAAAGTTTAGTAGATGCTCTAAGCTCTAGGTAATTACATTTGAGTACATACCTATGTAGGTAGTTCTCACTGGTGATTACATGTGGTATTTAAAAGTTAGAGTAAGTAATTAGTTTTCAATATGTTATTTACTATGAAAAAGCTAGAGTGATAGCGAAACATGTCGTGAAATTTAGAAAATAAAGTTTGTGAAGATCAAATTGTTTTCGGTAGTTTGTGAGATGGAATAGTGAAGATTAATAAATAGCATAGAGAGCCATAATAAAAAACTAACTTAATTTCATTAAAAGAGAGAAGTAATTGAATGAATGAATGAATGAATGAATGAATGAATGATTTATTGGTAGGAAGATCCTAATACACAAACATAATATACATAATATTTCATGTTATATAAACACACATAGTAAGGATATAATACATATATACATATAGGTACACATAAATACATAATATATACCGAGTCACTTACTATCTATTCTATTGTGATACCAGTCATATAATCAGTCAAATCTTTTTTGAATTGAAACAGGTTTTTATTATTCTTCACATTTTGGGGAAGTTTGTTATATTCAATGAGGCCTTTATATAATAAAATTTTCATGGAGTTTGATAAACTACATCGTGGCAGGTGAAAATTGTCATTTTGTCTAGTAGTGTAATTGTGAGTGGAATTTCTATAAATGATAAATTCTTCGAAATAAGAAGGTAGCATATGATTGGTTATCTTAAGGGCAATATTGGATAAGAACTATACATCAGTGATTTCGTCTAATTTCATAACTCCAAGTCCAATTTTGCATTCAATGAAACCAAAATACAAGACTAACACTGTCTTAGTCATCTTCTAATTTGGTTAGTGAAAGGTACATTGGAAGACAGCAATTCTGTTCTGGTGAGGAAGTGTTTTCAATAGATTCCTTACACAATATTTAAATTTTTTCAATCTTAATAAAGTTGAATTTTCATATAAACTTGAATTTCTATAACTATATCTAGCATTAGAGAAATATTCTTGTTTTCAGAGATTTTCTTCATGGTGGAAATCAATTAATACTTCCTAAAATTTACAATTTTTACTGAAATCATATCAAAATTCGATTTTCTGGAGTTCAAAGTGTTTCTACAATTTAATATAACTGATTTCAAACTGAACACCCTTGATACAGGAAAACTACTCACAGGCACCGACTTTTTCAATATGTCAAGTAATTGGAAGCAAATATTAATTGCATGTCACATATACAAATTATGTCTGATCGAAATGGCTGACTATTTTCAAACCAAACATTTATAATTACAACCAAAGTAAATCTGTAAATAACATTCTGTAGTATCATAAATGAAAAACTTGTATTCACAATGAACAAAAAGTGACTTTTTTTAAAGGTAACTTTTTTAAAACAAAAACAATTACTCACGTTGTTTTGGATTTTTCACTAAGCGATCTTTGGTCCATCCTTTTTTGTGGAGTAATGGAAGTTCTAAAAGTTTACAGACAATCAATATAAGATTTATACTAAATTGAATGAACATTACCCTTCAGAGTTCCTTTTTAAAAATGCTCTTTTAACCTGAACTGGAGTTTTGGTCCTACAAAAAATCTATGTATAAAATCTATTCGCGAATCATTGGTATGTGGAATATTCAACTTACTTTAAATTAGGCGACTTTTTAGCACTTTTTGATTGAAGTTGAGGAGCCATACTTCTTCTAATTGAAGGTGTTAAAACCTTTTTGGCAAGATCTTTCTCATTTTTTTCTACTTCCTGTAATAATTTCATTAAACCTTGAATTTTACAAAGAAATGAAAACTTACCTCCTTTGTGATATTGTCATTCAGGTACTGACATTTTTTCCCAACTATCTCAATAATATCTTTATCATTCAATACTTTATGCTTTCGTACTGAAATGCCATTTACTTTTACAGGGGCCTTTATAGATTTATTTAAAATGGTGGCCTACAAAAAACAGATACACGTATCAGTCAACCCATTTTTAGCTGATTGTTAAAAACCAATATCTATATGTTTTTTCAATAATCCTTTATAAAATAGTTAGTCTGGATGTGGTATACAAGAAGAGAAACATATCAAAAATTTCATTTTTCGAGTTATTAAAATTTTGTTAAAAAAGATTATCCATAAAAACAACATAATTAAATACAGGATGCCTGAAAAGTTTAAAATTAACTTTTTTCCCAGAAGTATTCTACTAGAAAAAAAGCTTTTTGGCTTTCTACTTCTATGTTGTAATGAATAGTTAAGGCTGATTTATAGTTTAAGTAACGCAACCGTACCGCTAACGCCCACCGTACCGTAAAAACATAAAGGTTCAGATTAACATGCTTTCATTTATAAATGCTACTCCGCAAACGCAACAACGTATCCGTAACGTAAGAGATGGTCATGTTTCATCTCTTGCGGAACTATTCCTTACGGACAACCAATCAGAGCACGAAATTTCTGTTTTCAACAATTGACAGTATGACAAACATTTTGAAACTTTCAAAACAAATCTCTTTGTATTTGACACACAACAGGATTTGACAGAGTGAATGCACATGCGGATGCTACTGTTTTGCGTTGCGGTGTGTCATCTATGAAAGGAATATTTGTTTTTTTGCGTTAATGATTACGTTACGGTACGTCTTATGTGGCGTTACTTAAACTATAAATCCAGCTTTATAGTTCATACATTTTCTTCCACAGGTATGATGAAATGATAACTTAAACTAACACTGTAGGTACAGGGATGTAAAACTCACTAGGTGCAACCTATTTTGAATTCAAATTGAGACAAGTAAATATAATTGGTGAAGAGTAAGTTATACATGAATCAATCTATTTGAAATTTGCTATTTGATATTTATTTTAGTTTAGACTGCAGGTTAGGTATATCCAGAAAAACAAAACACTTTTTAGAAATAACCTTTAACTAAATCCAGTAGGATAGGAAGGTTTACTCACAATTCCACTTTCATTCACATTGATGATACAATGTATTTTTTCTAGGTGATCATCACTGATTTTGAGCCTCACATCAGCTTCTGGAGAAGAGCCCACTGTAGTTTGGCCCTGGGATAATTGATACATCAGGGATTGTGCACCATCCTTGCGGAAAAACAACAGAGAACCGTATTCCTCATCAGAAGAATCCATATTTTCAGAACTACTTTCCATTTTGCTATCAGTTCCCTGAAAGTTGTTTACAAGCTAAAGCAAGAATCAAATTTTGTCAGACATGACGCGTGACAAACAAAGCTAACCACAATGTTGCAACTAAAATCCCTAGAATTACCAAGTAGAAGTGTTGTGATTATGCTGCAGTTAATCAAAATATCTTCATTTATTTAAATACAATTAAGAAAGGCGATAAATTTATCATGGGATTAGTCGTCTACAGATATATAATTGAAATAAAAATCGTTTAATACTCGAGGTTTCAAAACCACAACTTAAAACGTTCTCTTGCGGCAATTTCTTTTACACTACTGTACCACTACTGCACTTGGGGATTTTAACCGCCAAAGCTTATTTCATCAATATGTAAGCAATTTGAAAACGTAAGTATCGAAAATCAAATTACTTTCATTCTGCAATCCAAATACACACTCACCATTTTCTACAATGTGAATATTATACATTTTCACTATTTTTAATCTCTTTCAGAATAAAAGACACCACAACAATTCAACATTCCTTACATAAACCGACTGATGCCGACGACCAACGCATTTTTTCGTTAGAGAGCACTGCGCATGCTCTCTTAAAAGTAAGTGAGGGATTGTTGTGATTTACGAAATTGATTCAAAAGTTTTTTTCTAGGCATCGAAGTCCACCAAAATTGAAAAAATTCACAAATTATCACTCAGAATTTGGGAGCGTTTTGTTATCCTTGAAAATAAGATTTCAGTATGTTATTTGACTGATCTCCCAAAAGCATTTTGTCTGTGATTGGTTCATTTGAATTCAACCGTTGAAAATGTGGAACTTTTTAAATTCAAATTTGCATCCAAAGGTCGTTTGTAAATCTCCTTCAACGGATGGCTACGAAGTGGAAAATTTAATAAGTGACGAATATTCGAAGAGAGTTCGCGGTTTTATAGCCTATCCAGCGATAAAACCACCAGTTGAAATCGAATTCGAGTTTATTTGCCCGGTTAACATAGATCATATCAATCTCAACACAGTAGTGGGTTCACAGAAATGCAATGGAATCGAGATATATGCCAGAAATGAAATTCTTACCCATACTCTTATATGTAAATCAGTATTTGATAAGATGGGAATAATATTTTGCAATAGTAGAAAATACTCAAAAACCAATCCTCCTGAGGGATACAATAATAATTATGAACTATGTTTTTTCCGAAGTAATGCTTTTAGAAGTTTTTTAAATGCAAGCAGTATCAAAATAGTTATATTCAGAACAGATAAATCAGTACCTTGTTTGAGATCTGTTGAAGTGTGGGGGATACCATCAAAGTCTTGTTCTCAAGTCACTATCAACACTATAACAAAACTAGCCACCAAATCCCTGACACCAAATGTGGCCACTATTTCAACACCAATGGAGGAATTCAAGATACCTGAAGACTTCAAAGATGACTTAACATGTAATATTATGTCAATACCTATGACATTGCCAAGTGGCAAAACTGTAGATCAAAGTACTCTGGAAAAACATATACAAAATGAAACATCCTTTGGAAGAAAACCCTGTGATCCATTTACTGGAATAAAATTCACTGACCACCTCAAACCAATAATGAACGTAGCTCTAAAAACTAGAATAGACATGTTTATTCTTCAAAATTCGCATCGGGCAGAAATTTCAAACATGGGAAGAACTATTGGTAGGGCAAGTGGCACCAGAAGTGATCATGTAGGTAATAACGTGAAAAGAAAACATGACTATTCTGATTGTAATGGCGATCTAGAAGAAGCCATTTCAAAAGTTAAACGAAGTACTAGTTTCATGTCTTTTACAGATGATTTGAGTATCGATAAAAATAGTTGTGTTAAATGTAAGAATAAGCTAGATATTCTGTACAAAATTCCATGTGAACATTATTACTGTAGAGTGTGTTTATTACTCATTTGTGAAAATTCAAAGTGCTCTATCTGTGATATATCATTTATGAAAAGTGAAGTGCAAAAATGTAATTTATGAACATCTGCTGGATTTATATAGCCATATCCAATCTGGAAGTAATAACTATACTTGAAATTCACATGAAAATTTGTTAGTAAACCAAAAAAAAGAAATATCAATGGTGCAGGAACTAAATTTATTGAAATTTTATGTTCAAATAATTTTTGTTGGATAGAAAATTTGACAATAAAAACACATAATAGTAAGCACGATGTGTTTTTTCAATCTTTTGAATAATTGATTTGGTCTTCAAATATGTATCTTCAAAATATTCCAAATTTGAAAATAGCGTACAATTTAAACTTGATTTGACCTTGAATTCGAATAACTTCCCACAAAACGCTAGCGCCATTCATGGTTATCTCACGAACATTCATTTAAGACTGGATCATAACTCATAACCATAATTAATTATGAACAATAATATAGTTAATTGAAAGAAATATATTTTTGGGAAAGATACATTTTTGGAAACGGTTTTGGCTTTCTACTTCTCCATCTTTATACAAAAAAAATGTGGAAATCTTTCAAAGAACGAAAGGAAACAATCAATTTAAAAAAATTGTATAGAGTTAACTTTCTGAAATTGATTGCTTCCTTCTATTCTTTGGAAGATTCTCACAAGTTTTGTATGAAGTTGGAGAAGTAGAAAGCCAAAACCTTTCTTTTCCAAATGCAGTGAACTTTGGTACGAACGACAACCCTCAGAAGTCGAAACTTGTGCGAGCTAAGGATTAACGAGATTTTACCTTTTAACGTGTGATTCCTAAAAGAAAAATTAATTCAAATTTCTACCACTCCATCAAAAATTATAATAAAAGCAATCTTTAAAAAGCATCAGAAACCTATATTGTGAAAACTTAGGGAACTGACGATCTATTTGTCCACCAGATACCACTAGTGGTTCCTTTTAAGGCGAGTCTGAAGATTCGGCATTTTAAATTTTATATTATAAAAATTTCCAACTATAAGCAGTTTTCAATTTGGGGAAATGTATTTGATGAAATATGCATGGAATTATTCATTCTGGAATTACCAACTTCCAGAATGAGTTATTCTACGGAGAATTTGGCAATGTACACTTCATCCCATTTTCAATAACACTAATAACAGTACTACCGAATACTGTAATTTTGATCCATCTAAAAGTATTTTTTTTTTAAGAAATGCGAATTATTAGCAAGAATAATGATTTTTTCTACGTTCTTAAGAGATTGGCGCAGAACTCATATATAATTACATCTTAGGACTAGAATGCATTTCATATAAGGCGGATGGAGAATGGTTCATATTATTCTAGATATCGTTTTTCATTTCCCTTTTCCTTGAAACAACAAATTACTTAATGAACTAATTCATTGTAGTACTAAAGATAAAAAAGTTTACACGATTGATAGTATGACAATATTATTTTATATTATTATTATATAGACCAACGAGCTAGAAGTTTACTTCTATACGCTGGTATAAGGAAATAAATATTTCGAAATAATAATCGCTCTTCCAACTACCGACACAGTCGGGTGTGGTAAACGTCTGTCGAAAAACAACTACTTCCCCGGCTAATACCACGCTGGATATTGAATTGTATCCGACAAACATTTATGCAAGATTCCTCACAGAGGCTATTCTCTCAGATGTTTCTCGTTCATCCAGCAGCAGGACCATGCTGAAATTATTTAAGTAGATCATCTGCAGACCGCGGTTTACCTGAGAAGAAAATTCAATGAAAAATTTTAAATTTTAATTAATGAAATACAAAAAATATGATGAGTTGAGGAAAAAGATATGATATTTGAAAATTTAGGCAAAAAATGAACAATGAGTATGGAATTTAAAAAATATAGAAACACAACTTTGTGAAGAAAATGAATTATTGTGACCTAAAACGTAAAGTAATGATTAAATGGATCGAATATTGAGGTTAGGTCAATTATATGTGATAAAAGTAAAGATAAATCAGATATCAACCGAAGGCGATTGTGAATACTAATAACAATCGAAACATCCGTGAAGTAGTTTGATTTGAAATATTTATTCTTATTTTTTGCTTTTTTTTTCAATATCACCTTTTTCAACTAACTCATCGGAGTATTTCGGTCCTGATATTTTATTACTTTTAACCTTTCATTCACAATTTTTTTATTTTCAGTTCTCATAAATTTCAACAGCTATAACATTCAGAACCATTTCTGTTGGAAAACATAAGAAATCATACTTATGTTTCCCACCATTTCGCAAATACTTGTCGGAACTTGGAACTAACGGACGTAACGAGTAACGATTAACGATTCATTTGTCAACCAAACCATAGGTATATGTTTTAAAACAGATATATGTTTATAAACATATTATGAATTTTCCTAGATGTATCTGACGATACGAGAGTGAAGATTATGGAACTAGTGGGTAGGTACATGTCTCAGGACATACCCAATCAAACAAGAACATCAATAATTTTTTATTATGAAAAAATTATAGTTTAATTTTTAATTCTAAACATCTTTGGGGATAATATACTTGTTGAAATCAAAATACTTTGAAACTGAGACTAATGTGGGGTCTTTATTATTGACTTCTGTTTAAAAAAGAAATGTTTTTTTTTCCGCCGATGTAATTTATTCCTGCCTAAATAATGAATTTAAATAACTCTACGTCTCATTCCATGTAATTTAATCGTTTTTATGTATACATTTGGATTATGCTATGTTTGATCTACTAGAAAATAGATGGCAGTTATTTTTAAATTCGTATCCAAAAATGTATACTTGTGTTTTATCTTTATACTATGCTTGGGATATTGAATATTTTTTCATTTCAATTGATTTGAAAGAAATTCGTGGAGAAAAAAATTCAACAATCCATGATCATTATTTAGATTTACTGAACCTAATTCAGGTAGGTACCAGATGAATACTAACATCACGATTTCTTGATTTTTTACGTATGCGTATTTATAAAAGAATGAATAATTCAGTTCTTTAGAAAAACTCATGAGTCACGATGACGTCATGGAATCAGTGGCTGACGTAAGCCTCAAAGTTTTTAGATTTACGTCATCAAGGGCAACGGGGTCAACACTTTTGAACATGAAATGGACCTCTGTATTCAAAATTGCTAACTTTAACTAATGGAAATATGAAATATAATATTGAATCCTCAATCATTGTTGGATACCTTTTCCAATGATTAGAGTCGAAATATTGAACTAGGTACTTGAGTCAACAAGATACGTACAAAAGTTCAGCATCAAACTTTGATTGGCATTACTTTTGTTGCCTAACAGACAACCGATCAATGATTTAAAGTATAGTGTTACAGTTGACAGAGATCCCCAAGAAATTCAATATTCAGCAATAGCTATAAGTACGTAATGAAAACAAAACATAAACTACTAAAAATTAGAATGGTGCGATATGTGAAATCTTGGAAGTTTTCGGGGCTTGAGGGGTAGGGAAATAATCAAGAATCCCGCCTTTCAGCGCCATTGCTGTGACGCGCACTCGTGTTTCGAACTCCTTTAGTGACGACCGCCCTAAAATTTTGACGTGGCTACTACGTATCGCCCGTTTATCCAGTCCGATTGCAGCAAAGTTGGTGACGAGGAATACGTAACTGGTAAGTACTCAGCTGAAGAATAATAACAATCAAACATGGACCAGACACCCTCTGAAAGTCAGTGAGTTTGAGATCTGGATGAGATTAGTGCCTTTTGAAATGTTTACGATGTGTTTAATGGTGATACGGAAAAAGGTATTGAATATGGCGTCATATTGGTCATTCGGTTTTAAATTTAGATTTTAGTCGGGGTCATTGCCGCAAAATAATATTTTTTTCTGGTAATATGACTTATCAATTCTGTAGTTGAAATAATTTTACAAATGCCCAAAATAGGTTAGTTCAGGAATGACAGATAGGAAGGTTAAGTTGGAAAAGTTCATTATTCATGTGCGCATTTGTTATTTTTAAGTATGTAAATAATTACATCACCAGTGAATCTGTATACTCATCGATTTATATCTAACGACGTAAAGTCTTACTGCTTATTTCGAAACTTGTAAAAAGACTGTCATTCTCCTATAACGACATAACATTGTAAAGCAATATGAAAAAATGAATGAGCACCCTCTCTAATCTGTAATTGTTAAAAATATCGAATGATTGAAGTGTACTTAACAATTTTCCAATGACCTTGTTTTTAAACAATGAATGTACCTACTGCTTTTAAACTTTCAGGCAATTATACAAACCTATTCAATTTAAATCAACTGTCTATGATTGTTTTATAATTAAAAATATTTTTTGTAATCTGCAATACCTAGTAGCTGAAATATTGTGATGGAAAGTTTAAAATCTTGACAATATTGGTAGTGAACCTAATAGCATGGTTATTATAATACTTATAGAAAACAGATGTGAAATATTTTTAATCAGTTCAACAAGAAACACTACTGATGTAATTCAATGTAATATTGTAGCCATGCTTTACTTTTCGAATTCTCTCTGACAGTATTAGTGTCCCTTTTACACATTCAAGCCTGTTTAGCTAGCAAAATAAATGTATATTTTCAAAGCATACCCCTATTTCGCTTTTCTTCTAGCCTAATTCGAACCAGTACAATGTATCCAATAAAAAATTTAATTTTTTGAGGTCTGTCTAGACATATTTTTTGCTAATTCGAAAATGAAACAGATGTTTTACAAGACACTGAATAAATCGGAATGATATTCAATACAAGATGACTTTAGTATTGGAATTATATCCAGTTCAAAATGTTTCATTAAAAAAGTCAGCAACATAGTAGTACGGTTTTTCAGTGGGCAAAGTTTTCAATGTTTTTTAAAGATTGTTGAGCTTATAATTTTTCTTATCTCCAGTGGTAGATTGTTATATATTTTTCAGCCATTGTATTTAAAACGATCTTTGACAAGATGTGAGGTTGGAATAGGTAATCTAATATTTTCTGCAATGCAATGTTATGCAATCAGAGTTCTGAAAAGACATAAATTATGTAAAAACCACCTACTATAGAACTGTTTTTCTTCATGGCACTTTTTTATAAATTATTTTTCATTGAGTCAACAATCTACATAACTGAGTATAAAATGAAATAGTTTAAAACACGTTCATGAATAGAACGTAAATATCTGTTATTTTTCTTATCATATCTTGCTTTTCGTGATCTGTTATTTTTTTTTATCATATCTTGCTTTTAGTGGTCTGATAATTATTTGAAGCAGATATATTGTGTTAGATAAAGAGAAAAATATGATGTAGGTGAATAACTTGAAATAGAAAAAAACATGTGAATTGTTGAAACATTTTTAGTACCAAAACTTGATATCTACCATTTTATTTAATATGGATTTATCGATAACATTTCTCTTTCTTTATTGGAGTAATCTAACTACAAATTTTTCCGCAGGTGTTCCATATAGGAGGCAATGGAGACTATTGTCGAGGAGAAATGTCAAGTTGACCCACTTGCTCCATCCCCGGATCCCCAGGGTGGTATAGCATCGGTAGGCGTCAATAACTCGCAGCCCCATCTGGTGACAGCAACTAATATTGTTCAGCTCACCTTACCTTCTCATACACAAGCACAGGTAGGGGTCGTTTTGACCCACTGTGTTTTTTATATATCCTGTCCGGTATACAGTTGGTTTGTGAAGTCAGACCATAGCTACTAGACATGAAAACTCTATAGATGAAAATATATATTATAAGAGATTCATATGTTTATTGACTGAAAGTACTTTGAAATTGAAAATCGCATCATAATAAATTATCACAATTATCTCAATAAAAACACAATAGTCAACAAGTCATTAAAGAATTTAATGAAGTGATTACACCAAAACAGCAAAAACGACAATAAAGAATGTCAACATAAATCTGAAAATAAAGTATTGAAATACATGTGCTTAACATAAGAAGAAAGAACCATTCATGCTTGCGCAATAGATTAAAAATGATCACTATAAAATTCCTTCTATCAATAATTTTCATCTCTTAGAATGTCTTTTAATTTTTTTTTCAAAACTCCTTTTTTGCAGCACCCATTTAAGTCGAATGATATAGCAATACAATATAATATCCAGTATGTCACAAGGATCTAGTGTAGAACAACAACTCTTCTCAGTGTAAATCAGACTTTCATTACATATAGCCAATGTGTTCGAAAAAGATTTACAAAACACTCAACTTAAATTTATGTAGCAGCTATCGAGTCCATTGAAGTGTTTTATACTTTTTTATAGAAACTTAATAATAAAAAATATGGTAAATATGTTACCTTAGAACTTGAGATGTGTTCAAAGACTATGTATTTCTAATTGAAAAAAGAATAATTTAATAATAATATTGTAGTTTTTATTTTATTTTTATCGTTGTTTCAATAAAATCTTATTTATTTATAGTGATATGTTTAAAAATTGACTGAGCTCTACATTTATACTTGGTTTAAGGTATGACCTCGATACTGATTAGTTTCATCCAATATAAGATAAAATGACATTTTTTCAATTTTGCATCTCTTTTGGTAAAAAATGAATCAACTATTCTAATTCTCCTAAAAATTATATAATATTACATATCCATGATTCACTATTATTAGAAAAATGATAGATTTCATTAAACCATATATTTTATGTCTTAGCTTGCTTTCATTAATTTTCCATATTTTTCATTGTAGGTACAAAGTGTCATACAGCCAAACCAACAATCTGTTATTCAAACAGCGGCCAATTTACAACCTATGCTTAGTAAAGGAAATGTTATATTAGTCAGTAGTAAACCCAATTCGGTTATTCATACTACACAAGGGAGTTTGCAAACTTTACGGGTGAGTCTGAACTATTTCATTTTCAGGTTTTGAAAAACTCAAGCCCTCCATCAAGTAGTCGAACTCTAATGTATGTCCATTTTTTTTGTCTTTACTGATTTTTATTTTCAATCAAAAGGTTGTCGAAGCTGGTAGTGACGATAGTTTCTCAGAGGAAGAATCTCCTAAAAAGCGAAGGGATTTGTTAACTAGAAGGCCATCATATAGGAAAATACTCAACGATCTTGGAGGGGGTGAGATTGCTGGTATGTTTTTTGCATGATAAAAAAAAAGATCTAGATGTTTTAAATAATTTTTGTCAATTCAGTTTGTCAAACTTTTAGGATTATTTTATTTTGTATTGACAAAGCAAACAAATAATTCGAGGTATTGTTTTTTTTTATCTACTTTGAGTTATGCATGATTTTCGCATTGAAATATTTCACGAATATTATTGTTTAGTGTAGGTGTGATTTGAGATATTTTTTGTAATGCATGTGATTGATTCTTTTTGGAAACTTGGCCATGGAAAAGTTGATTACTTCCAACATTTCCATTGTCAAGCATGATAAAAACCCATTGTTCTGTATAATTTGATATTTTCATTCTCACTTGATTTTTGCATGCATGGGCTACAGATAATTTTCAGTTGAATTTATCTTCTCTCTCTAATTGGAGTTAGTTGATTGTGGTATGGGATGTAGGAAACTGTAAACAATGGGATTATCAAAATTTCAGCTTTATCTAGAAGGCCCTGTTCCCTAAAAAAAATTTGCAAATTACATTATTTTGAAAAAAATTACTTTAATTTTAACAAATTTTCAAGCCTTTTTAGCGAATAGGTCCTTCAAAATGTGAACATTATAATAACGTCTCATATTTTATGGCGTTCCCAGAAGGAAAAGTCGAGCAAACTTCTTCAGAGGCCGATAGTGAGTTGTCATCTCACTCAATCCCATACCACACAGGTTAGTTTTAATGTAAATTTAATGAAAATTGAATCTGTTTCTGTTTCTCCTATATTTTTTGTCTAGATTAGCCCAAGCACCATTTTAATTTTTAATATTTTACTTACAAGCACGTTTGTGAAGTGTTATTAACATTGAACGGTGATTCAAAATTCTTTAAAGGGTATTTAGTTAGGTGGTTTCAAGCCTTGAAAAAATTTCAAATTATGTTAGAATTGAACTAATACAATGAGGTAACGGCTGAAAATTTATGAATTATTTTTTGCTAATAAACACTTCTCTATAATGTGTGCTGTTGATGTTCTACGAATGTTTCAGAAGTAGTTTGAAGTATTAGTACCAACTTCAAGAATGAGTTATTGTTTGAACACAGTGGATTAAAATTCTTATCTTTGTCGAACTTTCAGCGTCTCAGTAAAAATTACCCATGTTTTTGTATGTATGAGAATTGGTATAATAACATATTTAAGTACCACTATATCATGAGATTTTCACTAGATAACATTGAACATGCCTGAAGAAGCTGTTTATAGTGTAACACGAGGTTGTGGTTTTCTAAAACATTCTTGTTTCAATTAGATCATCCAATATTCTTTCAATAGTGAATCCACTCCACCTTAAATATGTACAATCAGTTTTTTGTTTGTTTCAAACTTACCAAGTAGTTTGTTTTTATTATTGCTTTTTCTGAGATGATTGTAAATTATTGCTGACAGTTGGGCCAATTTCATCTTAAATCGAGAACATTAGCGATGGAGAAGTTTTGGCATACATTTCATAAATATTCAGTGCAGTACCTGGTAGCAATAAACCACTTACATTATTATTAAAGATTTATGCAAAAAAGTGAGGAAATGTTTTGTTACAGTACTGCCTGCAACGGCTTTACAGATAACAAGTGGAGACGGAGGACAAGGCATACAAACATTAACAATGACAAACGCAACTGCAGGTGGGGCCATAGTACAGTATGCCCAGGGCCAGGAGTTTTTCGTACCTGGTAAGGATGTTTCACTTTTCATCGATAGTTACCCAGAAGTTAAAAGTGAAAGCCCTGAAAATTCCGAATTCCCTGTGCGTTTCAAAAGTTCCCCTGGTAGTCCAGATTCTTATTCTTATTCACCAGGTACTTTGACAAAAATCATTAATATTTGTGTATTTGTCTGTTTCAAAATTCAAATGAATTTGGGATGACGCTTTTTTGAATGGGGCTATTCAGAAGAGAAACTTCAACCTACTCCATAATTAACGAACAAAACACTTAAGGTTCAGTAGGTCTAACATTTTTTATATGTTGTCGGGAATGGTTAGTAATTGGTTGAAATGCAAAATGTCTAATTCCTCCCAATCCCTGCCCTAAAATAATGAAAAAAATCGTATCTCCTTTAAAATTTTTGGCTTATATCTTCTCTTTGGCGAATTTAAGCTATAAAATAATTCCACTTAATATATTAGATTCAACCTACTGTGTAGGTATATCCGAGACGGGTTTGAACATTTAAAATTCATTTCCTTAGATTTGTTTACTGCCTGTCTTCAAGCATAGTCCACTGACTAATAAGAAAGTTTTTCTTCCTTATTCAGAGGAATTGGGCAAATTTCGGATATGCAGTTGGTTAGTACCTCGTCCACTGGATGGACTGACATTTTTGATGTTCGCTCCAACTTAAGACGAAGAATGAAATACTCTGAGAGATTTTCAATTGTGAAATATCATTGACTTTAGGTCGATGATGGTCACTAGCTTGCACTGATGAGTGGCTAAGGAGCCCGAAACCAGTCTGCAAGTGTGCCCGTTCCAAAATTGAAGGTCGATTCGTTCATAAAATTTCCTGCATATGCAATTGCATATGCAGGAAATTTTATGAGAATATTCCTGCATTGATGCATGTCAGATATAATCCAACGCCGTTCGTGGTATTAGTCAGTGGAGTAGTTGTTTTCTGATAGGCATCAGTCCATTCAACCTACTGTGTAGGTATATCCGCTTGAACATTTAAAATTCATTTCTTTAGATTTTTTTTTTGGTTATGTCAGAATCACTAATTTTATTGCTTTATTGCCTATTACTTACTTACTTGAAGAAAATAACTCAAAATAATACTTGTAGAGAATTTCATTGCCTTTAAAACGCATATATTTTTTTCCAATCATTCCAACAATAATTATTTCCCAGTTTTGGCTTGAATTTTGGAGTGTATACCAATTAGAGTTGAGTTTCTTATGTTTCATTTCTTATAGAGCAATTCTTATGAGGCAGGTACTATGTCACTTGAACACCTAGTGAGTGGGCATGTTCAAGTTCAAGTAATTCAATACTAGCAGATACATTTTTGAAGTTGCCTTTATTTAAACAAAGTAAGAACGAAAGCTTGTTTTTACTTATTTATACAGTTTCAGAACTAACATACTGTCAAAAATGTCATCAATATAAATTAAATCACATGGGAAACAGCGAACACTTAATCTGATATAAAAAGATGAATATGAATGAAAAATATATAAGTTCAAGCGTAGGACTTGCTTACTGAGTAACATTTTTTGTGCCTTAACTCATTTTGCACGAAGGAAGTTAATGAAGTTAGCATCTTTATTGTTGTCACACAGCGACCCAAGATCTAGATCTTTCGTATTATTCTTGGCCAGTACAGAAGTAGCAAAAGGCAAAAAACTGAGACCCTTTTTTTTACAACCACACGCTCTGTGCATCTGCACAAGATGGTCTCAAGTCCCCAAGCTCTTCTATATCGTACCGACTCAATCGGATTTTTGACAATCCCCACCCATTACAGGACCTGGTGGTCTGTCCTTAGGAAGTGGAAAAGTGTTCTGTCAGTGATCAGAGCTAGGTTAGTCAGTAGTGGTAGTACTGGCCTTGAATTTGCAGATGGAGCTCAACGATTATTTTCCACTGCCACCATACAGGAATCTCAAGAATTTTTCCCCAGCAGCAATGATGGATCATTCCTAAAAAGCTGTCAGAATTTATTCTTTTCAAACCCAAAAATCTTTGAAACGGTGTCGAGGCCCGATATTGCAACATACAACCTTTCTATTTATACTTGGAGGAGGCAGAATAGATCGTTAAACAATTCAAATTCAAGTCAAAACTGTAAAGTAATTGTTGTTTTCAGATATAAAGTAGTGTCACAATAGTAGAAAACAATATATTACTGAATACACTGACCAGTTACTTGGTGAAAATTGATAAGACTATCCATTATAATAATTATAGAATTTTTACACACATTTCACTATATTTTAGCTTCATCAGTTGAACTGGTGCATCACACTTATCTGCAATCCTAACCCAACCTACAGTTATATAAAAGACATTGTAGAATGGTTTGATATACTGGTCCAACTGATGAAGTTACCGGTTAGCAAAACGCGCCTCATATAAAATTATTTGTAAAATATTTTTTGGTTTGCAGACAATTAAATTCCCGTTAAGTTTTATCTCAATATTTGTTAGCCTGAAAAAGGCTATAACTAAATTAGAGCATCCTGAAATTAGTAGTTTAATAAATTTCCAGAAAGAGCAATTTCATTTTTTTTAAACATGCTTATCTCTGAAACTATCAGACCTTCAAAAACATAAATTGTAGACAATTCCATTCTCTACAGCATGAACTGAAACTCTTTTGTAGCTAAAATGAAGTAAAAAGAAGATATAAGACAAAGTCCGGAAAAAGTGCCTTTTTTCGGTTTTCTCCAGATGGCGTTGGACGCGAATGGGAAATAATTGTGCATTTTGCATTTTAAATACTCATAAAAACACTAAGCAACATATCAGAATTTTAGAACTACCAGAATATTTGTAAGTAAACCCCCCTCTTTTAGTATCTATTCACTGCATTACTTGAGGTTTTGCCAAATGTAACGTTTCCTTGGTAACATTTATCATAAGTTTGAAATAATGTGTCTTTTTTCAATTGTGACATATCATGGACTTGAAAATATTCAAGAACGCCTCGAGTCATTGTTCTCAAAATATCTTGAATATTCATGGTGGGTTTCACTAACCATGTTGGCATCATCAACTTGATTGGCGAAACAGATAGAGAAAGTCACCAGCTGTATCAGTTCGGCAAATGAAAAGTTGAAGTTTCTTACTGTAAGCTGCTTATCAACACCATTGGTTAGTAGGAATTATCAAAGCTCATTAGAAAATCCTCAAGTGTTATTAACCAAGTGTACCTATCAGTGCCTTACTAATATGTCATATATCGTAAACATTTAGAAATACTTGTTGATTTTATCATTTTTAACGACTATTTACCTTTCAGACCGAACTTTTGTTACCTTCATTCTAATTCCAAACATATTTCAGAGATATACAGTGTGACACATTCAAGATGAAGTCATTTTTGAAAGCAGAGATTTAGTTTTTGGTACAGGCATAGACCTACAGGGCGGCCCCTCTTTACAATACTTACCCCGAATGACCCAGCCTAGAAGAAGTCCATTTTGACCCTACATACCGAAATTCAACCCAAAATTCGAAATTTATTTTTTTTTGTAATTTTCAAGTCCGATTTTCAATTGATGGTTCTGAACAAGAAGCTACAGAAATGATAAAATAGTCAAAATCAATGAAATGAATGTATAAATGAATGCATTTATTAATGAAGGTTTTTCATTCTTATTCCTACATTATAACGAATTTATTATTTTCGTAGCTTCCTATTCAGAACCATTTATTGAAAATCGGACTTGAATATGAAAATAACCAAAAAAATAAAAATTCGAATTTTGAGTTGAAATTCGATATTCAAGCAACTTTCTCAAATAACTTATTTCAGTATCATCAACGCGAAGCAAAATATCTTGAATTTGCCATTTTCGCAGGTACGCAGTAGACTGTGTTTAAGGCTGTCAATAGGACGAAAAGTGCGGCCCATGAAGGTCTATGCCTGTACCAAAAAAAAAACTAAAATACAGGGGTTTCTTCATTTTAAATATGTCACACTGTATATCAAGTTGGTTGATATTAAAAAAATTACTTTATAAACTCCTCAGTTACTGGAATAAAAAAATGGTTTTAAATTTTTAGCTTACGAAAGAGGTTAGATCTTTCCTAACACATGAATGGAAATTTCTCAAGTACTCACAAGTAAACTGAATTCAGTTGAATCGGTCACTACAAAAACATAAATTTGGCAGTTAGTTTAATGAGTCTGACTGATTTTTCATTCCTTCACTATTTTCGGAACTTCTAGGAAGCAGAGCATTTTGCTAAACCGAATATACTGGATCACCGAACAATATCTTTCAAATTGACAAACGATTTTGAGCGGTGTCTTTTACAAATATTTACAGCTATGATTTCTTATGGCAATAGTGAATGAAACATGGAAATATTAGATGTAATGAAAAAGGTGAAAATGAATGTTATAAAATAAGAAACAATGGGAATATTGAATTGTTTCAAATAAAATGAAAGCTTATAATTTGAAGCTTGAAAGATAATGGAACATTCAAATTTAAACATCATAAAGATATACATACTTCAATTATCTCTCTTCATTTTTAATTTTACTTGACCGATTGAAGTTATGGAAATGTTTTTGTAAATTTATTGTAAATAAAGCGGATCTAGTGTGAATATTCTAAAAATTATCATCATGGTTAAAATTGTCCGTCACGAATAGTGATGAAACTATCAATATCCCAATGGATGAATTGATTTATAGTATTATCCAGAAGAAATAAGAAAATTGTGCTATATTTATTTTCGATGCACATGATTACAAATCTCAAAACAGCAATGGTTTTCATCATCCCTTCAACCCATCAGCCCTTGACCATTTGAAGACCATCTTCCACAAAACTTTTCATATTGAATTTAATCTCATTTTCACCAATACCATATATTTTTTTCGAATCCGAATTTCATATAAAAAACATTCCATTCACCAAATTTGAGTTGAGTTTTTTATTATCCACAGTTGTTGCCCAAAGCGGTAATATATCTGGAGGTGGAGGTGAGGATCAAGCAAGGAAGCGAGAGATGAGACTTCTCAAAAATCGTGAAGCAGCCAGGGAGTGCAGGAGGAAGAAGAAAGAATACATAAAGTGTTTGGAAAATCGAGTGGCAGTGCTAGAAAATCAAAACCAAACTTTGATTGAAGAGCTGAAATCTCTCAAAGAACTCTACTGTCAGCAAAAAACTGAATGAAATACGTGCAATTATTACACTAAGGTGATGGACTTGACGTTTGTGCTGGTCTTGAAAAGCCTAGCCAGTTTATGAGCTAGAGAGTGGGCCTTACACCCATCCTGGTCGAGTAATATAAAGGTGAATTGGTGAAAGGGAAACAAAATCTGAGAAATGCAGAAACTCGCATTTTTGAAATTCGATGCATTTTGTTGGGTATTTGTTGTGGAAAGAAGTGCTGTTTGCTTTCAAGTGAGAAGAAGTGGTACTATTCATCAACTTCAGTAGTCATCGAAACTGAAAATGTTTATTTTGTAGCCCCTTGATATCAGTTTTATACAAACATGAACAAGGATTCAGAATCTACTCTTGATTGAATCAATTTGTGTTGATTATTTTGTTTGGAGGTAAGAATATTGGGAAGTTATTTTATGTTCAATATGTTTTTCTCAACAATTTCAAGTGTAACTTATTGCGAGTGAGAGGGGAAGATGATCGAGTAATTGAGTTGAATTATAATGGAAAAATTTTGTTTTTTCATGATATTCATTGGGTGTTACACACAGAAACCAATTCCATTCTGTTTGGTAAAGGCTTTATTGTTGATGAACCAGCAATAGGAGGCGGATGCTAAAAAATCTTTTTTGTTTTTTTGTTTTTCTATAGAATATGCATGCCTCTTTTTAAAAGAAAATTAATTCTTGAATAGTTCACAACTAATATAGAAAATAAAAATTTCAAACATTAGAAGAGGCAGTTGTAATTTTTGCTGTAATTTTTTGAAAATCTGCTTTGCAGAAAATAATAAATTGGAGCTATCCCTTTCTCCTTAAAAACTTTAGGAGTAACATCTAAATTTCTCAGGGGATTAACTCACAAAAGCTCCAAATATAGTCCTGCCTTTCTGATTTTAATTATTATTTTGTAATAGATATTGATAATGGGAAGTCCTCAAATTGATGTATATGCATTATGGAATATTTTTGCTTCAATAATGGCTAGTTTATATATCATGATTTCTATCTTTAATCTTCATGGAAGCTGGCGTATTGTCTATCATAAAAAAATACAGCAGTGTATTTTCATATATTTTTTTTTAATTCACAAGATTGAAGAACACCAATTTTTTTTAATGTTGAAAATTCTCACTGTTAAATGTTGTTTGTAAATAGAAACTATTCTTAGATTTGGACCCAAAGCCATCTACACCGAAATGAATTTTTTTCTAGTTTTTTTTTGTAGTACTGCCTCTGTTATTCACAGAATATACTTTTTCTACTTCACTTTATTTAAATAATTATAATTTTAATAGGTTCTCGAAAATTTTATAAAGAAAAGACATTTTTCTAAGTGTAGATGGTTCAACTTGCACGTCTAAGTTCAGTTTGTACTGTATTAAAAAGGGTAGTAAAAAATTACATTTTTTATATGTGATCTCTACTATTTGATAAACAAAGTATGCAATTAGACTTTGTATTTTGGGCTAGACAAGGCACCAACTTTATGAAAAATGAATTTTTCTGGGAAATCAGTGAGTATATTGAGCAGACTGTATGGCGGACACTGTATAAACGTATTTGTATCATTTTTCATTTGGAAAAACAACAATTGTAATTTTCCCGATATTTTTATCAACCAAAACGTCAAACTAATTATACTTTTATTTTATTTATAATCACCAAAGAAATTATTTTTGCAAATATTTGCCGGCATTGTTATGGTTCATAAAATGGGTAAAAGGGTTTATTGTTGATCTGTTTCTTGATTTATTATTATTGAAACAATTTATGAATATCTTCATATGCCAAGCTTTAAAAAAATTAAATGATTTTAAACCGGAAATATTATAATATTGATCTAAGTGTGGTTTTGAATATTATAATACTTCTGTTTCTTCATTAATCAAAACCAAATATTACTAAAGTTGTTTTCTACCTTGCAAATCATTGTATATTTAATATTAGTATTTATATGAAGGAAAAAAGGCTTGTGAAAAGTGATGTAAATTTTATTGGAAAGCCAATGTAATTGAGGAAAGTGTATGGAAAAATGTAAAATAACAGTTAGGTATTTATTGTGAATTTGATTCCTTCAAAAGTATTATCTGTTATTTATATCTACTAACAATTTGAATAATCACATTTCGGAATCTTTCAGAAATTTGAATTGGTAATGTACCTACTTTATTTGAAAAGTATTCTAGAACTATGCTCTCATAGACGTTATATGAATGAAAAATTATTAATTGGGTGGTGTTGAATTATTGCCTTTACTAGTTGACCATTTCAAACGAGTTGTTGTGGAGATCATCCTCATGCTAAATATTTTATTCTGGAAAAAATCCGATCAGACCAATAAATTTGCTTGAGATAACACACTCGTGTGACAATTTTTCAATAAAAATCAAATTCAAAGTAGTCATTAACAATAAAAAACGGTACATCTTCATATCTGAAATTTAATTTGGGCTTAAAAAAAATTAAAAAAATGTAAAACTAAAAACTGTCCCACTATATGGAGTTGAAAGATTTTAGATTCAAAATCAGAATTTTCTTAAGTGTTCAGGTGTCAACTTGGAACGGGAGTTACTAAAGATGTACTTCACTGCAGCAAATGCTCTTTTAAGACTAACCTGCGTAGTTGATTCCTCATGCACAACTAAATCGATTTTATATTGAAAAAATGTGTAGATGCATTAATAATGCAGACATATTAATATATGGACTTTATTTTAAATGCAATTTGTCATTCGGTGAGTGATCATTATTTTTAATCGAATCAAAGATCGATTTAAGTGTTTATTATTCATTTATTATTATAAATCAAGAATGATTATTGAATTCAATAATAATTATATGATTTTCTTGAAAAAAATAATTATTAATTTTAAACTCTGTTTAAAAATCATAATGGGAACTTCATTAGTATTTTTCAATGTGCTTTTGTTTTAATATTTTGAAATGGAAAATATACTGGTCATCTCAGTAAAAAAAAATTATAGAATTTCTTTACGTCTAAAGATATCATCTTTGAATTGCAGCACTAATTCAAACTAAATATTATTTTGTTCATTGCCAGGAAATATAAGGACAAGTTTCTGTGGATGTAGTCTGAATTTTCCCAACAATTTGTTTTATTGGACCAAACTGGTAAGGGTTCCAGTATTTGTCTGCGAATTTGGGTTCAGTAACTGTACTACCCATAAATTGTCGAATATTTTCCAATTATAAGTTTTTTCATTCATCAAAGTATACCATTGCTATTCTATTTTCCATTTGTATTCCATTTAATTCTGAAAATAGCTTTTGAGTATTTTTGAAGGTATTGCATTCTGTCCAAGACCTGTGGAGTGCCTTGTAGATTTAGTTTGGAGTGTATTTCGTAACATCTACAAAACTTTATTAAGTGCCATTTTGAGTGCAATTTTTATTGGAGTTGCTCTAAATTCTCGCAAGATGTTACGATGATCACGAAAAATGCAGAAAACAATGGTCTAACAAAAAAAAAACTGTAAATAGTCTATGTGATGTATATGTATTTTTACATATCAGAATATCTAACTACTTTTGCACAGCCAAAGACACCTAAAATCCTAAATTTGTGAAAAAATCAACTTATTTTTACATAATTGTTGCCTTGTCGGTATTGAAAGGAACATGACTGAAATATCAAGATATTTTTAATGCTTTGACTTCAGTGATCAGACACATTTAAAAGAGTATTTTGTGAACTCTTCCCAACACTTTCAAATATATATGAAATTTAGTTTTTTCGTAGAACAGTCTTAATATTTTTTTTAATCATGGTTTTTATTCACTAGAATCAAGTATTCAATCTTCATCGTCTTGGCAATTCAGTTCTTTCTATATCGAGGGAAAATATGTTTGTACTATATTTATTCTCTTGCTATTTTTGGTTGGTAGCCATTTGTAGTTAGGAAAATTTGTAAATAAGATTATTACTAGATGTTATAAGTATTAGTTGAAAACTGATTTATTGAATAAAATGATATTTTAGTTCATGATTATTTTTATCAAACAAAAACCTAAAAAATAAATATTTTGAAGTAAAATTTCGAAATATTCATCTCTCCAAACTACTTACACCGTAGGTTCTGCTAAATGTCGCCGGAAAACAACTGCTTCCCCGGGTAATACCACGGTGGATATTTAATTATATCCGACAGAAATGTATGCAAGATACCTCACAGAGGTTAGTCTTGAAGATGTTTCTCGTTTATCCAGCAGCAGGGCTATGCTTAGATTGTTCTAGTAAATGACCTACAGATCGGTCTTTCAGATATAATTCAATATCCAGTGTGGTATTAGCCGGGGATATGGTTGTTTTCCAGCTGATATTTATTAGAAACTACGGTGTAGGTAGTTTGGAAAGATGAATACTCAGAGTTTTTTTTTTTTCAAAATATTTATTTTCTAGTACGTATGAAATCTCGATACGGTTTGATCTCTGTTACAGTATTGGTTTCTTCCCCCCACGCTTGGGGTTTTGTTCACGAGATGGTGTTGACACTAATCGAGTCCCAGACACATTGCTGTCTGGGTCTTTCCTGCACTGATGAGAGGTAATACCTCCAGGCAATACCTGGATATAATTCAATATTCAGCGTGGTGTTAACCGGGGAAGAAGTTGTTTTTTGGCATGCATTTACCAAAACCTATGGTTTAGGTAGTTGACAAATTGTCTCTCATTTTCAATGAAGTATTTATTATCTACTCATAAAATCATAATTTGTGGTGATTTAAAGATTGATTTTGTAGACAAGAAAAAACAAAAACGACAACTTTAAATTACTAAGGGATCTGATGGATTCCAATGAATGCCACAATTTAGTATCGACACCTACAAGAATTTGCACTAATAAAAACAATCAAATTTCAGTTAGTGGAATTGACTTCATTATAGCTAACCTGGACCTTAATAAATGTACTCAAACAACATTCAATCCCCACCTCTCTGATCATTTAGCAACTTCTATGCATTTAACTACAGCACTCCTGAACCTGAAATACAGGGCTATTCAAATTCGTTTCTGTACATGGGGATCTCGTAAACGATAAGAGATAGAGTGTAGGCTAAATTATGACAAAATTGCGTATTTCAGAGACCTATTCAATGATGTAAAGAAATCGATTATAGCTCTTTTGGTTCTGGAGATATACAGGAAAAACAAAAAAATCCCAAATTATTTTTTTGCCTATATCTTCTTTATTCGCAGACATATTGAAAATCTGTCCACATTTTGCTGTTGGCACTTGATGTGGGCTCTCAAAATATCGAGACAATGGGACAATAAGATGGTCTGCAAGATCACCAGATCTTACTATTTTGGACTATTTTCTATGGGGGACATTGAAAAATAGGATTTTCGCTGGCAGAGATATAGAAAATGTGGAAGACTCGAGATTGAGGATTTTTAATGATTTCGCAACAATACAGCAAATAAGGTATTAAGGGCAATAAATAATATGAAGAACCGAGTCTCGAAATGGAAGGACTCCAATTCGAACATTTATTGCGCCAATAATTTTTTTGGGCACCTATATAAATTACTTCAATTTTCATTACAATTATAGTGTTCGTTTCGGATGTTATTATTGCTGTCATTTCTTTTTCTGCTTATTAAAACACATATAATATATTTTTGATGTAGATATGTTTCAAATAATCATAAAAGGTTTTCTTATTCGAAGTTCATTGCAGAAAACGCTCAGAGCAATGGAAAAAAATATGAATAGGTACCTAAAAATGGTGGTGCCCCAAGTCAGATGACACCCTGTATAACAGATTCATGGATATATTCCGAGAGCCCACATCAAGTGCCAATAGCAAAATGTGGACAGATTTTCAATATGTCTGCGAATAAAGAAGATATAGACAAAAAAATTTTTTGTCTATATTTTTTGTTTTTCCTGTATATCTCCAGAACCAAAAGAGCTATATTCCATTTCTTTACATCATTGAATAGGTCCCTGAAATACACAACTTTGCCACAATTTAACCGACACTCTATCTCTTATCGTTTACGAGATCCCCATGTACAGAAACGAATTTGAATAGCACTGTAGAAATTATCCCTACTGGCTTCCACAAAAAACATATCATTTAAGAATATCCGTCAGTTAAAAACAATGTTAGATACAATGGAATGTATTTTCCAATGTTTTGAAACTAGTTTCCGTTAGTGTGGTGCAACCCCTAACTGACCTGATCAATATGTCTATTGAAACAGGTGAATTTCCAGATGCGCCGAAATTGAGTAAAGTGATCGCCATACATAAAAGTGGTATTAGATCAGAAATGGATAATTATAGACCAATTAGTCATCTCAGTATTTTTTCAAAAATTTTAGAAAGACTAGTGTACAATAGACTAATGAAATTTTCAATAAGTCATAAAATTTTATCTGATTCTCAACATCTTAATTTTCTTGGACCAATTCGGCATGTTTGTTTGACATTCAGTCTTTATCAATTGAAATTACAAGAGAGAATAGAGTTTGTTTGATATTTCACAACCTGACATGTCCTCTCTTTTTTTATGGTCTGTGTTTCCTTACGGCGCAGTAGACCAAACTTTACATGTCTGTTGAGTATGAGAAAATATGAACTTTTTCAAGATTCATTTTAATTTTTTTTGGGACCAATTCGGCATGTTTGTTCCACATAAGTCCCCAATGAAAATTTCAACTAAGTAGGGTTGATGATAAAATTGAACCCTGCAGAATCCCTTCTCTCTTCTCTAATACAGCAATGTTTGATACGCTGCACTGTCTTGATATTTCATAACCGCCTGTTAAGTACCTATGTGGACATTAAGTCTACAATGAAAATTACAAGAGAATAGGGTTGATGATAAAATTGAACCCTGCAGAAAATCCCTTCTTTGCACTTTCCTGATATTTCATAACCGCTTGTTAAGTACCTATGACTTCGAGAGAAAATATGAACTTGTTCAAGAGCCATCTTAATTTTTTTGGGACCAATTCGGCATGCTTGTTCCACATTAAGTCTTCATCAATACAAATTATAAGAGAGAATAGGGTTGGTGATAAAATTGAACCCTGCACATTGAAACAAAGAATTGGAATCGCACCAAAATTTTACTTTCTCTAAATCAGCCTCAATTATATTTTTCAAAGAGTCTCAATCATTTTCCATACCATAATATGGTTGTATTGTTTGCAAACATTGTAAACTTCCCTTGTATATGGATATTAGATAGGTCATTCACATAGATAAGGAACAAAATAGGGCCGAGCACGGATCCTTGGGGGATTCCACATGTTATTTTTGAGAGACTAGAATTTTGATTTTGTAACTTTACCATTTGAATTCTGTCCGAAAGATAAGATCGGAACCAATTCAGGAACGTTCTTTTGAACTCATAAAGGAACAATTTTTCTAAAAGCACTCCGTGATCAACGCAATCGAAGGCCTTTAAAAAGTCACAGAATACTGCCGCAGCCACTTCGCCTCTATTGAGCCCCACATATAACTCTTCCAGGAAGACAAAGATAGTATCATTTGTATTTTTGGATCTTTGAAAACTGTGAGCTACTTAGTATATTGTGCTTTTTTTACAAGCTTCTCTATCACCTTTGACAAAGTAGATATTAGTGATCACCCCTCTTGTTAATTGGAATCACTATAGCAGTTTTCAGCACATCCAGAAATAAACCAATTGAAAATGATACATTAATTGATTCTGCCAGGGCAAAAAAGGGCAGTTTTTCTAATAAATGTACTGATATTTTATCGATTCTGTGTTTTTTATTTCTTTAAACGTTTCCGTAAGTTCTTCAATATTTGTATGTTCTAAAATGAATTCTTCCGAAATTTTTATGTTACTCAGGTAGTTTAAAGGATNATAATCAAACATTTTTTGTTGTAGTTTAACTGCATGTCAAAATAGCTGAATGGAACAAAGTACGTTTTATCCATGTTGATAATCAAAAATCCCCTATCAAACCAGTTCGAAATATTCTGGTTTCAATGTTCTCATTTATTGTTTTTCAATTTAACTTCAATTATTTTCATTCTATTAATCCCTCCTTATTCTGAGTCCTCTTCTGTTTCTGAGATCTGGTACTTCCTCATTGAATTACTTTTCCCACATATCAGCCCCTTCATAAGTGAATTTGTCATATTAATTCTTTGTCAGAGTTTCAAAAACTCGATCGGGAACATATTTAACTTATGATTATAAAAAATAAAAAACTAAAGAGAAGCAGTATTAGTACTTTGTTATAATTTTTTGTCAATATCGATAACAACAAATATTCAGACTAGAGATTTTTTATAGGAATGAAAAAATTAAAGGGTAAAACCCGGAAATTTAGCTTCATAGGGTTTCTGAATGTCTAATATCAAATACATGGGACCAGCAATTCCCTCATAAAGTGATAATGGTCTATCTGGAGGATATTTCTCGTGTTCCCTGGAATAGTCTAAACACCATTCAGTAAATTTCGTTGCTCGGTAGAAATGTTTCTCTTCCTGAAAAATGAAAAAAATTCAAAAATTACCAAAAATAACATGTCTCAAAACTGACTCACTTTAGTTGTTTGAAACAATTCTAAAAAACAATATGCATTTCCTGAAACTCCATGGCATAAACTGTAGCCTTTTTTCAATAATCCTCGTTCCCAAATTACATCCCCACATTCCAGGGCAACTTTCAGATAAATGGGATCTTGCCATAACTGGAAAACTACAAATTGGTTACTGTGTTCAAAATTTTGACAAAATTTCTCAACCTTGTATGCTGACGTGAATAAATATAGAAAACCAGGTGCTCCATGACACCATTGAACGTATTTGTCATTGTCTCGTCCAAGAGATGATGGAAAATTGCCACTGGGAAATCTGAAATTCATTTAATTATATAGATCAGATTATAGTATACAGAAAAATAGGTATTTTATGATAAAAATAATGTTTCTTTTGAACTTTATTGAAATGATTAATAATAATGTTTCCAATTTGAACATATGAGCTACTGAAGTGGTTGAAATGTATTAAATTGTTTAACATCTTGTGTCAGAGTTTTTTTCGATTTTGTTGGCCATGCCTATAGGTTTTTATTGCTAGCGTTTCGTTCACAAAAGCTGTAGATGTTTTCAAAGACAATGGATTGAGTGCCCGAGTGATTCTTACTGCCCTTCAGAACAAAATTATAAGGTGTATATACAAGGTGAACTACAAAGAGCCTATAGTCAACTTGTATAAAACAAATTTTTTTTTAGATTTGTCATCCTTGCATGAATTCAAATTATGTACTTTCATTCATTTGGCCAAAAATAAGCTCAAACATTCAAATTTGACTTTCAAAATCAATGGTGAGCAACACAACCTTTTGACAAGATATTCAGGAAGTTACTTTTTTTTATTCATTGTTTTTTCCCTGCTATAAACATTGTATGTTTATAGCAGGGTATAAGTATGTATAAGTTATTATTATTAAATTGATATTTTTCAGGGTTCGTGTCTCTCATATCATTCCATCGGTAGTGAGCATGGATTATTTGCATTAATTGGTATAATTCAGGTACAGATTAGTCCATGTAGCCAAACTGTCAAATGACTTTTCTTTCAGAAAGGAAAAGGGAATAAACTTGGAGTCACAAGCTACCCTGGATACCTGAACACTACGGCCGTTGCCCACTGTAGTTATAGACGAGACGTCGGGAATATAAATCTACAGATCACCGCCAACAAACCCAGAAAATAGCTTTGGCACAGTTATCCCCAGCTTTGGAAATTTATATTTTTTTGATTGAATACATCTAGAGGATATGATATATCTAAGGATGAATTTTATATTATTTTCCGAGGTAAGTTGAATTATTAGATTGGAATAGATCTAACTATACATCCAACTCACCTTTGCTTCAGAAGATAATCAACGGTTGGTTTGATAGTGCAGTTTAGATCCTCTTCAGTTAAATACTGTCTAGCTTGCAAAAGCAGGTAAAGAATGCCAGACAAACCATGTGCCGCCCCTAAGTAATAACTATCATGCCACTGATACATTAAAGGACATTTGAAATTACCAGCTTTTGACAAATTCTGCCCACAAATGAGGATGGCATCTATTATCTAAAATCACAAATGATATTTTATTACATACATATAAAAAAAATTGATATTTCGAAATAGAACCTTTTGAAATATTTATCTACTCCAACTACCTACACCGTGGGTTCTGGTAAATGCCTGCCGAAAAATAACTACTTGCTCGGCTAATATGTGTTTAAAAATATGTTTAAAAGGTTTTTCCGTTAACCAGTTGTCGCATCCCTACAAACTACAACCCTCAGAAGTCAAAACTTGTGCGAGCTAAGGAGTAACGATGTCTTACCTTTTAATGTGTGATTCCTAACACGGGTTGGACGATAGCAAGTGAAAATCGATCGTTCAGCCTGCGGCTTAAACGACCGACTCACACAGCGGTCGATTGAGTGAGTGAACAAAGCACCCACTGACCGACCACGCTGGTATTATTAGTCTTTAGGTGATCCACTCGAATAATTTCAGCATGGCAGCAATTCAGCAATTTATCTTGCATAAATGTCTGTTGGATATAATCTATATACTTGTATACTAATATTACAAGTAGTAGTAGAAGTTACGTCGGTTCAGCGAGACAGTGACGTCATCACACTAGCCAGGTTGCCTGTCAGCTCGCAAGGTAGACAGACCACCCAGTCAACCAAATTGTCACGTAGTGTCCTCAAACTGCCACGCAGCTCGCCATTTAATCAGAGCGCACGCTTTTGCAACTCATAACATCTTTACGGGAGATTTGAATTTTCTGTGGACATTAATAACTCAAACAGATAACCAGTCAACGAGACAGACCACCTAGTCACGTGGCGCGCTTACGTCAGCCCACCTTCTTGCTCAACACATTTTTGTTTCATGACGTCATAAAAAAAGTTTTTGTTGGGGAATAGAACACAGGTCGTTGGTATGATAGACTTGATCGTTAGCCGTTAGATATTGAAAGTAATTGCGAACTGTTGATAGTGATGGCTTCGGTCATTGCTTTTGAAATGTTTTTACATTTGAATTATGATTTCTGTTCAGTAAAACATTTTTAGTTTTGTTCGAAGTCATATTGAGAAAAATAATTATATATGTAAAAGTTTGTGAGGATGTATGAATCTGTTTGTGGCTCTTTCACGCCTAATCGAGTGAATTGATTTAGATGAAACTTCAGATAAATACTGCTTATACATCAGAATAACATAAAGGCTACAATTCACAAAGGTTTTTGTGTAATTTTGTTCATAATATAAAATAAATATAAAATATAAAAGTATCTAATTAAATTGGATACTTTTTTTAACAATGCACATTTTAGAATATTTCTTCTGATTACTGTGAAAAGCCATTAAATGACATATCATGGAAAAATAAACTAAGTGCATCTTACAGTAAAATTTCATTTCTGATAGTCACTAACTGTGTTAATCTATCAATAAGCGTTTTCTGTATATGCTGAAAGTCACCAACAATATAAAAAGTAAAAAGTGTTATGCGAAAAATATTCAAGTAACTTAATGACTTTTCGTATTAATGTGTTATATACGTGTTCAACTGTGCACAGTTGAACACGTATATAACACATGAGTTTCAGCATAACGTGTCGTCGATTTTACATGTGAATTGCAATTAGTGTTTTTGTTTGTGACTTTACATTTGCAAAAACTTCTGGGCTCTCTCTATTTACTCAAGACAAAAAGATTTTATTCTGAAATATGTAGATCGAAAACCACCAGCAAGAAATCGTGCCGCTGGCTAAACATCGAAAGTGTAGCAGAGCATATTATTTTATGAAAGATACCGAAAAATATTCGGCACATCATTAAATTTGTCATTTTTTGTTCCAAAAAAAGACCAATGTTCCTCTTGTAATAAATAAGCTGAGGCCAAGAAGGCAGGTACACTCGATGATCAACTTGAGTCTGCTTATAAAAAACATATGGATAGAAAAAATGAAGCTCATCTGGCCAAGGAGGAAGAAAAAGTCAGATTAAGTGAAGATTTCACATTCGCGTCTGCTATATTTGATCTTCAAAGCATGGGCTTAAAATACCATCGGGTGCAGAATCTCTGTTATACTATTGTAGAAAATTTTGTATCTACAACTTATGTATATACAAATCCAGACAACCTAATGAGGCCCATTGCTTATTATGATCTGAAATAAATGAAAAGAGAGGAAGCTATGATATCGGCACTGCCTTGATCCACCGGATATCAAAACTTTCAGAGAATATCAAAGAAATTTCCTTATTTTCTGATACATGCATAGGCCACAATAGGAATCAACACATATCCGCTGCTCTTCCTTACACAAACCACACATATCGATGTTATTGAACAAAAGTTTTTGGAATCAGGACATTCTTTTATGGAAGTAGACAGTATGTATAGTGCGATTGAACGGGAAAAACAGCATGTTAGTATCAATTCTGTGCTGGAGTGGATGAATATTATGCAGAGAGCCAGATCGAATAGAAATAAAGAAACAGCAAAACCGAATCATGTGAACCAGTTGAAATATTTTGATTTTCTTGACCATAAAGACCTTAGAAAACACAAATAACAACCGCCTCAAAGATGCTGATGGCAATGTAGTCAAATGCCTTCAGATGAAATGCTTACGACATGAGAAAAAAGCACGGGATTATAAAGTTTTGATATTTACAGTCATACTGGCTCCTACAATATCCTTATCGTTATCAAGCGAGGTCGCCCAATTAAAATAGAAATTAAAAAGCCTATAAGGAGCCCCTTCCCATCAGTATTCTTGAAAAGCAAGCCTACTGAAACTATGCCGCAAAAATATTATACCAGAAAAACTTCACCCATGATATGAGTCACTCACAACTGTTGACAATGTGTCAGATCACACTGTAGAATATGCCCAAGAGGACGAATACCAAGAAGAAGAGGAGAAAACAGATTAATGTTGATCAACTCCAATTATGGTATCCCTTGTTACTTTAAGTTATTTAATTTGCTATTGAAAAACTGGCACCAATAAATAACTAGTTCAATTTGGCTCAGATATTCTGTTGCCAGAAGTCATTAACCAACTTTTTCATTGTTTTTTTCATACTTTCTGGAAAATAAAATTATTTTTTCTGTGTTAAAACTGAAAAGGCAAGTTATGAGCAGAAGTATGAATAATGCTTGTGTGGAAAACATTGAAGACTGATTTAATAAATCAAAATAAAACTTCAAATTGAATTATCTCAGAATTCAATAAATGTCATTTAGTGACTTTTCACAGTAATATGACGATTTGTCAAATTCTTATAAAAAAATTGATACAATTTATTATAGATAAACTTTATCTTTTACAGTGAGTAATTTGGATGAATTGTTTAAATGTTATCACGATAAGATTAACTTGACGCAAGGCAGTAAGTCATTACGCGTCGCGTCTACTGTAAGACGATGCTGGACGATGCGTGGAAGTAGAGGAGAGGTCTAAGCAATGAAGCGCCATCCCCGAGAACGCGACTCGAACGCGGACAGACGCGTGAGGGAAGACGTCGTTGACGGTTGTGTTAGATTTGCGAATTTCTTTATAAGTAACTTAATTCGATTCCCGAATCTATTCATAATTTAGTGAAGTTGGCATATTTTCTTGGTTCCAGTATTTAAAAGTAAAAATATAAATTACTAGCTGTTGCCCGCTTTTATATTAACGTACAGCCGAAGATACTGAACCTACAACCTTGAAATATGCAGGTAGGTTCTCTGTATATAGTAAATAAGCATCAAGAAATATTGATATCTAATAAATGTTTACTGACTGTTTATGTGTCTTGTGTTAGCTATTATACCTTTCTGATGAAACTGCCATCAAATGGTGGTGGAGATACATATTTGTTGACGAAAAGTATAGAAAACAAATATCCAGCTCTCCCATAAAGATATTCGTTTGGAAGGTCTGAATGGGTGTCAATGACATCTTTGTCAAGAAGTTTCAATCTGAAAAGAGTTTAATAAGTAAAACTGGGTTTTGTGAAGATTACATTTTTTGAGAGAATTTATCTAGTTGAAGTTGGGATGATTCTGCAACATTATATGCCTGACAGACTACAAATTACAATGATGCTTCCTAGGTGGCTCGGGGAGTTATTAACATTGCTACCTAGAACACGGGAATGATAACCAAAGTAGTTGATGCAGTTGATTAAAAAAAATTTGCCATCAATAATATATAATGTATATATGGTGACAAATTAATAAATAAAAATATAGTTATAATATCACACATAACTAATAATATGCATACCTCAACATACAAAAATGAAAACGTTGAATATAATACTAATGCCAGCTATAGAAATGAATATGTACCACACCAAATACCTTGCAACAAGTTGCTTCACTTCTTTCTCCTTTCCCAGTTTATGGTTGACAATTATGCCAATTGAAAGAGGTCCAGGATCTCCACACAAAAAAGAGTGTCTTCTGTTTTTTAATTTATGAAGGAACAGAAGACTTTCAACTTCCTACAACATGGTAGTTCAGATTTTCGAATAATGTAAAGGTTAAATTCCGATAACTTTGTTTTTATCTTCTGGATCTTTTTTCAACTTCAGCAAAGCAATACCAGATGTTCCTGTGTAAACAGAGTAATCACTGAAGTCTAAATTATCTAATTGACGGACTGTTGACTGCCATTTTTCCATGAGTCCCAGGGATATTTTGCTATCTTTTCTTATCTAAAGAAATATGTGCAAAAACTTTTTTCAGGTTCGGAAAATAGATAACTTACCATATTGTTAGAGAGTATTGATTCACCTTTAGTAAAGTCCTCATAACAGTTTTTAAAGTATTTTGAAGACATTTCGCTATTCTGTTTATACCAATGATCAAATATGTACTTGCTGAAGGATCTATCATGAAAAATATACGTTTCAATAACTTCTCTTTTAACTACTTTTTTGTTTACGAAACAAATTTAAAAAATATCTTCTTCTTTATGTAGTGGCTCAGCTACTGGGGCTATCTGGCCAAAAGGTTCACTGCTCGTTCAGGAGTCAAGAGAAGTCACAGTAAAGTGAATCTAGACAACAGTTCATCTATATACTTGTGAAAAAATTCACACTAGTCATTAGGTACTTGATTACTACAGCTTGTCAAATGTAGGAAGAGCTTTCTGAATTCCGTTTGTTAGAAGACTATGAGAGCGAGAGAGAATTATCAAGTCTCTGCCTAGATGTGACAAGCTGTACACATTAATGCACAAATCATGAACTGAAGTTAAGTCCCTGTCAATTGAATCTTGAGGTTGTAGCACGTTGGAGGATGACAGATATGAGGTTATGGCATTGTTTTGTGGCCCTAAACAATGAAATATGAAATAGGATTTGAAAGCATCATTCAAAGAATAGAATCATTCACAGATTGAAAAGAAATAGTTGACGTGGGTGGCAAATATTGGGAACTTCGTCCAGTTTACTTCTTCAGTTAACAACTGAACACATTTCTAGTTCAGGCGTTTTAACGCTCAAAGGACCTTTTCATAAAAGCCAAAATATTATATACATGAAATTATGAATTTTCAAAGAGTTTGATTTGAGGTTGATAAAACGGTGTTTTCTTTTTTACATTATTCAGTTGGACATAAAAGTTTTTCACAAACCATGCTCTTTGGCACAAATTCAAGTCTTCTGAAGCATTCTCACTATGTTTCGCAACTGATTTCTCTCTCTGACAATAATTCAAGCAAATGAGAAACGTGAATTATTTTTGAAAGATTGCGGAGCAAATACAAAATCACTCACAATGAAAGCTAATTTTCACTGGTATACAAGCATTTCAGAAAACTATTCGGGAATTTAAATTGGAACTTTAAATATTAGTCCAAGAATATTCATCTAGACACTTAAAAAACAACATTTTCTTTTTTGTTAATTTTCGAGAAAAATGAGCTTATTTTTAATAAACTAATTATTTTAGAGTTAACTTTTGATAACTATAGTCAAAAAAATGTTATTTTCAGTTGTTATTATATATTAATGATTATACAATATTCAACAATAAAAAACGGTCTGAAAAATTTTTTCTTCTCAAAACAAATTGTTTTTTTCAGTCTAGATTATTTATAAAAATTTAGGTAAGATAGAACAAAACTGTGAACGAATTATTAGAGTATCCTTACTAATGAGAATGTTACAATAGTCTGCAAGAATAGTATTGTCGTGTGACGTTATTTTTGATCTAGACACTGATGTTCACATTCGCTGAATAACAAATAGTTTATAGCGACGGATGACGTCGTTGCCAGTCGTTCTACGCTAAACGTAGTATTCGATGATCTATTTCAAAGTACTTTTATTAATGAATTTTCAAAATTCTTTCAGCGAATCCATTGTTCTATTCAATTTATTATGTTATTTACAATAGGTATCATGAAACTTCTCTATTGACGAAATGAGCGATTTTAAAACCTATATATAAATCACCGATAAATGGCTTGAATTCTTTACATAAAACGATGTTTTCTCTTCTGTAGCGGTTTCATGATTGAAAGTAAGAATCTGGATAAGTTGTGGGTCTGGATTGTACTGAACCGGACACTCAGAGAAAGAAGAGAAAACAGCCAGAGGCGATTGTGGATTCTAATAATCGAATCAACATACATCAACTAGGTTTGAAATCGTTTCTTATTTTTCTTTTTCTTCATATTTCATCATTTATATTGATTATTTCATTTCATTTCTTATTTGCATATATTTTACATTTCACTTATTGTTAACTCATTTATTACACCATTTCCATTTCAAATCACAAAGATTTATGTGCTTTACAGATTAGAAATCTTTCATTCTACGATTTTTTATACCCATCAAGCACCTTTGCATTTAGTTTTGCTTGATTTTTTCTAATTCAATTATATTGTAATAACTACGGTAGATCCTATTCTGTGAACACTGTAATAACGTACAAAAAATAAAAAAGTCTGAATTGTGGAATTACATTTTTTTACCGGGAAATCCTCGTGAAATTCCACTTATCTGTCATCAGAGTAACATCTATGGGTTTTATATTATATTTGTTACCAGTGAAATAATACTTTGTCATGTTTGTTTTATTTAAATACAATTTGGCAGCTGCTGTCACCAGATGCACCACATCAAAATTTGGATTTTGACGATCGCAAGAAGGTCGGTCTTTTTGAAATCTGGTCATTTGGTATACCTACTTATATTCTCTCTCATTATGTGGCTCCAGAACTGAATTTTAATCTTAGTTAAAATACTTTTCATTTACTATCCTTTTCTCGATATTTTTAACCTTCCCAAGCGTATGATCATCGGCGGGATGTAATATATACATTTGTTTAGTCTTGCCCAACTTGTACATGACCACAACGACGCTCAAAGGTCAGACAATCATAAAGTAGTTCAAACGCTTTTTCAACTGGGAAAATATCGACACCGAAAAGCCAGGTGATCGACCTCGATCTTTATGAATAAAATGATATTTTACGTTAACCATCGCAATGGCAGTTATTACAATATTTTGATCATTTTAGACAATTGTAGTCCGAAGTTTGTTTGAAGGTAGTTGACACTGTTTCATGGTGAATTTCATTAGTTCGGACTTCTATTGTCTAATATGATATAAAATGATTTGAAATCTCGAAAGAACAAATTAAATGAAAATTGAAATGAATACCTAGCTGTACAAAAAGTGAAGTTTTACCTTGTAGTGGTTGTATTATTGGGAGTAAAAATCTGGACTAGCAATTCATTTTGATTTTCAATTTAATTTGCTCTTTCGGGGATTTCAAATCATTTTATATCACATTAGACAATGGAAATCCGAACTAATGAAATTGTAATCCGAACTTGTAACCTTTTACTATATTGTTTACTATTCTGTGGTTCGGGCAAATAGGATATTTTGCGCAAGAAAAAAATTTTACTGTTTTTTCAGTGAGGAATAACACTAGAATAATTTGCATATTTTGGCACACTCCAGCATAGAAATACTCGTATATTTCGTAATATCACCTTTATATTGTGTCTAATCAACGTCAGCCGAATAATTGGATATTGAATAAAAAACACTTGGAAAATGGTAAAAATGGATCTTAGTCACAGAAAACATAATTAATAAATTTTATTGTATAAACATCACAAAACCAAAAAGCAGTTTACAATCACAATTATTTGAGACAAGTTCAAGAATAAATACACAAACAAAAAATAAAATAAACACAAAACAGGAGAGCAAGAAGCATTAAAAAGCATTATATTACATAGTTATATTTTCGGGCGTTACTCTTTCGAATTATCGAAATTCAGTTGTATAAAAATATCAACAATATATAAATTTAGGAACTTACATTCTAGTACGGCAGGAATACTTCGTATACTATCATTTAAATAAACTTAACAATAAGATCTGTCGAAATCTAGAAGTGGAGCGATCAGTATCTGTTGTCGCTTTCTGCACGGTAGCACCTTTTAATATTCCTGAAAAGTAATTAAAAATATTCATATTAATTTTATGGAAAAAGCAATATTAATGATGTGTTACTTTATCTACTTCTACTTTGATCAATTCTACATTAGGTAGCAATCACAATAGTATCTACACTATTTACTAATTCAGTTGCTTAAAACACATCCTTGTCGATTCACAGAATATTTTTAGTTCAGAAAAGAGCAGAAGAAATCTTTATGAAGTTCATTATTTTTTTAGAACACATTGAGTCAGTTTATTTGCGCAAATATTGTCAAATAGGATGTGCTTTTCCATATTAACTCAAAAAAACTACAAGCTAATAATTGTGTTAGTGTGGAAGTTATGAAAAAATATATTTCAGGAGTAAAAATTAAATAGTTGTTTGTGATTATAACTTGAATATCTCTATGGTTACTTCATAAAGTTGGAAAAGAATATGAATGAATTTATCTTGGGAGTATGTGGTTTCTTTAAGCTAGTTACATGGAACATATTTAATTTCAAACCATTCTTGAATGATCTTTATCACTCACTCACTCATTTATCATTCAAAAATTTTCAAATCCATTCTAGTGGGAAATCATGGGGCATTTCTATTTACAATGTTTCCATTATGAGTTATGTTATATGAATATTTGAATATAGTTACACAGCAGGTCTATAAATCGATAAAGCAACATTGAAGTCCAATAGTTATAGGTGTTGGTCTTGCTGTACTGGCTGGCGCTGTAAGTACGGTCGATTTGATAAATTGCTCTACTTTCTATACAGTAAAGAAGTTCCAAGTGTGTTTTGATGGTGTGTGCCACATATTTGAAGGGTATTTTCTAGTATTTTCAATAGGAAACACTATAGTGCTTCTCTTAGCTTTTCGGATATTTTCCCCTCAATTTTCAATTCTACTTACCTACAGACGACCAGAGTCATTTCAAATTTCAAGCTGTAATACACAAATTTGGATTGTGTATTGAAATGCATCAATAAAACATAATCGAACCTGATCTAACTAAAATTCAATTCACCATTCTCACCATCCTCTGAGATCTGAAAATAAAGACAGCAAGAATGAATCAAGGTTCATTTTCTAAAATGACTCCCTTACTACAGAATCACGAAAAAAACATTTTTATTCTTGAAATGCAGAGGATTCTGAATGGAAAGCACCACCATTATGAGCTATTCAATTATTTGGGTTTTTATATCTAGGAAAATGTGTATAATAGTGGACTTTTCAAAGCATAAGTGAATGTTGAAATTTCGTGGGATAAGTTCATCTGATAAGCGATTTTTATCATTTTCAGTTTGTTGGTGACGGGCATAAAAGTTGGGAGTGTTTTGCGTGTCCGGCGATTTTCTGCAATCGAAAAAACTGAATCAAAGAATTTGCATCACTTGGAATTGGAAGCTCAAAAACACTTGAAATGTTGACGGTGGCATACGGTGAATATACTCTGAGTCAGAAAAATGTTTTAAACAAGTGGTATAAGCTTCTCACAGAAGGTCGAGAAGATGTGAATAACGGCGCTTGCCCTGGACGCCCCAGAATATCAACAATCGATGGAAATGTTGAGAAATTGCAGAAAATTGTTACGAAGAATCTTTGAATCAATATTAGAGAAGTTACCGAGGATATCGGCATGCCGGCTGGCTCACCCTATGCAATTTTTTAGTAAATTTTTGGTATGAAGCGTGTGACAGCGAAGTTCGTTCCAAAATTTCTGAATTTTGATAAAAAATGAATGACGTCAACGGCGATCCAGATTTGCCTACAAGGGTTATACCTCGGTATATGGTCATGACATCGTCCCAATGGAACAGTCCAGGAGAGCCAAGATCAAAAAAAGCATGCCATTTTCCATAAAATGGCACCGCTAATCAGCTGCAATAGGAGTATTTACAATACGGTCGTACGGTCAATAAGGAGAACCATCTTGTTCGCTGCTTCTGAGAAGCAATACGAAGAAAACGTCCGGTATTGTGGAAAAACAATTTTGGTATTTGAATTACGGTAATGCACCTGCTTACTTGTAATTTTTGGGCCAAAAACGCAACACCGTAATTATGCCTCACCATGTATTCACCAGATTTGAAGAAACCCATGAAAGGACGGCGTTTTGCGGTAAAAACCGAATCGCTGAAAGATCTCAAGGACGTACCAAATATCATAAACTACAACTCACGATTTGATCTTCACAAACTTTATTTGAAAAATATATCACGACATGTTTCATGAAGTAACGACCGAATCAATTAGAAAAAAAAAGTATAGATCAGAACTGCTTCGACGATTGGAAGAAACGCTGGCACAAGTCTATTATATCTGAGGGGGACTACTTTGTAGTGGACAAAATAGAAATTGATAAATAAATAGATATTTTTTGAGAAAAATGAGTATTCACTTTATTTTTTGAACAGAGTAGCATGTTACCGACATTCTCTTTTCGACGTTTATACAGGGTGTTAATTAAGTATGTACCATAAATTCAAAAGACGATTTCTTTAAGTAAATTCAAGACGAAATGTTCATATAAACATGGGTCCGCCAATCCTTCGTTCTCAAGATACAGGGTGTTGAAATAAAAATAAAAAAAAAGTTATTCGTAAATATCTTGAATATCCTTTACCTAATTTTGTTTCAATTTGGCAATGGTCTATAACATTGAGGAGCTAATGTAGCCCGAACGTGATTCAATTTATTAAGTCCAGTGGCATCTCGAGCGGGATTTGAAAGAATATTTTTGACTTAAAAATGTACGCCACTGACTTTTGTACAATTTTAATTATTTCTTTGGATTGGGCAATGAGAAATACAACTTTTTTGTCTCTTGAATTTTTTTCGTATCTTGCTTAGTTTTTAAGAAAATAAAGTCGATCTAATTGCATATCCCTGGAATAATATGGGGAATTAAATGTTTCTTTTGGAAATTATTATTTTTACAATTTTTCATTATATTTTTTTTCTTAAAAACTAAGCAAGATACGAAAAAAATTCAAGAGACAAAAAAGTTGTATTTATAATTGCTTAATCCAAAGAAATGATAAAAATTGCACAATAGTCTGTGGCGTACATTTTCAAGTCAATAATATTCGTTCAAATCCCGCTCGAGACGCCACTGGACTTCATAAATTGAATCACGTTCGGGCTAAATTAGCTCCTTAAATACCATTGCCAAATTATAACAAAATTAGGTAAAGGATATTTAAGATATTTACGAATAACTTTTTTTTATTTTTATTTTAACACCCTGTATCTTGAGAACGAAGGATTTTATATGAAAATTACCCTGTATATTATTATCTTACTCAATAATTGACTTCTTCAGAGGTCACATAAACTGTCCTATTGGGTTTATTGGTTCCATGTTCAACATTAATGAAGTTATTCTCAACGGCTGAAGCAATGAGGTGAAGCTCAACGGCTGAAGCAATGAGTACTGAGGTGTCCGTGAATGTGTTGAAAATAAAAAAAAACAGATGAGGCATGCTTTTTTGATCAGTCACTAAATCATAGGGAAGCAGAAATGAATGAAGAAAATGTGGTTAAATAATTAGCTACCTGCAAAATTTTTGTTAGTTCTCAGTCTCACAATCACTGAGAAATACTCTAGATACTTGTAGAACTGCTAATAGATAAATTATTATCAACCGATAATAGAGAGTTTAATCCGTTTCATTAGTTGAGATGGTTCGGTTATTACATAATTCATATACTTTTGACAAAGATAATGAAAGTTCAATCACGAAAGAATCTCTATTGCTCGGTCGATAAATATTCGAAATAGATACTTATTGTGTTGTCTACCTAACACAGTAAATTTCATGAACATAAGCAAGGACAATCTGTGTCTCGCTGCCTCGCATGCATATTTCGACCTGTATTTCTACAAACTGGTACATACGCTGTCGAAATTCGATGTGTTACTGTCTCTCTGTTATGCGTAGTCGGTTTAGTATTTTTTGTTGTTTCCATTCGTGACGAAGGATTTGAAACTGAAACAAAAAAAATATCACAACTCTGTTTTGATGAAAATTACTCTGGAGGCAATATGTTAGGTGGGCTAAAAAGTTCGTAGGCTAACATACAGATGGCGCTACTAGTATCAAATCCATATGATTTCTTCTTAACCTTCAAAAGACACGTGTACAAATTTCACAGCTGTCGGATTATTAGTTTGTGGGATATAATATTTTGAGTGAAGTAACTTTTATTAGTTTTGGTCGAAAAAAAAACCGTAGAACGGGGTCAAAATGTGCCTGCATAGGTGAAAATATGCCATTGTATCTTTTTACATATATTTGAAATTCGTGGGTCGAAAGTGTGCCAAAAATATATTAGGTTTCGGATATAACATGAACTCTGTTTGAGCTCACAATCGACTAAAAACAACTTATTGATGATTCTGAGCAGTGTTTGAAACTGTTCCACCACAAAAAACCCGAATTTATCGGTCGATTTGTGACAATGGATGAAACGTGGCTTCATCATCTCACACCAAAATCAAAACGATCGTTGGACTGTTCGTGGTGAACCGACTCTAGAGCGTGCAAAGACGCAATAGTCGTCTGACAATGTGATGGTATCTGTATTTTGGAATGCGCAATATATAAATATAATATTCATCGTCTAACCTAAAAAGGGAAAACTATTAACAATGCACAATGTCCCAAATAAATGATAACTATGGCAAAATTACATAAACTGCGCTTCTAATTGCTTCTGCATCCACTATATTCTCCAGATCTGGTCCCCAGCGACTTTTTCCTGTTCTCAGACCTCAAGAGAATGCTCGCTGGAAGGAAATTTGGCGCCAATGAAGAAGTAATAGTCGAAACTGAGGCCTATTTTGAGGCTGAAGACAAATTGTACTACGAAAATGGTATCGATAAATTGTATGACCGCTATAATCGTAGTATTGTCCTCGAAGGCAACTTATTGAATAACAAAATCAAATTTTATAATTTTTTTTTGTTAGTCTAAGAACTTCTCAGCCCACGTTTTAACTTTTTATGGTGTACGACGAAGGTAATATAATGATGTAATTATCATATTATGAGTGAGGCAATAATTGTAATGGACATGTCAGTTAAGGGTGAAGTGAATATACTCTGAGAAGAGAAGGAGAAACGGATAAAATTGAGATTTACTCTTAATGGTTGCAAGCCATGACGGCTAGCCGCCCTACGGCAAAAATCTTGCAGAATGATGTCATTTTTGAATTATTGCATCCACTCCAGACACATGATTTTGTCTAGATGCTGACTACGTGAAAGTTTGTGTGAAAATAGTACAAATGCTTGTCAATCTCCGTAAAATACCTGTATTTCTGTAACCTCTTGGTGGATATTCTCCTATCCATTTTGAAGCACAGTTATATACTAGCTTCAAATTATGGAAGCACATTCAAGTTTAGATCTAACATAAATATCTGTGTATGAAAAATACCCCCTTCAATTTATATAGGGTCTTCCAACCTGGATTTCTGAACTTTGACAATTGATAACGGCTATCTTCTTGAAACTACATCTGTCAAATTGATGTCATTTATTCAATCTGTTTTGCCAAATTATCATGGATGGGTATAGCATTCAACAACACGTCCAAATAATAAATTTTTTTATCAAAATGTGTGTTCTGTTCGGGCAACGTACAGCGCTTCGCCCGCTTCACTGTCGCCGTAATCGTCCTACCGAGAGGACTATTCGCAATTTGGTGGATAAATCTGAGTCCACTGGTTCAGTTAACGATCAACCAAAACCCGTACGCCGACGAAACACAATATCTGTCGAAAACATCGCCGCTGTCTGAGGGAGTGTGCAGGAGAATTCGAAGCACTCGATTCCGCGTCACGAAACTCGGCCTTTCGACGAGCTTCGCGACGCGAAGAACTCGGCCTTTCGCAGACCATAACTTGGCGAATTTTGCGTCCTGACATGAGCCTGCAATCGTACAAAATTCAACTGATCCAGGAACTGAAGGTAAAACACTACAGACAAAGAGGTTTGTTCGCTGAGGGGACACTGGAGCAGTTGGCAACCGATCATAATTTCCACCGAAAAATCATCTTCAGAGATGAGGCCTATTTCTGGATGAATAGGTACGTGGACAAACAAAGTTTCCAAAAAAGCCACTGTATGGCGTGGATTTTGAGCTGGCGGTATCATCGGTCCATATTTCTTCGAGAACGACGTTGGCCAGGGTATCACTGTCAACGGCGAGCACTATAGGTCGATGATTACCAACTTTTTTTGGCCTGTATTGGATGATCTTGACACCAACGAAATGTGGTTTCAACAGAACGACGCTATGTGCCTCACTGATCATGCCACATTGATATTCTGTCATGGTCATCTCATATGGAGGTGATGTGAACTGGCCACCGTGATCGTGCGATTTGACCCCGTTAGACTTTTTCTTGTGGGGTTTTCTTAAGTCGCAGGTGTATGCGAATAAGCCACAAACTACTGCGATTCTCAAAGTTAAGATAATACGTGCCATCGTTCGGTCAAATTCAGCCTGATGTAGGCAACAGAGTCATGGAAAATTGGACGTTTCGGATGCGCTCCACGCAGAGAAACCGTGGTGGACATTTGAAAGATGTTATATTCAACACGGTAGCCGGTCGGTTCGACGTAGGTGCTTTGTTCACTCACTCAAATCAACTGCCCTGTTGCTCGCTGGTTCAAACCCTAGGCTGAACGATCGATTTTCACTTGTTATCGTCCAATCCGCGTTAGAAATCACACGTTAAAAGATAACACCTCGTTAGTTCTTAGCTCGCACAAGTTTCGACTTCTGAGAGTTATTGTTCGTAGCTGCATAACGGAAAAACATATTTTAAACAGATTTTCATGGCATCAACAGATCTTTGAAACGAATAAAAAATTTCTATGATATCTCACACACACTTTGTTTATTTTTTTAAATTTCAAGATGAGAAGCGCCTAATGAAAGACCCTGTATATCATAATGTCCTCGGAATTAAGATATTCATGAGAACTGTACATTTCTCAGAAGGATATGACTAAGTCAAAGGACTAATTTATAGAGATAGTCATCGCCATACACTTAAAAATGTTCAGGTTATGAGTGAATTGTTCTATAAGAATGATCATAAAAAAGAAAAATAATAACGGATACAACACCACTGATGTATCAGGGAAGGTGGTCAAACATGTAGAATGGAGACTGAATAATTTTTTACTGAATTATTATTTTACTATTACTTTTTCACGACAATATTGGATATTTTACAGTTGTTGACTTCCAAAAAAGTTGTCATTTATCACAAGAAGTTACCCTTCGTCTTACCTTTAGTTGTTTCTCTTTTCACGGGAGTTTTTTTTCGCACATCTTCACATCGGTGTCTCGTTTTGTCCCTGGTTTTTTCTGAAGTACTTCTAATTGTTGAAACAGCCGTTTTGTGGCGAATTTCAGGTAGGCTCCCCAAGATCCTATGAAACGATAATACAAAATTCTCTTTAGTGTTGCAGTTTCAAATTTGAACCAGAGAACCCTTCAATCATAAGGAAATAAATGTAAATACTACATCACACTCAAACGACACGAATGAAAGTGAATGAAATATAAGAGAAAACTTTCCTCTTCATCAGATGAAATGAGGAAAATAACGGCATTCCTGATTAAAACTAAAACGTTCGAATCAAAAAATAATCGAATGTATAATTCACATTAATGCATGGTGATAAATGGAATTAATGCCTTTAGTTAGTTATCTTCGCGTTCATATTTTTGATTATTTTCTATAATTATTTTCCAATGCAAATTTATAATTTTATAACGGAACCGCGGATGACGTAGTGTAATATCTACTTTCTCTATAAGATGTAAACTTTTTTCATGGCAATAAACGTATATAGGATGATAGATGATGATGATTCTAAATGTAATAAAAAGACACAGATACCAAAACATGCGTTTATCCTAAAAACTAACCGACGCAGGTAAGAAAATAATTAATTGGTTTTTGGTGAAGTCATCGGACTCGTGTTCAACACCCCCATGTTGAATCTTCTAGCAAATTTCATTAGCTTACAGCGGAATAATTCAGAAAAAATTAATGTTCATGTTTGAGGAAACACGGAATTTATGTATGTTGGAGGATTGAGCCTATTACTCGAAGAACTTGTCATTTCAATTTGAAATAAAAAAAATGAAAATTTCAATATAATCATTGACTACGAATGAAAATATTTAGATAAATTCAAATAATTGAAGTTAACATGAATTTACTAACAAGTTCAATAATAATAGAACTTCAATAGCATATCATATCATATGAAATGACAAAACAAGTGAACTAATATGATCATTACAATTGATGATAACGTAACATCAACAGTTTCCTTTGAATACACTCAATTTCATCTGGATGATCATTAAACATTTGGAGAAAATATTGTTTTGTTCAATTTTTGCTTCAACAAAGATATTGCCATAACCTCTAGTTTGTTGAGAATGTTACGAATTGATGTTATATCTTTTAAAAATGAAGGAAGTGGAAGTTACACTCCTTTAGAATTTTTTGAGAACAGAAGTATCTATTCTATACTACTGAACGATGGATTCAACTCGGTTTTGAATCCCTCAATCCATTATATCAACACATTTTACCCTTGGACTCATTTTTTATATAGAATAGAAGCGAATAACTTACCTTTCTTCTCCTTTTACCGCCACATCTTCCCTTCTCCTGCTGATGCTACTACTGGGCGACTTCTTCATTTCCACACCGTTGGTCATCGTCAGCTGCGTAACCTTGGTTTTTTTAATCAACCTCGGCTTCCTCACCGACAGTTCCACATTCGTCGGTAGGTCCTCAGAAGAAGAACCGTGGGAATGGAGAAGAGCTTCTCTACTGCTAGCTCTCTGCAGTCTTCTAGCCTTGGTATTTGCCGCTTTTGTGTGGTTTTGTTCTGTTTTTTCCACCCTTCTTCTTTGTCTCTCAGTCGTAGTTTTAGTTTGATCGTTAGTAGCTTTTTTACGGTTCAGACTTTCAACAGAAGAAGTAGATGAAGTGGGCTTGAGTTTGGTTTTGGTGTTGAGTGGCTTGGTTTTGGCCGTGGTTTTTTCTTGTTTCCAAGATTTTGTTTCACTGATTGTTTCCAGCTGCTTCTTTCTCAACTGCCCTTCTTCGTCACTGTTGAGCCTATTCTGGACATCATCATCTGAATATTCATTTACTGCTTGTAGAATCTGATCGGCAGCTTTGGTTAGTTCGTCTAAAATACTGCTGTCAAATTCCTTGTTGTATTTGCTTTTAATGTTTTCATAAACGTGTTCACTCGCCGATTTTTCTGGAGGCTGCAGCCTAGATTTCGATTGATTTACCATGCTACGGGTAGGCGAGTCTTTATAATGTTCGATTAAGTCTGGTTTTTCGGATAATTTGTTTTCTTTGCGTATCACAGCCTGCGAGATTTTCTTCACCGGTTTCGGAGAAATATTGACACCAAAGTAGGTCATTTCGGACTTCTTCGGTTGTCTCAGTACGATGCTATCACTGGAATGCTTAGTTTGTAACTTCTTATCAACGGTAGTTTTGAAGTCTTTGATCGGAGATATTCTACCATTTATCAGAGGATCTACGATTTTATTTCTATTAACTATGGATGGACTAGAAAGTTGGGTAGTTTGCAGGTCTGCCCTATTCACTGAAACTGGTTTTCTCACAGCCACAGGAGAGGAATCATGCCTCAGATTCGTGGGGTATTTTGAGGGTTGAAGAGAATTTTCTTGAGGTTTAAGACTATTTCTCTGTACTGCATGTACTGTAAAAATGAAAAATTATTGAGATTTCAATAAAAAGGTGAATATTTTATGCAATCCATTTTGCTATTAAAATGGAAAATTTTAATTGTAATGGGAACAATGATAAACATAAAAAATCAACAGAATACCTTAGAAACTATATCTTTAAAAAGAAGATAGAGAAGCAAGGCAAGTTTGATCCGCTGCCAACTTTTGATTCATTATCCTCGCAGTACTTGAGATTATGCATTAAAAACTACTCAGGGGGAAGCTGGTGGACGATAAGGGGTTTAAAGTTTTGTTGAAACGAAGTTGGCCAGTTCAGACGGTATGATTGCAAAAATATTTAATAATTATTGAACAATATTTGCAACAGCTTTTATACAGGATGTACGATGAGTGCGGTTATTCCCGTTCATACTTTGTGCATATTTCATAAAAAGATAAGTTCCAACTTGATTAGTTTTTTGAAAATGGAATGTCCTAACAGAAAGGAGCCCTAAAGAAAAATTCAGATTTATATTATTTTTTCTCAGGGGGTAGTAAAAATGTGACCTGTCATGTTATGGTTAAACTCGTTGTAGAACTTTTTTTGTAAGCAAAAGTAAGTTGAACCTAACAAAATATTCTGTTGCAAGTCAAAACAGCACTAAATAGTGGTTATGACGAATGTTCTATTTTGGGCCCAGGTATCTCCATATAACTGCTGTTAACCTGGTTTCTTGAGGTTAGGAATCACACGTTAAAAGGTAAGACCTCGTTAGTCCTTACCTCGCACAAGTTTCTCAACTTCTGAGAGTTGTCGTTCGTATGGGAGCGACAGCTGATTAACGAAAAAACGGATTTTAAACAGATTTTTTATTTATATACCCTAACTTGCTTTGCTTTTTGAGAAATAGGATGTCATGAGTCAATTCGTCGATTATTGTGAAACTTTTGTGACTCCTTTCAGTTAATTTTTATTACAACGATTCTAGTGAGGAGTTTGGGAGAATCTGAGTAAAAGAAAGTTGAGCTCAACAGCACTTAACATTGTTAGTTCACGAATGCTGTTTTCTGGTTTCTTGAGGTTTATTTGCATTGTGTTTAATATTCCAATATGAATAAATGATAAAATGATTCCCTACATGCTTCTCAGCATATATTATTTCAAATTGGTACATGTTGAGGATATTTAACTGGCTTTCAGACTTTTGTTTCATAGCTCATGAGAATACAAGTAATAAATCTCAGTTTTTTTCCAGGAAAACACCACGTACGTATGATATGATTATACAGGCCGTTTTTTCTATCATGTGGTAACATTGCTATATTCTAAACTGTAACAGATACGAAGACGATTAAATGGGAAAAAAAATAACTGTCATCGGTCGAATAAAATTTACGGGGACTCTCGCCCTTCTCAAGTCATACGGGAAAAACAAAAACTGCTGTTTTTCGTTTTTTTTTTTCGAATGTAATTGTTATTTTGAAGAATATCAAAAAATGGAAAGTGAAAATGTTATTGTATTCGATGTATACTATGACGATGTAATGATAAATATTAGATAAAACGTTTCGTGTCAACATGGCCACCATCAACAAAAAATACGGGATACGGGCCTGTCTTTTTTATTACAGATATTGATAAAGCAATAAATTCACAATCCAAGGGTATATCACATTTGATATTTTTATAACGTTTCATTTGAAATAACTACCGTCATCAGTGACAACTATTTTAAATTACGTTCCTGTCGTTACTTGTTTTGTAAATTGTTTCGATTTCTTCAAAATATAATTCAACCCAATAAATTCGACAGGTAGGTACCCTAACACAATGAAAATTCGTACTTTTTCGTTTTGTTAAGTTTTGTATTGCCGTAATCCTTCTTTCAAATCTTATTTCTCCCTAATCAATTATAATTCGTAATATTTTTATAATTCTCAATCCAGGAAGTAACGAAAATATCAGTTTTTGGTCAAAATTCAATTGTTGTATAATTTGGTATGATCAAATACCATCTCAATTTATTTACCATCTTAAACGCATAGACTTTGCTTGGTCAGACATTTATGATCATGTCAAAGATGTATTCAAATGATGACTATGGTGCATTTGACAGAAAGAAAACAAGAAAATGTGTGGTTTCTGGAAGTGTGAAAAATCAAATAATTGTTATGGGTGAGCAAATATTATCCATGAAAACATCTTTTTTTTTATTAAGGATTGGTCAGTTACAAAAATTATGCTAATTGAGATTTTTCTTTACCAGAAATTGCCCACGAAATGGGGATTTCTGTAAAATCCACCAGAACTATTTTGAAAAAGAACAAATATAAATGCCACAGGAGACGCAAAGTTCATCACCCCAATCAAAGTAATTATGGAAGGAGAGTACGATTTGCGAAGTGGTTAAGACGTAGAGAAATAGGGAAGTTGGAAACATTTGTAAAAAAATAAAAATGGATTGGAAACAATGGACCAATTAACTGGCCAGCTCGATCCCCGAACGGGGATACATAAAGGATAAAGTTTTTTAACACCAAGTACAGATATCGACCATCTCAAACAAAAAATAAGAGATGCATGTATTAGTATTACACCTATTATGCTAGAAAATTGCCACAGAAATTGTCCGGACCGACACCTTATGTGCATTCAACAAAGAGATCGTCAATTCAAGCATTTAATGTAGATTGCCATGTAGCTTTGATTGGTTTCATGTTTTACAAAAGTTCATGATAAAATAAATTGTGTTACTGTTTGATTGTTGTCCCTGATGATGGTGGTTATTTCAAATGAAACGCTATAAGAATATCAAATGTGGTATTCCCCTGGATTGTGAATTTATCGCTTTATCAATATTTGTAATAGAACAGACAGGTCCGTATTTAAAAAAAGTTGATGGTGGCCATGTTGATACGAAACGTTTTATCGAATATTTATTATTACATCGTCATAGTACACTTCGAAAATACAATAACATTTTCCTGTTCTTTTTTATATTCTTCAAAATAACAATTCTATTCGAAAAAAACCAAAAACAGCATTTTTGGTTTTTTCCGTATAACTCGAGAAGGGCGAGAGTCCCCGTAAATTTCATTCAACCATTGTAATGTTCCCGATGACAGTTACCTTTTTCCCCATTTAATCGTCTTCGTATCTGTTACGGTTTAGAATATAGCAATGTTACCACATGAAGAAACGGCCTGTATGTAAGTTTTGATGTCTGTCTCTGTCTTCTTTTTAAAGATATGTGGTGTTTTTGTTGCTCCATATCTCAATACACATTTATTCCATTAATGCTGTTAATTTTTTTCAAAAGCGCTCCCAAAACAGCACGAAAATTTAACAAGGCATTTGGCAATGTGGTAGAACGCACTATTCGACTTTGGATTGCGAAATTTCGTTCTTGATATTTCATTCTCGAAGATAAGCCAGTAATCCTGGACGAGGACTTGAGACTGGAGACTGACCCCTCACAAACGATAAGTGGGATGGCGGAACGATTGGGCGTCAACTCCCATGCATTTTTTGATGGTTTGAAACGTATTGGAAAGGTCAGCAAGCTCGAAAAGTGGGTGCCTCACGATTTGAACGATCGACAGAAATTGTCACGTTTCGAGGTTTGTTCTTCTTTGCTTTTGCGCATCCAAGACGATGAAAAGTGGATCCTCTACGAGAACAGGAGACGTTCAGGACAGTGGTTGGACACTGATGCGCCACCTCCCAAAGATGAAAACCCACTAAAAACCGGGCCAAAACATAGGTAGGTACGTCTAAAGTGGGTGGGTTTATTCGACCCTCTACCGCAACCCACAAGGGTTTATTGTGGCTCACACCTATTCACACTCGATCTTTCAGGTCAGATGGTGAGAGTACGGGTCTGCCGAACTCAAAGAACCTGATTCGGTCTCCAATACAAAGTATATGCTCTGCTGTTTCATCATTTTCCAGACAGAGGCGACACACAGTGTCTCTGCATATGATGATTCAAATGACAGTGACCTGTAAAAAGGCCTGTTAGACATCGTAGTTCATCCCTACTGTAGTCCAACAACTATTTGGAATCACGCTTCGAAGGGTGAATAAACGTCTTGGAGTGAGCCAATCCTGGAAGTTTCTGCCAGAAGTCCATAAATCTTCTTGCCATCCAGGTGTTTAGTGTTTGTTTGGCAAAGCCCAAAGCGATGCCAATGACAGGTTCTGGTCTAATGAAGCCGCTTGCAGCATCCTCCTTTGCAAGAGAGTCCGCAGTTTCATCGCCTTCCAGGCCAGTATGGCCAGGAATCCAGACCAGAGACAATCTGTTATGTCTTTCTATCGAGGAGAATCGTTTTTGGCAGTTTGCTACCAATTTAGACGTTGCTCGGTGGGAGCCAAGAGTTTGCAACGCCGCTTGACTGTTCGAGAATATTTTTATTGACTTGTGAGTGAGGTTGGATTTATCCAATCTCTCCGCACACAATTCAATAGCGTAAATTTCCGCTTAAAATACAGTCGCATAAGTTCCTAGGCCTGGGTCTGCGACTGAAAACACCTGCACCAGAACCGGAAGGTGTTTTTGATCCATCTGTGAGCCAACAACTATCTGCTCTAATATTTCCTTCTCCCGGAGAATCCAGTCCTTTCTACTCGGGAATAGAAACTTTATAAGGCAGTTCGTAGTTGACAGTTGGAGGCATAAAGTCAGAGGTCATTTCCAGAATGCTGTGACTTCCAATGTCAACCAACAATCTGTTGCACTCTGCATTGAATTGATTTGTGCAATTGGCAATGTGCACAAGTCTGTATGCAGTCCATCTAGCCTCTTTTTCCAGAAAAATGTGAAGAGGAGGTAGATCTAGAAGGATGTTCATGGTCGCTGACGGTGTGGTACTGATGACACCACTGATAGCCAGACAAGCCTGTTTCTGTAAGCCAGAAAGTTTCGCTTGGGCCGTTTTCTGTAAAGCCTTCGGCCACCAAGTAATTGCACCATAAGTGATCATTGGTCTGACAATCATCACATGAATCCAATTGATTTGTTTGGGACCTAAACCCCAAGTTTTACCACAAATCATTCGACATGTCCATAGAGATAGTCTGGCTTTGTGTAAAACTTTTTCCAAGTGAGCGTTCCAGGTGAGTCTTTTATCAAGGACAATGCCAAAATATCTCACCTCCGTTCCAAATGAAATGACCACACCATTGAGTTCGTCCAATTTTCTTCTCTTAGTGAAGGGGATTAACACAGTTTTGCTGGGGTTGACAGACATCTGCTCCCTCAGGCGCCAACTGTGAACGTCCAACGCGCTTTGGAGGATATTACAAGCCAAAACATAACTGTCCTATTGTGAGGAAATCTACGAAATGTACCAGAAATTGCGTCTACAGCAGCCAACACTGGTCAACAGAAGAGGTCTGAATTGAGTGTCGAAGTTCTCACTTCGACACTCGGAGAGTATCGTTCGGTGAGGCATCTCTTATTTATTTCCACAGATTCCAACTTCTGTCGTGATTGTTTCAACACTGTATACGACATACTCCTTGTAGAAGTACAGGGACAGAAGTTGAACCTGCTGGAGCCTCTGGAAATAAATGGGGGGAATCTTTCGGGTTCCCGGCTGAACGACCAACAGGAGGTTGACCACTCACCAATGTTAAATATCCTTTTATATTACCAAAAAGTTTATTCATATTCAAAAATTCACCTATTGTCCAAGAACTGAAAGTGAAATTAGTTCACAAATTCTACCTGGTATCGCTTTCACTACTAACCAATTAACTAAAGTACCAAACTGGGATACAATTCTTATTTATATATAACAATTGTAGACCATTTTGTGATGTTGTTTTCCACCGAGGAAGATACAGTGTTAGCGAAACGCGTCCAGAAATGAAAATAATTGTGAGAATTGCGTAATTATTATTACGAATAACATCTTCCATTGCTTGACAACTTAATGATGTTTCTTACATCTTCAGTCTTACTAGAATATACACTAACAAATAGATGATGTACGAATAGAGAAAAATGAAAACGTGATGAGTACCTTTTCCCGCTTTTGCACCTGATTTGAGATCATATCTAGCTGTTGCTTCCTTAACGCTACTTCTTCCGAAATGATCGCTCATGTTTTTGTACGCTCTCATCTTGCTCCAACTACCAGACACCTCACTACTAGTGTCAGTTTCTATCCTGTTACCCTCATTCTGTGAAACCTTCGACATCAGCTGTTGCACTTCTTTGTCCGCATCACTATCACTCTGTATATCTTCGTACAGTTTCTTCAACGCCTCCAATTGGTGAGGAATTTCGTTTTTCTTCTTTTCGGCAGTCTTTTCGCTCTTATCTTTGATGGTGTTTAGTATTAGAGAGGTAGACTTGAAACTGTGGCTATGAGATCCTTGATATTTGGCATACGTAAAACAACTATCGTTCTTGATTGGGGGGGATGGGGAGAGATCAATCGTGATTTTGGTGGTGGTCGTTGTGTTGTTAATGTCCTGGGTGGTCGTCATTTTGGAGCACACGGTATGGTTTAGGGCCGAATCTTCGCGCCCTATTCGAACTACTAAGCCTTTGTTGAGCAGTTGTTTGGAGTCTGGAATGGTGTTTTCGAAAATGAGTGAGCTGTACAGGTCGAATATAATTTTTGACGAATTTTTCGATGTTAAATTTCATTTCAGATAATTGATGATACTTATGATGCACTGTTTGGAACCTTTGGTGTAGTAATGAATATTACTGGAGTTTTTTCCCAACACCAAATCGTTATTTTCAACACCTCGACACGTGTTTCGTTCACCAAGTGATCATCTTCAAAGAGGAAGATAAAAACAGTCAGTTTTTATCTTCGACTCCGACTGTTTGACGTCTGACGATTTGGTGTTGGGAAAAAACTCCAATAATATTCATAATTGATGATATTCAAATTTACACGAAAAAATACAGTGAGTCTCAAAAAGTTGCCTACAACTGCAAATTATTTATCTTTTGTCAGAAAATCGGGTTATTTTCTTTTGAAAGTTTTATATAATCTGAAATACCAAAAACAGTTCCCTGGAGCTTTTTCTCCAATTGAGTTTTGTTATTCATGTAAATTCGTCTATTTTGATGAGGGGCAAATATTTTTTTGAAATCAACTCATAAAAATTGTTTCCTCCCTGGTTCGAAAAGGAACTATTAGAAAACAAAAATGAGTCACTTCAAGAGAATAACTCTCAACTGTTTTTTTCTGTGACAAAGTAATTGCAGTCATTTTTCAAAATGACGTATATAATAATAATAATTTGTTAATTAAAATATACAATAAATATAAATTCATATAAAATTAGGAGTATTTTAATCAAAGATGGATAATAATACCAATAAAAGATGAAACCTGGAAAGTGGGCAGTAGAGAAATATATTTAAAATTTGTTGGTTACAATCAGATATGCCTTTATAATTGAATTTTTGAAGAAAACAACGATTCTCGTAAAATTTTGCAAAGTAACCCATAAAGGATTTCTCCTGAGCATGGGATGGTAAATTTTACATTTTAAATAAAATTTAGTTTTTTATTTAATATAGTCAAATTTATAGAAAATATTACATAATGGAACATAACTTGCTAGAAAAATTATTTTGTTTACTATTTTATCATTTGTATAATTTCACAATAATTTTTCTTTGAAAAACATTTTGGAGGAATTAAGGTTTCTGAGTCTTTGAAATTGTTTTATAGGTACTTGAAAATATATTTTGCCTATCAAATGAAATGGAAATGAAAAAAAAATAGCTAAATTCATCCTTAATTCATTTTTTTGACTTTACTGTTGAACTGAACAAAGTGAGAACAGTCAGTGACGAAACTTGGGGGTCAGATGGACCACGACCCCGTCGTCTAGCCTTGTAACTGTCAATGGTTCGTGAAAATGCCTTCAAAGCAGCCATGATTCACCGATGAATCATCAAGATAAATGAACCTCTGAAGAAGCCAGCTGCACGTGCTGGCGAAACGTTGGGATGCAGTTCCAAACTACGACGGCCTCCAAACCCTTAACCAATTTATATATAGAAGATTTGATTTTGCAGTATTTTTAGAAAATCCCAAATTTTCTGGATTGATGAATAATTTTGAGACAATTCACTGTACGATAATATCATCATGATATACTGAAATTAATTAATTCATCTGCCCTGCTGAATATTTTTTGAATTTGATAAAATTACCATTTCCTTTGTGTAACATTTACTGAACATGTTCTACTCAATTTGTCAAAGATATGTCCAACAAACATTATACTATACAGTATTCATGCAGAATTTATACTAGATACATTTGTAAGAGAAGAAGGTAAATCTACAGCAGGTTAAACTACACAATATCCAAAATCCACTACTTGAAGAACTCTCGTCATGCACAAAAGAGGCAAAAGGTACTTTTATTTCATCACACCTGTTTCATAAATCTATATATTCGGTAAACGAATCAAGAATATAACTACAGTTACATATTTCAACATCAACAATATTGACAAAGACTTACACATATGTACATATGTACAGAGAAACGACCGGATTACCATCTTTAGCGAAACTTTGAAAGTAGGCCTCTAGGGAGGCGGTTCTAAGGAGTGCGGAACATTATTTTTAACTATCCCCAACAAAAATATAAAAATTGTTAATAATCATCATACAATAAAGAGCGGCAGAGTAACAAAATATGGCTGTCAAACTATCATATAAAGGAGAGAAGAATGCGCATTCGGTCAACTTTGACAAGCTAGAAAGACTCACCTGTTCCCAAACTATCTGCCCTGGGCCAAGTAGTGTGTCTGTCCACGTCGTAACTGTCACTCTCTACCACCCTCGCCTCTCCCTCCTCGAAATTGATCTTGGTGGAATATCCTTTGGTTTCAACCGTTTGGCCATCTTCAACTGGTTTGTTCGCGTCAGCAACCATCGACCAAGAGGATTTTCTATTGTCCGTGTTAAGATCGTCGTATCTGTTATCGTTATCACTAGCGTAATCGCTTTTTCGAATCGGACGTAAACTCTTCAAAAGCTTCTGGAATTCCGGTTCGGACCCATTACTGCCCGTCTCCTGAGGCGGTCTGTCAAAATAATTATAGTTGTGCACAGTTACTGTTGACTTCCATATGGGGGTCTCCGGTTTATCCACGTGCCTGAGTCGCACCCCCCATTTGTTGTCTTCGTCAGAGTTCGAGTCGTTAAAGGGAACCGTCTCCCCAAGATGGTAAGGCCTGGGCTTGATGGGCTTGTTCTTCAGGATTCCTTTGATTTCGTTTTCTGTTAGTTCTTTCTTATCGTCTTCGGTTATCTCACTGTTAACGGTGTTCGTTGTGTTGACAGTCACTAATCCAAAAGTTAATGGGGCGACTGGTTGAGAGTTTCCTTCGTTGGTGATCGGATCAGGCTCGTCCGAAATACTGAACATTGTTTTTTCGTAGGAGGTATCACCGAAGTGAAGAACCTGAAATAGAATCAGTAAAAAATCTAGCAATTTATATGACTTATTTCTGGAAAGGTCTGTCAGGAAACATAATTAAATTATCTTAGAAGAGATGTTTAGTTATAGTGTGGTTTTTACTCTGTTTTGAGTCCCGAAGAAGAATTTAGTTGAATTTGAAACGTTGGCAAGGAACACGATTATTTTTCTAAGATAATTATTTGATTCTCTTACCCAACAAACCTTCCTAAAAACTAAAATAACATCTGGGCTAAGAAAAAAAACGCGTTTTTTTAAATTGGATTTATTTGTCAACGTAATTTTCATCTTCAAGAACCATACAATTATTCCAGCGCCGCTCTAACATTTCAATACCACTTTTGTAGAACGATTTATCTTTTGCTCCAAAATAGGCCTCAGTTTCAGCAATAACCTCTTCATTCGAGCGAAATTTCTAACGGGTTAGTATTTTTTTTGAGGTTTATGAACAGTCAGTAGTCACTGGGAACCAAATCTAACGGGAGCAATTTGAAGCCCATATCATGTAATTTTACCATCGTTTTAATTGATTTGTGATACTGTGCATTGTCTTGATGAAGCAGCACTTCTTTTACTTCACAAATGGGGTTGTTTTCCCGCAATTCCAGCCTTCAAACGCTCCAATAACGCTGTATAATATTCACTGTATTTGCCTGTATTTGCCTGTATTTGCCTTCTCAAGATATTCAATGAAGATTACACCACGCACACTCCTCGATAGGAAGACTTAACAGATTGTCTCTGGTCTGGATTCCTGGCCATACTGGCCTGGAAGGCAATGAGGCTGCTGACACCCTTGCAAAGATGGGTGCTGCAAGCAGCTTCATCTGTCATTGGCATCGCTTTAGGCTTTGCCAAACAAAGATTCAACACCTGGATGGCAATAAGATTTATGGACATTTGGCAGAATCTTCCAGGATTGGCTCACTCCAAGGCGTTTATTCACCCTTCGAAGTTTGATACCAAACAGTTGTTGGACTACAGTAGGGATGATCTACGATGTCTAACAGGCCTAACAGGCCGCAATGATAATTGCGCGAACCGCAATTATCATTGCGGTTCGCGGTGGACGGTCGAATAGACCCACTCACTTTGGACCTAACCTAACCTAGCACCACGCACATCCCGAAATACCGAGGTCATAACCTTTCCAGCTGATTGTTATGCTTTCGGGCGCTTTGGACGAGGTTCATGAGTTGCTCTCCACTTAGAAGACGAACGTTTTGATTCCGGAATGAAGTGATGGATCCATATTTCATCCATTGTCACGTCGACAAAAAAAATCCGGTTTTTTATGTTTGAACATGGCCAAACTCTGCTCAAACTCATCAAGTTGTTCTTGTTTTTGATCAACAGTGAGCTCATGCGGCACTCACTTTGTTGAACAGAGCTTTCTCATAGACGATTGCTCATGCAATATAAAGCCAACACGTTCTTTTGTTATCTGTACAATGCCAGCTAACTCACGCAACTTCACTTTTTGATCATTTAAAACGATTTTGTGTATTTTCTTGTGTTTTCACCAACTTCTAGGTGTTGTTTTTGCTACGCTTCGCGGTATTTTTTCTCATCAAGAAGCAGTGTACACTTAAAACACGAAATTGTTATTGGTCCATTGTTTTGAAAATAACAAAAGTAGTGTCACTCTTGGTACAATAACTGGCAAACTTATCAGTAGAACATCATGAATTGAAAGGGTTATATTTTTAGGAGTGATTAATTTTTGGGAAAAAAAGTTTTTGGCTTTCTACTACTCCATCTGATACAAAAAAATGGATGAGAGAATCTTCCGAAGAAAGGAAGGAAGACTCGTAATGTTCAAAACTGTGTAATGCACTGAAGCATGAACAAAGAGCTGACGTTGACCTCAATCAATTTTTATTTTATTATAACATGCATATATTCAATTGCACTGATCTCCCTTAGTAACACGAACCATTGTTGTTCAAGTTTATTCAAGGACAAAACACAAGCACTACAGAAAAATCCTTGAAGCGCTTTGAGAGCGGTGCCTGTATGAAAGTAGCGATCGCTGGAGATTGAATTCATTTGGAAAAACGTTAATGAATACATACATGTATAAGTTTGAAAATGTCCTTACATGACGAAATTGCAGTAACATTAGTTACAAATAAAAGTGGTGAAAAGCATAGAAAGTTTCAATTCTCTTTTCTTTATTATGATTTCCTACCACGTAGTAACATAAATTTATGGAAAAATGTTCTCAGGAAATTTATTCCATATAAACGCATTTCTTCAAATGAAAGAGTTCTTGAACAGTGAAGTTCGAGGTGTACTGAATTGAACGTCAAAACGATGAGCAGCCATAGTCCGTCGCGTATTTCTGATATGTATCTCTCTTGGTGGAATCAAATGTGCCAAGTCACTTAACACCTTTCGTGAAAGTATATATGAAAGAGAGAAAAATCTCCAACCTTTCTTCGATGTTCCAGACTATCAATGTTGCCAGTGATGTTCGTGTCTCCAATCAGGCGGATAGCTTTTTTCTGGATGGAATCCAGCAACTTCAGGATATGTTTGGGGTCAGAGCTACATACATGAGGACAATAATTGAAAGAAGGTCTGATCTGAACTTAATGAAGCATCAAAAGTTGTTGAGGTGTGTACAGTTCTCTGGTTCGGAACAGTGTTTCAAGCTTTTGAGAAGCAGAAGCATCTTAATTCAACAACAGGAGAACTTAGTACAGGCGGTAGGAGTCCCTTTTGGGACGACCTATTTCAACCTTTGTCTCCTCCGTGAGAGTAGTCGCTATGAATCTGCACTGTTCAAGTGAGGTGAAAACTACCAGCCACTGTTCGACCTACTCAAAATATTCCGACTGCATGTAACATTATAGTAACGTACTTAATAATAAAAAATTGACATACCGGTAACCCATTTTTGTTGAAGTCATCTAAAGTTGGGCCAGAATTTCTCCGCCTTCTTCTAAAGTTTTGAGTAGGAGGAGGCTTTTCATCGGTCGCTACAATATTGACTTTTCCAGATTCGGCAGCAAAATGAACCTCGGTTTTGCAAAACTCCACTTTTTTCGTTCTTCTCGTGTTACTATCGTCATCCTCTTGCCTCGAAAATTGATCGTTCAGCGCCAAACTCGTCCTGCGATATTTATTAGAATCGGTATTATTAGTTACGTACTTCGATTCGTCCACCGCTATCGAATGCCTTTTTATTTCCCTATCCGAATCGTTCCAAGAAAGATCCACGATATTGTTATTTTTTGCTATGGGAATTGTGATTGTTGTAGATTTTATCTCTGATTTTGAGTTCGACCATTCGCTGGGGTATTTTGCCCAGCTTCCGTGTGGTGTTGATGTTTTACTGTAGAGGGGGGCCCTGTCTTCTTCGATGAAGGTATTGGTGAGTTTTTTCACCTGTGGAAAGAATATTTGTATGATGTGAGCAGTGATAATCAACCTAGTTTTTACAGAAATTAAAAGTAGTTATCCCAACCAAACGATCTATAAAGCAATGTCGGGGACCAGAAAAGTTTATTATCGTCCACAGACCTTGGACTGTTTGAAATACTTGAAAACTTATCACTTAGCAGGTTTTCTGGGAACTGAAAATAGTATTGTTGTATGAGAACTCTGAACAGTTATGAAGGTCCCATTCCAAACAAGCCATAGTTTTCTCTTTTATGAACCCCTCTGTTGAAGTTATCGGGAACTTTAATGAATTATTGATGCATGATTGGGGTTCCCGGCTTTGCAAAGGATTATTTTATAAGAAGTCGATGGATCTTGGTTGAAGGATCAACCTCTACCAACGGATATCCCTACCCATTTCGAAAACCCCTTGGAATGGTCCACAGCATTCAAGACTTTCCTGGAATGTTCCATAACCACGTATATTCGATTCCATACTAGTTCCGAATATTTAAAACATTCTAGAATTTTCTGGTATGTTCTGGAATGTGGTGTTCTGGACTATTCTAGTTTCTAGAGGGCGACACTTCTCTAAAACACGTATTGCAGATGAAAACGGGATATAATACATCATATACATATAACTCAATTGATCGTTTCACAATGATATGTGATGTTCCATTACTGGGATGCTCTGGAATATTATTGAATGCTCTTGAATGATCTAGACTGTTCAAGAAATTTATAGAAGGGAAAAACCCTAACCTTTATATTTTTGAAAGCACACCTTCCGGGTAAAAACGGAAACCATTTTTTTTCACATACAGTCAGTGGGCATACTGGAAGGCTGGCTATAAATCAAATCATCTGAAGGAACAATTTGTTCAAGTCAGTTTCAACTCTCTACACTGTAAGGTAACCTGTTAGAAAACAACTACCTCCCTGGCTGATACCACGAAGGGCGTTGCATCATATCCGGCATGTGTCGGTGCAGGATTCTTCACGGAACTTATTTCTGTTTATGCTGTTGGCGATACAACTGTCGCAATATATTTTCAATTATAGGAACATACTTGCAGACCCTTTTTAGGCTGTTTGGCTACTCGTCAGTGCAAGGTACTGTCTATCATCAACATAAAGTCGATGATTTCTGATAATTGAAAATCGAATTCCTTCAGAGTATCATTCCTCGAACTAGGCTGGAGCAAACAGTAGGTTTGTCATCGCCGCATCTGCCTGTGAACGAGGTAATGCTTTGATTTATAGCCAGTCTTCAAGTATGCCCACTGACTATATGTGAAAAGTTTTCTTTGCTTATACGAGGAATTGGGTAAGTTTCGGATATGCGGTTGGCTACCTCGTTCACAGGCAGATGGGGCGATGACAAACCTGTTGTTTGTTGTCCGCTTCAGCCTAGTTCGAGGAATTCCTTTGAAGGAATTCGATTTTCAATTATCGGAAATCATCGACTTCATGTTGATGATAGACACTACCTTGCACTGATGAGTGGCCAAAGAGCCAGAAACCGGCCTGCAGATGTGTTCCAATAAATGAAAATTGATTACGGCAGTTATCGCCAACAGCATATGCAGGAATAAGTTCAGTGAAGAATCCTGCAATAACACCTGTCGGATATAATCCAACGCCCTTCGTGGTATTAGCCAGGGGAGTACTTGTTTTCTGATAGGTGTCAGTCCATTAATGTAGGGAGTTGAAACTGGCTTGAACGAATTGTTCAAGCCAGTTTCCGAAAATGGTTTCCAAATCATCTAATATTATCAATATTTTTAAAAGCAAGTCCTCCAGGTAAAAAAGAGAACCTTCTTCATGGACAAGCTGATGTGTCAGTATGCCACCAAAATATGTAGTCACATATATTTTGCCGGTTCGATCGCTAGTAAAGAATAAATACTCGTACCTATCCAATTTTGTTTATTTCAGCTCAAATATTTTCTAACAAAGTGGACGGGGAAAATGATTTGTCAAAATATTAGTCTCCGTTCACATAAAAATATACAATACGATTCAACAGAGATTGACGAAAAATTGAGCGATAGGAAAAAAGCACAAGAGTCATGGCTGAAATATTTGAGTATACAGGGTGTAACATAAGTACGTTAAAATATTCAAGTGAGACAATTTCAAGAAAAAAGATCGTAAGAGCTTCGTTTCGGAGATGCAGGATGTTGAAACTGAACTTTTTTTTTTCGTTTTTTAAAAATAATTTTCGCAAAAAATAAGTTATTTGCACGAAACTTGGTAGCTGGGTTTTTTGACGTGTGAAATCATAATTTCGTATTAATTTTCATGTAACATCTAGAGGGCGCTGCGTACGCTGTCATTATTCAGTTCAAATTTTTTGATAGTAAACTTTAGGTACTTTTTATAAAAAACCTAATTTCCACACTTTTTTCAAGTAAAAAAGGGAAACTTCCTCAACAACGTTGGAGGTGATCTTTTTCGAGATATTTACAGTTTTCTATATCGATGCATATTACCTAGCTCCTAGGGCGATAAGTGAAGTTGCCGAGAACATTACAAAAACTGTGTATGTGGTGAATCTCAGCAAAATAAACAACATTTTCCTATGAAATATTTGATGGAAAAACTAAAGTTGCAAAAAAATTATAACAAAAACCAACCATGTTTTAAAAAACTTCAACAATTTGTATCTCTAAAACGAATGATTTTTCGATAAACATTTTATTGAGAAATGTTGTTTATTTTGATGAGATCCACCACATACTTAGTTTTTGTAATGTTCTCAGCAACTTCACTTAGCGCCCTAGGAGCTAAGTGATCGATATAGATAATTGTAAATATCCCGAAAACGATGAGGAAGTGTACTTTTTCACTTGAAAAAGGTGTGAGGAATTAGGTTTTTTCATGAAACGTATCAAAAGTTTACTGTCAAAAAAGTTAGGGCCCCTAGATTTTTTGCAATCGTTTTTTTACCGACCAAAAAATTCAATTTCAACACCCTGTATCTTCGAAACGAAGCATTTCTGAACACAAGTATATATATAGTATTATATATATAGTAGTATATATAGTATTAGGAATTCGTCACGTGAATATTTTAACGTACTTATGTTACACTCTGTATATAACTCTAAGATTGTAGATAATTTCATTAGTCAATTAAAATACTCGATGAAGTGCATGCACTGTGGACACTCATCAGTAACCTTCGATACTTTCTGGGATTTATCAGTTCCTATACCACAAAGAACTGGTCAATTGGCCAATTGAGTTTGTCACCATGCTTGGATTCCTTCACAAAAGAGGAAACTTTGGGGGGACATGAAAAACCAACGTGTTCGAGTTTCAAGGAAAGAAGAAAATGCACAAAGTCTCTATCAATCCATAAGTTTTCCCGTATTTAAGTTATTCACTTCAAAGTAGTCTACACAACGGAAAGAATTAGGGACAAATTAAATGTTGTCATCGAATTTCCTCTAGATGGATTAGATATAAGCAATTATGAAGCAGATAATGTAACTCCTTGTCGTTAAAATCTATATTCACTTTCGAATCACAGTGGGTCTACTTACAGCAGACACTACACAACATACTACAGATATCCTTATACTGGCACGTGGCACAAATACAACGATTAACACGTGTCACTAATTTCACCAAAATCGTCTGCGAGTGGAGAGGAATACGAGTACGTCCTCTTTTAGGAAGAGTAGGAATCAGGTTCGTATCTCTGAGATACCTGAGAGGATATTTTTTAGCGTTTTGAAATGTTAGTATTGACCTGATAAATAATTATTGTTGTATTATAATACTTCCTAATACGGAAAAAATCCAATAAATATCTGGGTTGCAATGGTGATGGGAGACAAAATGGGCATTTCATAGCTTGAGAACTGTTGATATGCAATTTTTAGTGTACTGTTGATCTCATTGGTTCAGTTCGCTCATGTTATCACAGTGCTCGTATTAACAAATTTTAATTTTGAATAAAAGTTTCAAAATAAACCTAATCCTAATAACATACCTGTCCAAAATGCGTTCCGCTGTGTTTGTTACTTTCGTAGTCATTATATTTTTGATCTGTATCACTATGCTCGTCCGAAGTGTAGCGCTCATTTACCATTAAACCGTTTTTCTTCGTTGAAGAGGACACGATTTCCGTCGATCTGCAAATGCCGCTATCGGTCGAACTTTCTACTAAATTTTTATTCTTGTGCAGGATGGAATTCGAGGAGTTGTTGTGATTGTGCACCTGTTCGAAACCGTACGATTTTCGTCGATTGTACCAGTCTTCATTTCTGTTCGTTGTATTACCGTTAATTAGTTTTACTCTGGATTCTAAACTGCCAGTACCTATGCCCGGCTTTTTATTGAGCAGCGATTCCATTCCATAGACGTACGAACGCACACGTGACTGTTCAAGAAGAGGCATTTCTTTATCTTGACCAGGATGTGTTTCTTCCGTTACTATGCCGTCGTCAGGTTCCTCATCTTTATCGTCTCCCTAAAAGACCAAAAATATAATTCTCAAATGAAACTTCTTTGGAAAATATGTATTAGAGTAACATAGATTACATACATGATATATTGACAAAAAATTCAACAATAAAAAAGAAATGTAATATCACATTTAATAATTACGAGATTACATAACTTCATTATGGCTAAATTCCTACTAATACAAACGAAGTATTAGTAGGAACTTCTTCATTGAAGATGGAGAAGCATAAGCGTTGTATGTATGATACTGTTACGACATTGGCTTTTTCATTGTCCCGCCTCTGAAAACGCAGATCCGACCTCTGTATCGTGATATATCAGATTCTCCAATGAACGTAATGAATTTCAAAAATTACCGATAGTGTTCGATGGAATCATAGAAATAAGATCAAAACACCAGTTAGTTCGAAGCTCAGGAAAGCGACGAGAATACAAGGAACAGTGAACAAGCGGAATAAGTACGGTGATTATAAAAAATAATTAAAGTAAGCGGAGTTGACTTATGGTTCAAATTATTAATTCATTAAATTGGAATAGGCGTACTATTTATTTATTATAGACATAACGTTGCCAATTAGTGGTACTGAAGGAAAATTATTTTAGGGATCAAGTATTGGGAAAAAAACTTTTAGACTTTCTGCTCGTTCATACTTATACAAAAATTTGGTAAACTTCCGAAGTGAGGAATTACATGAAAGAGAAACAGCCTTTCGAAACAACAATCTACTTTCATATAAATATTGAATTACATGAAAATTACTTTTTTACATTCAGTTTGTTCTCCCAACACTCGTTATAGAATTCATACAGATATAATTTACAGGAACGCTACACAACGTAATATATGAGAGTGCCATAATGTAAATTTCAGTTACATGAATATCCATCATTTTTCGGGTGAATTTTTTGAAGTTTTGGGTCGAAAACATTTGTTTCTAATAGCTCGTCAGCACAAATTTGAACTTTCGAAGTCGAAAACACGCATTTCTAGCAGATAAACTGTAGATGAGCCGAAAGAAAGCCAGAAAAAGATGTTGATTTGGAGTTGGCTCATTTCTTACTTGTTTCTTACTGTTTGGAACCTTTGGTGACGTAATGAATATTACTGGAATTTTATTCCAACACCAAACCATTATTTTAAAACCTCGTCACGTGTTTCAATCACCAAGTGATCATCTTCAAGAGGAAGATTGAAAGATTAATTTGGAGATGGCTCAACAGCAGAGTTTGACCTAATTGGCAGCGAGTATCCAAGTATGGTGCAGTTGCCAAGGAATACTGAGCTCTGTGCGATTCCCACCTTTTGTTCGCGACTTCATGAAAGTCGAACAGGAGGACTACTCATGCATCAACAGTAACCTGGGGCAACTATCACCTTACATGAAAAGTGGTGTAGACTAGGCGACCTCGAATAAAGTTTCTACAACGAGTTTATCAGAGAGATCAGAGAATGGAAAGAAAGCTCATGAGCTTCGGAAAAAAACAGCTACGGCGTATCAGCAACCAGATGCAGAAGCATCCAGCAAGATGGGTAAGGGACACGTACTATCTGCGAGGGGGCCATAGGTGACATCACATCTTCACCATTCAGGTATCAGGATTCTATAATGCATGTGAAGACATTTTGAGAATTCTCGAGAATAGTTCAGATTAGTTTGAAGTTCAGACAAGCGACAGTTAATAAGTGAACTAAGTGCGATAAAGTATAATTGTAGTTACTGGCGTTAGTTATAGTATGAAGTTATTGAATGAAGTTATTAAATTCAAAATATTGTACCGCATACAAATTTATATATAGGAGACATATATAGGAGAGCGCTTTCCGTTTCTAGAAGTCAAAAAATTTAGAATATTCATTTTCAAAGGTAGAACACCCATATTATTTGCATTACAGGTAGAAATAAACCATAAGAAAATTGAAAAAAGGACTTAGAAGAAATGAAAGTAGCTTGATGTAGCAGATTTTCGTACTGGCGTTAGTTATAGTATGAACTATTGAATGAAGTTATTAAATTCAAAATATTGTACTGCATACAAATTTATATATAGGAGACATATAAAGGAGAGTGCTTTCCGTTTCTAGAAGTCAAAAATTTAGAATATTCATTTTCAAAAGTAGAACACCCATATTATTTGCATTACAGATAGAAATAAACCATAAGAAAATTGAAAAAAGGACTTAGAAGGCTTAGTGGACGATTAGTGGACCGAACGGTTAGTGGACCGAGTGAAATTCTGTATTTTTGAAGAAACGTTTGGCCTAATGGTAAGTTCAGACCGATTATTAAAGGTGTGGTAACTGAAATCCGAAGGAACGAATAACTCAACCGGAGTGGAATAGAAGAACGTTTTGTGCTCAAAATAATTCTGCCAGGGGTAAAAGAAGTCTCACTTTGGTATTCAAGAACATTGTGAGAAATACAACCTGGGTTTTTGAAGGGGAATGGTATAAAAGTTTCAGACTGTCAGCCTCATGGAAAAGCAATCACTGCTCTGTTCCTACTAACAATGAACATTATATTCGGAAAATTCAAAGTCGAATAGTTCTGTATTGAAAAGTATCCAAGCTAAACAGTAGATGAGAAAAAACTTATGACAGTATTAGTTCGCTAAGACGATTGCTCCAGGATCAAAGAGTTAAAGGCTCGATCTCGAATAAAATATTATAGTAAAAAGGTTGAGTTACAAAATCTCCAACTTCAGTCAAGCTGCGAATGTTAAGCCAGAATGGTTTTTGAGTTTCACATAGTTCAAATGAACTTCATTACCTGATAGTCCATTATTTGAATGAGAGAGTTTCAAATGACTATTTTCAAATAACTGTTTACCTTATATATGTCGCTAGTTGGTGAACTCGTTCTCCTGAGCCTTCCTTTGACCTCTTGTAACGACTCTACGGTAACAAAAGAATTTCGTTTCTGTTTTCTAGGAGTATCGTTGTCATCGTCGGGAGTTTTATCACTACTCGTACTGGAGCTCGAAATAGATTGTAGAATCTGATCGAGAGCCTCAAGATCTACACTGTTATTTCTCAAAGCCGTGTTCAGTCTTCTTCCTTTTTCTAAATCTTCGCGGATTTTACGTACACTTCCGATATTTTCCGGCAAATCCGGAGGTTTCGTACTGACGACGGTTTTGTTCTGTTTGGGAAACTGTAAAGACCTACGTATCTTAGAGGTTCTTCTCCAACTCTGCAATTCTTCTAGATCTTCAAGATCTTCAGCACTTTTGTTACTACCAATATCTTTCTCGGGTATCAAGTTGATATCGTCACTGCTGCTGCTTTTCGTTCGTACTAAATTAGTATGACCGTTAGTATTAGTATTTTCACTCGAAACACTTTCGATTTCGTATATTTCAACACTGCCATCGCCGTTTTTTCTGTCTTTTATTGCAGGACGGGGCGATCGCTTGCCAAAAGCCTGTTTAACTGCTGACTCGTGTATTTGATGACACAGGCGAGAAACTCGATGCAGATTAGTGGCGGCTGTGATGTGGGCCTGTCTCAAAGGGTTAGAGTAATCGACAGGAGGTGAGATCGGGTCTTTCAGGTGATGACGGGTGGGAGGTCGCCTGGTTACACTTCTGCCTACTGTTGCTTTGGACTTTTGAGGAGTGAGATCCAGCGGGTTCAAAGGAAGCTGAAATGAAGACTATTTTTCAAATATATGATTTTCATTCATTTCAAATGTTCGAACTACAACAAATAGAAAAAATTCCAATACACAAATTTTCCCTATTTAATTCACCACTGTGAGCTACTGATCGCTCATGTGCTACCTGTCAAAAATAACTGACTTTCTCTGTTCGATCATCTTCGATTGAGTCGGGAATGGCGCATGGCTCCCTTACCCTTGCGGCTGGTGTTTGTCAGAGGGACAAATGGTACACAACTAAGTTTGAGATGGCGTCATGAATGTCCTCAGACATCAGTATCGCCCTTCACGGTGAACCCCTGCCTGGCGGGGGTGAGTAGATGAGAAAATTGTTCAACCGTTAACGGTGACTGACTTTCTCTGGCACCTGACGTTTGTTATATAGTACTTGGAGTAGAATATCGAAAAAAAAAAGCTATTAGTTGACAGATAACAACTGATTGTTGTTGAGACATATGAGAGCAAATTCAGAGGCGTACATGGAGTGAAATGAATAAGAGGCAGATTAATTATGAAGTACTGTTATTTATTTTTAGTTTCATTTTATTTCAGGAGAAGGGTAATTGAGCCAAAATCTAATGAAATAATGGAGTATTTCGAGTATTTCATCAGTTCGGACTTCCATTGTCTGATATAAACTCCCCCCCTCTATGCTTCATTGTTTTTCCATATGTTACGTATCTCTACGCTAGCGGCTAAATGCGTTGTTGGATATCATATACGCGGATTCTTTGAATTTTCTCCTAAACCAGTGTTCCTCCTTGTGGATGATTTCAGCTTGAGCCCACTTGATGTTATGTTGATAAGTCCAAGCATGCTCTGCTATTCCGGATTTGCTGATTTCTCTCTCTTGGAATCGCAGTCCGCGTTTGGTGGCCTGGTTTTCGTGGGTCTGCTACGAATAGTGTTCCCAGATCTGAAGCAGTTCCTGATATTATACTTGGATCCAATCCTTCTCATTCTTTCCGATAATACTTTGGTATAGGGAAGTACAAGTACTGGTTGTGGTGGCTCCTCTTCCTTGTGGAGCTCTTGCTGTCTTCTAGCTAAAGCCTGTTCTACCATAATTCCGTTGAACGTCATTTTTGATGATGCCTAGTTCCTTTTCGAGACCTTTGTATTACATAGCCCGAAAGCACGGTCTAGTAGAGTCTTGACGATTCCTTTCTTAGTCGATTGATGGTAGTTGGATTTCTGGTTTAGATACTGTCCCGTGTGAGTGGGTTTTCGATATACAGATGTTTCCCATTTAGTGTCGGTACTCTTCACCAATACGTTTAGGAAAGGCAATTCGTTGTGGACTTCCTTCTCCATTGTGAAATGAAGTAAACCAGGAAATCCGGAATAGAAGAGCATGTTTGGACTTATCAACATAACATCAATTTGGTTTGAGCTGAAATCATACAAGAAGGAACACTGGTTTGGGAGAAAATTCAAAGAAGCCGCGTATATGTTGTCCAACAACGCATTTAGCCAAGCTAGCGTAAAAATACGTAACATATGGAAACCTCTAATCAAGGGGGAAACGACCAACTCCCGCCAAACAGTCATCTCCCGCTAAAACCAATGAAGCGTAGAGAGGGAAGATGGGATAGGTGAAAACACTCGAATGAACTATAAATAGTCGGAGGAATAAGTCCAGTTATCACCCGAAGACGATTGTGGATACTAATAATCGAGACGTCGTGACGAAACTTGGTTTGGAATCCTTTAATTTTAATTTCTTGTTAATAATAATTTTTTTAATTTTCAGCTCGTATAAATTTTTGAATTTTTTTATTTTTTTTGGTTGTTGCTTGTATGTTATTTCTTTGTAATTTTCAGTTTTTTGTTTGATAAAATTCTTATTTTCGGTTGATGTTTTCAATTTTTAATTTTTTTTTTCAGGGATTTCAAATCAATTTATATTATATTAGACAATGGAAGTCCGAACTGATGAAATACACCACGAAACATTGTCAACCATCTTCAAACGAAGTATTTCGAACTACAACTTTTGGTAAACATCCTAGACTGTTCGGGTATACTCTTCTATGGACTTGGTGAATAAACAATAGATGAAAAGAAGAAAAAAGAAGACAATTTACACTGGCACTACGAGGGAAGGTTTTCAGCTTCGGATATTAGATATGCTAGTCAGTAACTTTAGCTAACACAAATATCAATATACATGCGTTTATTTATAACAACTAAGTTGAATATATACGGGGTCTGTTAAAAATAGGATGAATTTTCATTTTTCTCAAAAATATTTATTTATTCATCAATTTCTATTTTGTCTCCATCCCTCACATATAAAATACTTATGCCAGCGGTTTTTCCAATCCTCGAAGCAGTTCTGATATGCACTTTTTGATATGTCCTTGAGCTCTCTCACCGATTCGGTTTTTATCTCCTCAATAGTCGCAAAACTCAATTCTTTCATGGGTCTCTTCGATTTTAAGAAAAGGAAAAAGTCGCAGGCGGCCAAATCTGGTGAATACGGTGGCTCAGGCATGATTACGGCGTTGTTATTGCCAAAAAATCACGAACAAGGTGGGTAGGTGCATCGGGATGATTGGGATAGGTTGCGAGGTCCTAACCATATACTCATGATTCGTCAACCAGTTATGACCCTTTCAAATAAATCTGGATCACCGATGAGGTCATTCAACAATTCCGGTTTTTTCTGTAAACATTCAGCAATTATGGAAAGAACTTCGCTGCCAAACGCTTCATGCTCAAAATTTCAGGAAACAAATCGTGGCATGAGTCAACCGCTACGACTACATCCTCAGCAACTCAGAGTACAATCATCGTATGGGACTGTGAACAATTCAAGTATTTTTGAGCACTAAATTCCATTTTTTACACAAAATTTGATTCAAATTCTTTGATCAATTTTTTTTCGAATGCAGAAAATCACCGAACACGCACAACAAACTAAACATGCTAAACAGCTGAAACTATGTACATATGTTCGGAACGAGTGTACCAACATGAAAAATAAAAAAAAGATCGCTAATCGAATGTACGAAGCTCGCGAAATTTGAACATTCACCGTATTTTTTTACTGTCCACGTATGTATTAATAATTGGTATGACGACCATGCTATTTTCCACAATTTTGTTCATTCCGTTTGAACTCTTCCATTTCATATCCATATCATGCACGTGGTTAAAAAAGCAGAGTCCACCATCTTTGGGAGTGCGCCATGTTGGATTTAGTCTTATCACGTTATTTTTCGTATCATTTCCAACAAATTCCATTATTTGATACCCATATCAAGGAAGTGCATAAAAAAATAACTAGCCTACCATCTTGGGCGGTACGCCGCATTGGATTTAGAACGGAGACTTTTGCATCTCGTCACGGCTCTAATAAAATTTTCGAGCCGACATATCTTGAACAAGGAGAAATGCACTTTGAATATTTACTCTTAAGTGAATTTTTTAAGAAATTATGATCCCTCTACGAAACACTTGGAAGGATCGATTGCAGCTTTAGGAATTGTTCTTTAGGAATGATTCCTTACGAATCAGTAGATAGTTGTTCTCAAGAATTGGGAAGAAAATTGGATTAGATAATTTAGGAAACACTTGCTACATGAATAGTATTTTACAAGTGTTGTTCACGACGAAGAATTTTAAAAACTAGGTTTTAACGATGAACGAGAACGAGATTGTTTCCTACTTATTCACCAAACTCAAACAATTGTTCATGCAATTGCAGGATCGTAAGAATGTATCATTTTTTCCACCAAGCGATTTCCTGGAGTCTTTGAAGTCTACTAGATAGTCGTTACAACAACAAGAGAATTGTTCCGAGTTCTTGGGATCCTTGTTGAATACTCTTCGTGAGCAAAAAAATAGCGGAATCAATACTCCTGACCGCTCTGAACTAAATGATTCCGTACAGTCTATCTCATCTTGTGTTTGTTTATCTTTTGCTGAAAAAATCCTCACTTGTTTATTTTGTAGTAAATGTTCAAGAGGTAGCAAAAACGAACGTGATTTTCTGGAACTTCAACTAGTGTTTCCTAATATAACTGATAACCAGTCCGTGCAAAACTCATTGTTGAATCATCTGAAAATGGAACTCTGTATTGCCAAACATGCGCCAAACTGACTGACTATTATAAGAAAACAAGTATAGCTGAGGCACCAGTCAACCTAATAATAACACTGATGATCTTCAAACATGACTCAACCTCTGACAGAAGCACCAAACTATTACGAAGTTTCTGACGTTGAATCTTGCCATTATTACGCATTGGTCAAAGACGAAACAGACTGGTTTAAATTTGACGATAGTCATGTCACTAAAAGTGTTCTGGCGATGTATTGAATTTATTGGAGCCCTACATTTTGTTTTACGAAAGATCTTCAGATGATGTAGTGCTGCAGGTTTTTCTGGGTTTTCCTGCAGCTAAAAAAAGCAAATGCGCCAATTAATTTTTGTTCTTTCATAATTTCATGATTTATATTACTTTCTTCTTTAATATAGCCTAACTATAGAAATCAGGATATTGCAAAAAATATTAGTGCATTGCTGAAATTAATGGATGCGTCAAAAAATCATTTTTTCGGAAAGTGTTTGAAAAAATTAAATAAATCATTGACAAGTATTTTTGTCGATAATAGTCGATTCATTTGTAATCCAATCCCAAATAAATTAGTATCGTTAGATTCGCCAAAAAATCTTTTATTCGGAATGTGCTTGACAAAAAATGGCAGCCAATTGAAAAATGATAGTTAGACACGAAAATGTAACTTTGCCAACTTGTCTTATTCACATCTAACATACTAGTCACTAAAACTGGTCGATTTTCAGATATCGCCTGGGTCCTTAGATTAGTTTACGTCTAATCATGGCCACCTAGATGTATTCTCTAAAGTGAATCTGAAAAAATTAAGTAGGCGTAAAAACTTTTGAACGTGAATCAGAACTTTCTCAGGAATCCAAAAATGTTACAGTATACAGGGTGTTCCATTTAAAAATTTACAACCGGAAGTGA